CGGCACTATATGGACAAGTCTCCAAGGAGCGCACATCCACATCCAACTGCTCTTCCACAACCAGCAAGTCGTCAACCTGTTTGGATTATAGGATTATTATACAATTTCTTTAAACTTTTGATTTTATAAATATTACCTTTTCTTGGAACTGAGTCACACATTCCGACAGGCGGAGAACGTACGGATCTAGTTTATACGACTCCCAAATTAGTCCAATACCCTCGGAGACCAAGTTGAGGACATCCTTACGCAGTCCTGCCACAAGTGGCACAATGCTGGCGCGATCTTCAATCTATATTGGATACAATTTTCTATTAGTATTAGATCACAAAAGTACAAAAGCTAAATACTTTCTTTGGCATGCGGGAGTTTAACTCAAACTAAACTAGAAAATTAAATAGTGGTTGCATTTAGGGATTACGGAATTAACAAACTTTGAGGGGACAAACGACACTACCTTGAATACAGAATTTTGTGCTAGACTCCTATTATTAAGCTGCATGAAAGAAAGGTTGTTGGTTGTTCGGTTGGTTTAGTTCAAGAGCGGATCTCGTGTCTAAGACTAGGGTGATCAATTATGGGGCGTGTGGAGTGTTCAAAGTGTGGTGATTAGCAAAATTCAAGCTGCACGCCAGGAAGAAAGCAATGCAAGAGAACAGAGCAAATGCTCCAGCATGGTGACATCTTGTGGGAGTGAAGTGTGGTTTTGTAAAGTGTAAGAGCTGGGCAAAGGTGTACAATTAAATGTAAGGCTGATATCAGACAAATTACGACAGATTACATTCTAGCACAGATATAACTTTATAACTGAACTGATTATACATCAATCAAATAATGTAATCTCTTTCAATTTGTCTAATTACAGCCTTCAATTAACAAATCGTACCTTCTCCAAAGTGCGTTCGTAGGTGCGAACACTCTCAATCAGAGATATAGCATAAGGATAAACCTGGTTGGCTTGATGTGCCTTGTTTACAATCGTCAGTGGAACTCTGAAAGATTAATTCTCATTAAAACCTGAACTTAACAAAGGAACATCACCCTTACCTGAATCCTAAATTCTTGATGTTGCGCACTTCCTTAGCCAGGGTGATAATCTCCGGTAAAAAGTTGACTCTCAGTCGCAAAACATTGCCTCGCCCAATGCGTGAACGCGTCGACTCGATTGTAAAGATACGCCCAGTGCTGCCGAAGTTGCGCTCCTGCACTTTGCGGGCCCACTCATGGAACACATCTGAGATGGAGAGCTTGGCACGGAAGCTATCACCATCGGCCTTTAGCTTTTGGCCCTCGATGTGGGTCTCCCATCCCTTGCCTAGAACATCCTCGACGCGCTTCAAGTACATTGTCAGCTGGTTGTCGATCTGACGGGCCCAAATGATGGAGCCAGCCACCGGTGGCAGATCTCTAACCGAAGACAAACGGCAGCTTTTGCTCTGAGGATACTGCACCTTGAACTTCTCATGTAGTGCCTCGATGTCGTCCTTGACGCGCTGAATCAGCTGAGTCTGGTACTCCCGGATGGCGCCACGGATGTGGGGACGCACGAAAAGGGCATTGAAGCGCGAGAAAATACGGAACATCTCGTTGGCATTCTTGGCTGTTCCCAGCTGGTCACGGAGGTGAGCCGTAATGCGGGTCTCCACGCGATCTGTGTTTAGGAAAAGTATGGTAAGTATTTTTATAGAATTATTCTGGAACTCTAGGTTCGCGTAATTACCAATCTTCTCCTCGTATCTCTTAACAGCGGCTTCCCATGCCTCGGATCCCTCCTTGGTGATATCCAGACAGTCCACCTCTTTAACGTTTTCATAGGCAAGGTTGACCTCCTCGATAGCATTAGCATCGGCGGCATCCAAGCTGTACGGCTGCTTGGTTTCCACTGCATTGCCGTCATCGCTAACAGCCGGCTTGGTGGGCCGCAGGACACGCAGAATGACGGTGCGTAGCTGCTCGTGCTGGCGACGGAACTTACGCATATGCTCCATGCGGGTTTGCAGCTTCTTGTGAGCCGGTGAAACGCGCCACACCATTTTAAGATGCTCGTCACGCTTCTTCTTCACAATGTCACGAAGCAATCCCTGCAGCTTGTCGTACTCGTCATCCCAGCAGCTGAAAATCTCGAAGCACTGGTTCATAACGCGCTCGAATTCATCAAAAGGAATATGCATCAATCGTCGAGTACCCAGCACCTTCAGCAATTGCTGGGACAAATCCCTTGAGATGGCCTCGATGAGCTTAAGGCAGCGCTGGATAGGGTACTTGGTGTTGCGCACCTTGCGCAGATGCGAGAAGATCTGCTGCACAGCAGGTCGAATCTTCTCCAGCTCAGTGGCAGAAAGTAAGTCATTGATAGGGAAATCCTTCATCAAAGGATTGTAATCGGCTACCGTTGCTAGAGCCTGTTTTAAGCCGGTATCCGTATCAAAAGAAACGGTGGCATGGAAACGTTTTCCATGCTTCAGGATATCCAAAGTCAAAGCAACCTCTGGTGACTCGCGCTTCTCCTGGATGCGATACAGCGCACGCTCCAGATTCAGCCAGAAAGAGATTTCCTGGAAAAATCATATATAAGTATACGATATTTATTAAGGTAATATCTTTACTCACCTGTAGGGCAGTTCCTGAACCCGGATCACGGTTTAGCTTGGTTACCTTCTTGATCTCGGTAATCCAACGGTTGACACCGGTCTGCAGCTGATTTAGGAAGGAGGAATCCTCTACCTTGTCACCAAAGTCGGCCACCTTAGCCTTACGGTTCTCATCCGAGCACTTACGGATCACATTATTGACCATCTGGTGAGCCGTCAGCGTGATCTCCGGAATGTCGATGTTTTGCTGCAGATGCAACAGTCCCATCTCTAGCTCGGCCAGCTTCTTCTCCACGGAGGGTGCCATCTTGTCGCCATCGCGATCAGCACGTCCCGACTCCTTAACGTAGGACTTGAAGTAGGGTGCCAGGGACTTGCTTATGAAGGCATGTAGCGTCTCGTATGGTGATCCGTCCGAGAAGTTGATCAGCCGCAGCTGCGAGTGGATCGACTTGTCCGCCTCTACGACCACGCCCCGCTTGATGCAGGCAAGCGATGCCATTCGGCTGTTGGTGAAGTGAACATCATTGCTGATCTGGTAGGTAACCTGCTCCTTCTCGTCTTCTCCTTCGGCTGGCTGCTCGGTATCGTCCTCTGAAAATAAAGAGATAATGCAAAATTATTAATACTTTCGATTGTAATTTGTGTGAAAGTACTTTTATTAGTATAATAAAAATTAAATATTCCCTGAACATTATATAATAATAACTGCCCAACGATATCTACAACTAGCAATCAATGTGTAGATTTACTAATATCACCTATTCCAGGAACACCTAATCTCCAACCAATCATGTGTACTTACTCACGACTGACTCGGTGTTTACCCCTCACCCACTTTCAATGTAGTACGGCCCATTTGACATTGGACTCAATGGCACGGCACTGACATGATTTCATTATCAAGGCGACGGCCTCCGGAAATTTAGCGGCCAAGGGAAAACCTTCGAAATTCGTGCGCTCAAGGCTGGACCTTGGCGATGTCATTGCTCCCACGCAGTTGGCCCCGGTGCCAATGCCAATGTGCCGAGTGGCATTGCCTTCGGCCAATGTCAATGTCGGCCCCAAAGTCAACGAATCGTCGGAAGGTGTGCGCAGCCTCCAAGGTCGTTTCCGTAAACAAGCTTGTTGCTCAGCAGTCAACAGCTGTTTCCCGGCGATTTGTTTGTAAACAAAATTAAGCCGGCAAGCGGCAAAACATCTGTGTGCAGTTATCGTTGCAAGCGGATCTATCGATCTATCGTTATCGGAGTGAGTCAAATGAGCTGACGTCATTTTAAGAAACTTGTTTTCATACCCTTTATGAGAGTATGTTTTTTATGCATTGTAGTTTGTTTTGATTCATCTTATATTTTTTGTTGTTCTCTTGAATCTTATTTACTGCAATGCATTTTTGAAGAAATACATTATAAGCAATAGCTTACTTAAAGATAGGTATTTTCCTGACTAGATATTATATTAATATATAACCAAGTATTCTTAAATATTGCTGGGATAATAAACTACTTTAATACTTTAATTTCAACATCTAATCAACCCCAAAGGTTGTTACACACTTTTCTTATTGGCAATCGTAAGGGTATTCAAACTTCGATAATATATCCGTAAGTGCTATTCTAATTGGAATTCAAACAAAACCATCTGTCCCATTGATTTTTAACAAACTGGTTGAGTATTCAGCTAGCATACTTTAAAATGACTCATTTTAGCCATAACAAACTAATATTTTTAACTTCCTAAACAAGAAAATATTTCTTTGAAAGCCTGCCAACCATTTTATCTCTGCCAAAATGACGCCATTTTGTGCAGTTTTTTCACTGAACTTTTTTTTTGCCAACTGGACACAATTTCTGATTTTACCTTTGATGCAATTACGTTGAACGTAGAGCGCCTGCACCTGGGGATCGGAGAGGAACTTCCGGATGATATCCTGGTTAACGGGATCATCCAGAGCGTTATTTAGCGATTCAGGAACCACATCTTCCTCCGGCAGCAGAATGGTCACCGCCTTCCGAAGATAGTTGGCGAATGCATCGTAATTCGCAATGGACAGGTTCACGACCGGATCCACCGAAGTATCGGGGTTCTCCAGAGAGTCGCCCATGTCCCACGAAGGTTTTCGTTTAATAAATACTCCTTAAAATGTGTGCAATTGGATTTTTTCACAATGCCTCGCCCTGTGAAAAATTACGTATGGTTTTTTTTCGCGAAATGCAGTGTGAGCCTTGCCACTCAGTCGAAAATCGACTGCAAAAAGCATGATGTTGCCGTAGTGCAGAGTGAAATGAAAATACAACTCTGGGCGAAGTGATGCCAGTAAACCAGGAACGTTTCCCGCCAAAAATTCTTGGAGTAAATTTTACCCTCGCGAGCGATATGGCAGCTCTGTCCACAAAAACAGCTGTTCGAGTGTAGAGTGCAGTGGAATCTTACGATTTCGTTATTTAATAATTGTGAAATGTGCATTTCAATCAATTAAAACTGGGAAAATGCAAGCCCTGAGAACCAGTCGCCCTTGGAGAGGGGCGTATTGGAGTAGTTGGAGGCGACTGCTAACACAAAGCTGCACGGGAAATGAGGTAAATAAATAATGGCTAAATTATGACCAAGAAATCACTAAAACTATTAACAAATTACAGATTCCAGAGTTAACTAATGATGTCAAGCACCGGATTGAGGCTCATTGGCGGGACCAACTCAGTGGAGGGCAGTTCAACCCCAAGGAATCGCAAGACAAGTATTACGTTCTCTCGATGTTTCCCTATCCCTCTGGCAATCTTCACATGGGCCATGTGCGCGTCTACACTATCGCCGATTCAGTGGCTCGTTTCCAGCGGATGTGCGGCAAGAATGTGTTTCAGCCAATGGGCTGGGATTCCTTCGGGCTGCCCGCCGAAAATGCGGCCAATCAGCGAGGAGTGGAGCCGGCATCCTGGACAGAACAGAATATTGACCAGATGAAGGAACAACTTAAACGACTGGGCTGTTCCTTTGACTGGGACCACGAGTTATCTACCTGCAGTCCGCAGTACTACAAGTGGACCCAGCACTTGTTCCTTATGCTACACCGTCATGGATTGGCTTATCAGAACGAGGCCCTCGTTAACTGGGATCCCGTGGACCAGACAGTTCTTGCTGATGAGCAGGTGGACGCCAATGGATGCTCTTGGCGCTCGGGCGCAAAGGTGGAGAAGAAGCTCCTCAGACAGTGGTTCATTCGGACGAGTGCTTATGCCAAACAGTTGTTAGATGGCCTGGAGGATCCCACCCTGCGTGACTGGAGGGATATTATTAACCTGCAGCGACACTGGATCGGAGAATGTGATGGATACGCCTTTAACCTGCTCACCTCTGCCTCCGGCTTGCTAAGGGTGTGGACTGCCCACCCGGAGCACTTAAAAGATCCCCATGCCTTTCTCGTTATTCGCAGCAGTCATCACCTATCGAAGTTAGAGGATGCAGGCAGCCTCAGCGCAGAAAATCCATTTTCGGGCACCACAATGCCTGTGGTTTTTGGCGACGATGTGACCTTCCCACCAAAATGCGATGTTTACCTGGCAGCGCCCAGTTTCCGCGGTGAGGACAAAGAATTGTGGGAGTCATATGGACTGGCATTCACCTTATCCGGCAAGGAAGAAGACAGTTTAAGTCCAGCTAACTGGGAGCTGCTGAGGAAGGAGGTGCTTCAAGCCGCCACACGCCTTAATGTGGGTGGCTATCGGGTATCCTCCAAGCTGCAAGATTGGTTGATCTCACGACAACGCTACTGGGGCACTCCGATTCCTATTGTACACTGTCAAAAGTGCGGAGCAGTGCCGGTGCCTGAAGAGCAACTACCAGTGTCTCTGCCTCCTAAGGATACTCCGAAGGAAGCCTTCCTCTGCGAATGTCCCAAATGCGGGGAAAATGATGCTCGAAGGGAGACGGATACAATGGATACATTTGTGGACAGCTCCTGGTACTACTTGCGTTACTTGGATGCCCAAAACTCGCAGAAGATTTTCGATCCCGCTTTGACCAAAAAATTTATGCCCGTCGATCTGTACATTGGAGGAAAGGAGCACGCCGTGCTGCATCTTTACTACGCCCGCTTCATGAATCATTTTCTGCACAGCTGCGGGCTCTCGCCCACCAGCGAACCCTTCTCCCGTCTGCTAGTTCAGGGTATGGTGATGGGTCGCTCCTTTCGAGTAAAGGGCAGCGGTCGGTATGTACCCGAATCCGAAGTGGAGATTGTGAATGCCAAGAAGAACCAGGCTGTGCTTAAGGAAACCAAAGAGCCCGTGGTCATGACATGGGAGAAGATGTCCAAGTCGAAACTGAATGGCGTGGAGCCCAGTGATATGTTCAATGAATACGGTACGGACACAACGAGACTGATCATTCTGGCCGATGTGGCGCCCACCTCGCATAGGAACTGGTCCAGCGCAAGTGAGTAATAAGGAACCTATATCAGCTTTATGGTTATTTATATATCTTACATCTGACAGCGTTTCCTGGCATCCTAAACTGGCAAAAGAGACTTTGGCTGACCCTCCAAGATTTCCAAGAGGCTCGCGAGGATAAAACGCCCTCGGATGTGGTGGCTACTAGCGAGGAGTTTCTGGCTGAAGATGCCAAGCTATTCGATGCCCGAAACTTTTATGTGAAAGGAGCCACCTTTAACTACCGCCATGCACATCAACTCAGTGTGGCTATCTCTAAGATGCAGGGTCTGACCAATTCCTTGAGAGTAAGTCTTAATATCAAAGCCTTTTCCAATCTCTTTTAATTTTAACCTCTCACAGCGTACGCCTAAACATGTCCTACGGCATGGAAAGCAATTTGAAAGGGCTCTGGCCGCTCAGATCATCATGCTAGCACCCATGGCTCCGCACTTCGCTTCCGAACTGTGGTCAAAGTTTGTGGCAATTCCCGGCAGACTGAATCCTGCAAGTCAAGAGCTGCAGTGGAGCGAGGATGTGCTAGCCCAACGCTGGCCGGACATCGACGCCGCCTACAATCTGGATCTAAGCATCAAAGTAAATGGATTCGAGAACTGTGTAATCAAAGTACAGCGCACACACCTTGATAAGGTGACGCATAGCGATGCACTGGACATTGCCTTCAACACAGAATCGGTGACGTCGTACTTGATCGACAAGAAAATCCGCACCACCAACTTTGTGCTATATCCGGGCATCGAGGCTATCCTAAATATCTATGTGGATAAGGCGCAGAAGACTCAAAAGCCGGCAACCAGCGATGATGCTGAGGCTCAGCCGCGGGCGTAGGATATCTAGTTCAAAATAGGACTATTTTTAAATTTCTACTTTGGTATCTTATTTCCTGACTCACTCTGTCTATAGTGCTTAAGCCGATTACGGATTACGGTAGAGAGAGCGGGTCTAACCCGCCCAAATGCATTTCCGGTGTTGGCCACAAAGACGCCATCCTAGATTGGTACTTTTTAATCATGTTTAATGTTAAATATTTATAAAAATTGGACTAGTTGTAAGCAGCTGCTTTACAGGATTGGTAAATGCCTAGAATCATAGGAATATAATGGTTGCTCTATCTGTGCGCCTCTATCTAAAAGCCAGTTCGACTAATAAGTTCTCGTTTTATCTTTCTTTGGAACGGCTCTTCACTTCATCAGTTCGCACATGAGATTCCGCAGGTAGACATCCAACTGGGCGTAATCCAGCAGGGTATTCCGGACGATGTCAAGGAGCATGCTGGGCCAAAGCGTTTCCAGTTTGTGCAGCTTCTCCACGGCGTTGCAGGTGTTCTCCAGCAGAAGGGCAAAGTGCTGTCGACCTCGATCTCGAGCACTGGGCGCCATGGCAGTGCTTCCAGCTTCTGTTGCTGGGTTCAGGTTCATGGATGTGGAGGATACTGCTCCATTTCCGACTCCAGCATTCTTCTTCCATTGAAGCGCCTCTTTTCCCACCACGAGACGCAATGATTTGTTATCCGCCCGAAGAAGCCATTCCTTTGGAGACAACTTGCTGGCCGTGCAAGTCTCATCAAGTCGCAATCTGGCCAAAAGCGGCTGCAACATCACTTCGGGCATGGACCACAGCACCAGGTCAGAGAGTCCTACGTATGTGGCGTTCGCAGCCTCCACTTCCGCTTCAGTTACCTCCTGACCATTGAGCTGCTTCAATCCCCAGTGGGACAACCTGTAGATGGCATAGGCTCGCCAGGATTCCTTCAAGGTGATGCCATTGCCCTCGGCATCAATAAGTAAACTGCTGAGGCCCTGGAGCTCTGCCAATCCATTGAGTTGGCCCAAGCAGGAGATGTTGGTTTCCCGGAAAACGTAATGCTCGGCGTGAGGGAATCTCAGCTTAATCCTGCCTAGCACACAAACAATGCTGTTGAAGTTGATGTAGCTGAAGTTGAGTGTGTGAACATCATTGGCCTTGGCTGGATTCCATTGCTTGTCTATGAAACGGAGAGCTCCCTGGCCGTAGATGTTGAGGTAACGTCCGCAAATCTCAATCAGGTAATCACCACCTTGTTCCCTTTCTCGTTCAGCGGCAGTTGGCTTGGACACCGTGATGGCTGCACTGGGAGTGGTTGCTGTTCCTCCAGTTGCAGATCCAGTTGTTGATCCTGCTGTCCCTGATCCTGCTCCTGCGGAAGATTGGCTGGCAGTATTATTCGTCGCGGCCTTCGTTTGAGTTGCCACCAAAGTTAATCCATTGTTAGTGGTCTTCCCTCTTCCCGTGCTATTGGAACTGCTGCTGTTACTGGTGCTGCTGCTGACGGTTTGTGCCCGGACCAAGCTCCCTGCCATGTACCGTTTGGAAGATGCACCTGCTCCACCTCTCTGGTTGATCTGCAAACCCAATTGAGTGATGGGCGCATGTCGGGAACGCTGTTTGCTGCTTGTTGGGCGACTTGTATTGGAGGATGCAGTAGCTGGCACAGGCAAGGTGGCAGTTGTTGCTGCCGGAGGAGGAGTAGCTGTGACTCCGGGCACTGGAGTTCCAGGAGCAGCTGGTGGAGTCAATGTCAAGGCAGGTGGCGATGGCGAAGAGGCCACTGGAGCTGGAGGTGTTACTTTAGCTACTTCAGGCGATGGGCTGGCAACTGGAACGGGGGATGGTGGCGGCTTCTCAACTTTATTGCAGTTTTCATCAATCTGTGGCGTCTGTGGTTTATTTTTACCACCACCATCCTCGTTATCCGAGCTGTAACAACTGGAACAGGAGTCCACATTGGGACCTAGACTGGAGGCCTCCGAGGAGGCGCCATCTTCTTCCTGGGGATTCCTTAGGTTCTTTGCTATAGGTGGCAGTTTGATCAGTGCTTGCAGTTCATCCATTAGTTCCTTGGGCTGCTGCGACTCCTCGGACTCTGTTTCCGCCTCCTCGGCTGTGGGTCCTTCGTTGGACTCATTGATCTTGGCCAACTCGCTGGTCAGTCGACTTTTGGGACGACCCACCACTGTCTGTTGGGATCGCAGCAGTTCCCAGTTAGTTCGGGCATTGGATATTACCTCTTCTCGCCGGATGCTGTGATAAGCTTCTGAGCTTCCAGGAGCAGCTTGGGCTTGTTCCTTGTGCTGACGCCAAGCAAGAGCAGCTCGACGCACCTGCTCCGTGATGGGCATCTGGCTGAGTGTTTGCAGTAGTGGAAGGTACGAAACCAGGAAGGACACACAATCTCCAGCCAGGGACACAGGATTATTCTCGATTGTAACTTCTAGGAGGCGGTTCGCCCTAGCTATACTAGCCATATCATCCACTCTGTGCAATTCGTTGTGGCATAACCACAACCTTTCCAATGCCACCAAATGCTGAAATCCATTGATCCGTCGGAGTTTGTTTCGCTTTAGGTTTAACTCTCTGAGGCAACGCAATCCCAGGAAATCCTGCTGGTTTATCTGACGAATTTGGTTCCCCGCCAGATTCAGAGATTTGAGTTGCTGAAGGCAGTTGATACGACTGCCCAGACTGGTGAGTTTGTTACCATGAAGATCCAAAACTCTTAAGGTATCCTTCAGCGAAGACAGACCGCCAATATCCGTGATTCTGTTCTTTCCCAGCAGAAGCACCGAAAGCGATGGTAGTCCATCCAGATTGGCTATCCTCTCGATCTGGTTATCATAGAGATCCAGGAATACGAGTTGCTGAAAGATGATCCCATAGCTGGCACTTAAACTCAACTGCTTGTTTTTGATGCTCAGTTGTTCCAAGGCTGAAATGGATGTCATCAAACTGGGAGTATCCTCCTCTTCACCGCATCCACCGCATAGCGAGAGATTGCTGCTGTGAAGGGCACTACCTTCATCGCAACTCTGGAGAAGATTACTGCCTTGTCCACCAGCCATGCCCACTCCTCCACCTCTGGTGGCCTTGAGGAATGCCCTCCTTTGAATTAGTTGCTGCTGATGCTTCATTGCCTGTAGACTGCTGCTCACAAAGCTCTTGGATTTCTCCAATCCATAGCGCATGCGCAACGCCGGTGGAGGAGTCAATTGCGCCTGTCCGTAGTTGAAGCCTCTTTTGGCCAACTTAGAGCGCCCGGCGGCTGTTCCTCCGTTGATGGCTAGTGCCTGAGTGGTTAGAGGACTTCCTGAACTAGGACTCCCGCCTGATTTGGGCGATAGGCGGTGGGAATTACCGCCTGCATTGGTCATGGCACGGGTAAGCCTGCCTGGATGATGTCCACGAAGCCCAGAGCGTCCTCCCTCCTTAATTCCATTCCCGTTACTGTATTCTAGGTGAGAAAATTATAATATTAATATAAGATCATAATGCTTTAATATATATTTTATATATTATATTTTCCAGATACAAACCACCCAGCTTATTATTGTTGCTCTCCCGCGGAGTGGTGATTGGTTGGGGAGGCACTGGTGGCGGAGGCGGTGGCAGCTCCTTGGGTATGTGGAATGTGTTAATCAGGTTGTGCTGCAGCGACAGCAATCGAAGATTGGGCTCCTGCTCGAATATGGGTATGGCCGTAAGACCCCTCTTGTCGTAGTTGATGCGATCGGGTAAATCCTCCCGCTCCTTGGGCAACCTCTGAATCCGACATATGCCATTTGCCTGCGGCGTAACTATGGCACCACTTACCAGAGTTCCACCTGCACTGCCCACCAGGGTATTGGGCGTTACAGCTGCAGTGGCCGGACGGCAACTATTGGATGCCGCGGAGGAGGATGTGGATTTGGAACGCTGACGCTGGATGCCAACGCCACGTGGTAGATTCCGTTGCTGTTGTTGTTGCTGCTGACGGATTTGGACGGCGGCGGCATAGCTTCGCTTGATCGGTTGCGGCTGGCCAACTTGGAGCTCCGATTGCTGTTGGATCTGCTGCTGCACTGGTCGCTTTGGGATGACATTGTGGCTTAAGGTGCTATGGGAGCGACCAATAGGACGCCGGCGTAGTCTTTGATTAAAACTAGGAACGAACGGTTCGATTTTCAGCAAAGATGTTTGAGGTAAGTAGTTCTGTTGTTGTTGTTGTTGTGCTTGTTGTTGGGGTTGCGGCGAGGGATTCGCCGGAGCTGGAGCAGGAGCAGGGCAGGATGCCTCCGGTGTGGGTATTTCATCGTTAAGTATGGAGCGACTGCGGCACTTGGCCATGGAGATCAGCTGGCGGCGCCTGGCATGTGTTGCCGCCGACGTCGCCGGTGTCGTCCTTGATGGCACTTGTCCTTGCACCTGCACCTGGACTGGCACCTGACCCTGCCCCTGACCCTGGCCCGTTGCCGTGCGTGTGGCACCTTCCACCTTCGAGTTTCATAATAGTTCGATACGAGCAAGCGACTCCTGGAGAGCTTCGGACATGGTTATGGGGATATTAATTGGTCTCTGGTTAATCCTCTTATTTTCGTTGCATAATATGCAGGTCTAGAAAAGTGTGTTAAGTAGTTATTAATTCACTTAAGGAGTAAAAGCAAACAAAAAATTAACTATAATAAGTTAATTAATTAGGAAATATGATTCTAATGCAATCTGGATGGCTTTATTTTGAGTTAATAAAAAATAACTAACTAAAAGTCACTATAATTTAAATCAAATTCCAAATAACTTCAATCACAATTTCAAGACTTAATGGTTGTCGTTATAGTCTCATCATACAATTTTCCAATTTCAGTACTAGAAAAGTATCAGCTATGATTTTCTCACTTAATCCTATGAGGTGGTGTATTGAATTTATCAACTTTTATGCCCAAAAAAAAACACTTTTTAATTACAACTACCTTGCAGTAATTGAAATTTACTCACCCAGTTTTATGGTAAATCCCCGAATGTACGAAAAACCTGGTTCTGGTTATCTAATTTGCAATTGCATTCAGCTCTCTGGTCGACGGATTATGGATTAGTTTGGTTCTTTTTGGGGACACACAAATAGATACAGTGGGAGTGCGGCGAATGGAATTGGGAGCGACTGCTCCACTTGAGCTGCTTTTCCCTTCAGTTCTCGTCGATTTTTGGTGATTTTTTTTCGATTGTTTGGTGTTCAGTCTTTTGGAGTATAGAAGGTATATAGATATATATATCTATATATATATATAGATAAAAGTATGGTATTTGTGTGCTCCTCGAGTGTTGTTGGTCGCCTCCGTGGCAGCTCTGAGCCAGGATTCGTGGACTCTCCTCGCTGGCTCGGGCATGTGGGCCCGTTTTATTAGTTTGTTTATTCGGGTTATACATCCACGGTTTTTGGCTTTGCGCGGTTGCCATAGAATATATAGTATGTGGTGCATTTGGAAGACAGTGGCTGTCCCTATTCCGCTTACTCTAGCTCTCTGTCTCGCTTGCACCCTCGTGATTTCTGTTATTAGTTTGTTTATTTAAAGCTCTTTTGGGGCAATTCGAGGCCCAAAACAGTCAGGCCGTCTGTCGACCCACCTGGCCAACTGACTGACAGTCGGAAAGGTGGAGCGACAGGCGGGCAGACAACTTGAAGACCCATTCGGCTTGTTGCTGCCACGGCTTGCGCTTCTAAACATACCAAAACATTAGAATTGTGAGCGAAGCGGCGGTACACCGCGCACTGAGGAGTCCATGGGGATTTTATAACAGACCTCATAACTCACATGATTTTAGTCTAAATAAAGGTATTTTTATAGGGAAATTGAACTATTTTCCGTGTAAACTCATGAAGTTTCTTTTCATAAACATCTGAAATATTGAAAATAAAATCATTTTTCATGACAAATAGTTTAAAGCCAAAGATTTCCATCACAGAGCCTTTGCAATTTCCTTTCGTGGTCTCGGTCAGGGTTTTCCCAGCGTTTTCATCGGCTAGCGCCCTCAGCATTCACCTTGGCCGTGTGCAATTGGAGGGAAAGTCGTTTGCATTAAAAACCCATTTCGTGGCTTTTCATAGCTGCTGTTGTTGTTATTGCTGTGGCTTGGCTGGCTTTGTTGTTGCTGGTGGAAACTGTTTTGATTTGCGTATGGCCCCAACTATCAGGCAAAGACAGTGGGGCGGTGCAGGAAGGATACAGAGACAGTGACAGTGGGGCGGAGCGGTAGAAACACGCACATAATTGCCTGCCATCGTAATGGATTCACGTGCCTGCTGAGTTTCTCTCGTTGTTCTTGCCGTAATGTTGTTGCGAAATATGCAAAAGTTAAGCGCCAACCGCAGGCGAGACAGAGAAAGGCAGAGAAATTGTGCACTGAAAGGAAATAGGGAGTACCAGTAAGTCTTTATTTTTTGTAGATAGAAAAGTTTAATCAAAGTTTAAATGGTAAGTGAGTCTTTAGAACTTTACTGTTTTAAAGACAAAAATAGTAAAATAAATATTTATTATTTTCAGAAAATATTTTCCTCAGTGCACACACACCTAAGCAATTAAGGAGCAAAAGAGAGAGACGCAAAGAGGGGATATTCGTCGCCTGGCAAATTGCCCGCTGCGAAGGCGGTGGCTCCGTAGCTGGTGCGATACAGACGGGCAACTCAATCGAAGACACTGCAACAATTCGAGTTTAATTGATGCCAGTCGGCGGTGGCAGCAACAAAAATCGTAGAGTGTGCGTGCTCTGGCATTTATGAGCTGAGCTTCGCCGGAAAGAAAGGCTCCTTTTGCCACCTGCCGAACGGACAATAACTGAGCCGTTGATTGGCACTAAGGCCAGGTGCAAAAGCTTCTTTCTTCCCCCGATTTTCACCTGCCATCACACTGGATTCCAGTTATTAGTCTCGTTGTCGGGCATTGAACTTCTTCCCGCTTGGGGCAACAAGTGACGGCGAACTTTCCACGGAAAGTGTGGGTGGTAATCCTTTGAAAGTGCTGGTATGTAAAGTTTTTACTTCTCGGAAATTGGCATTGGCTTAAGATTAAAATTTCGAAATTCGGTTGATGTTCCTTAATACATACATTACTCATACGACTTGAGGGCCAAGTAGTTCTTGTTTAAACTAAATTCCAGACAAAAGTAAGAGCAGGGATGGTTCATTATCGTAGATATCCATTATCCTTGCATTAACTCTGAAAAGCAGCGTTTAACTAGCAGTTAATTCAGACCACTCGGAAATGCAATTCAACTACCGATTTCAGCCTTTTGTAAGGTTTATCAAAGCTGTTGCATGCTGCGATTTTTGTTTACATTGATGTCCTGTCCGTCCCGCTGCGCTGGCTGACTGTTAACCCGAGCGCTATTTACTGACGCTGCGGTGCCAGCCTTTGGTTCTGCTCTTGTTTGTGCCGCTGCCACGGCCGTTGCCGCTACAACTGCCATTGACATCCTTGTTGGCCATTAATTTTGCAGGCTTTCGCGTGGCGAAAATGGAAAATGTCCACGCTGACTGTCCCGCCGCTGTTCTAGATAAAGAGTACTGTGGGAATCGGGCGGGACTCAGCGCTCGATAGCGTAGCGTTCAACCTTTGGCCTTTCCTTTGTCTCTGCGTCAGTCTTCTGCAACAATTTCACTTTTGTTTTCATTGGGTTACACTGAGAGAAAAAGCACTGTAAACTACGGGTTAGAAAATAAATATAAATAGTTACTCTGTATGAAAGCTCAATTAGACCACAGTACAATCTTTTCTGTAACAAGCTAGTTCTAATTATTAAAGTATATAACATGTTTTTAGCTGCAATCACTTTAGATAGCATTATTTTAAGTGCATTGTTGCACTTGTGCTCATTATCGCGATTGTTGCTGCTGTCGCTGTGCGGTGGCTGTTGTTATTTACTTTTTAATAATTACAGCGCTCTGCTGCAATTGTCCCTGACCACAGCCTGAATGGGTCAGACGGAGAACGAAATGCAGGAACAGGGGGAAAGGGTAGAGGTAGTGGCAAGGTGGCAGGGACAGAGACAGGACACGAGCGGGACAGATAGCCGGTCGAGTTGATAAATTGCGCGCACAACGCAGAGACAAAGAATGCCAGCTTACGGACACCCACACAGAAACGGACACCTCGCTTATTAGGTACAGTCGAGGTCATACTAATAGCATTAATAACTATAAATAAAATATATATAACATTTATTATAAGATCAATAATCATTTAATTTTCATCAACAAAACTTCTTTGATATCATGGATTTTTCTCTAGTATCTTGACCTCTACTGTGGCTTACAGTGTCTCGTGATAAGCTGGCCAACACCCAACCTTAACCGCCCATCCACCTCGCATCCTTGGACTTTTCCCAGCGATGGACGAGCAATTTAATCAGTCTGCAGAGCGCAGAAAAGCTGATAATGCCGTTATGAATAATTTACCCACATACGCACACACATTCGTCGACGGGAAGTGAAACGCGTTTTATTATTGTTTCTGGTGCTGTCTCTTCTGGTTTTATTTATAATTAATAAAGCAGGGCCCGTAAAGAGTGCAAAAACATCAAATAAAACCATTTGTTGTTTACATTTACACTTTTCCTTTCGTAACCTTTAAGGAGCTGCGTGTGAAATCATTTTAATTAGGTGCGGTAACTTGTTGCGGCTGACCAGTGGAAAATGCTATAATGAAGAGGAGGAATGTCTACCAAATGTCAAATTCAGTTCTGGAATTCCCACTGGGTGCGTCGGTGTGCTTTCTGTCAAAATCAATGCCCACCGCCACCGCAAATATCATGAATGCAAGATGCCTGCGGTGGGGGCTAATATCGAAATGTAGCCGTCACCAGAGACCGCAGTAAATGAAACAACCAGAAATGGAAAATTATACACTAAAGGTATAGTTTTAATGGACAATTGGATATAAGATAGATATAGGAGATATGTTTAGAAAAGGATATACATTTTGTACAGAAAGGTACTATTTTTAGGTAAGGCAAGACTTGATTAACATCTTTAATCTTTATTGTTGTGAAAAACTTTATCTGAGGTTAATGCACATCTTAACGCAGTCTTTTTATCAACATTTGTTGTTCTTTTCTAACTTGAATATGTTCTGCTTTATAATTCGTAAAAATAAGTAAGATTTATTTGAGTTTAAGCTCTTTAACAAAAATTCCAACAATATATTTTAAATCAGTTTATGTGACAGAAAGTGTTTATGTTAATGCAACATTATTTGAGTTTCATTTAAATACATTGAATTAATAATTGCCACACTTTAAGTGATAATCTTATTTGTTTTAATGCAGTTGGGTATAAAAGCTGAAAGATATATTGTTTAATGGCAGATTACATTTTGGGCTATAGATATATCTATCATCTATATTACTTTGTTCACAATTATTTCGGACTAGTTAACCTCACAGAGAGTCGTTCAAACAGAAGGTTGAAGTTCCTTTAAACGTTCAATTCGTTTCCTTCTGGAGAACCACAACATTCTAGAGCGCCTTCTTGCTGTGACCACATCAGATTCCAGCGGGATGCAGTTACTCCCATTTGAAACCTTCACCAACTCCTCCGCCATATCCAGCTCGCTGGCATTGAGTATTTGTGCGACGTGTGCCTCGTCGATTGTGCCTTTGAAGATGAGGGGATAGGGCCACTCGTGGCATATCGTGGGTCCACTGTAGTCCCTCAGAGCCTCGATCATCCTGTCCAGACGCTGCATCTCCTCGTGGTCATCATTGAATTCTCGCACCTCATTCAGCAGAGCGGTCACATCGGATTCAAGCACCTGAGAGAGAGGTGTGGGTGGAAATTGGATTAGCTGAAAATCGCTTATTTTGCTCGATTTGCATTGTGGTATCCAATGACACAATGACAGTGACAGCGTTACGGTCACTGATAGCCTTACTTTTCCTCCGACCAAGTTATCCACCCCCAAACAACCAGCCCTCCCATTCACGCCATTCATCCGGCGATGTCGGATCGGATTTCAGCTACAATATATTTCTATAGGCCTCGTCGGTAGCGTCTCTATTAGTGCCCAATTAGCAAAGCCCAGGAACCCGGCCAACTAAGCTCATGTTGGGTGCATGTTTCAAAGGGTTGAACCCTACCCCAAACACCCTCAGCCAGAAAAGTAGTTCTCAAGTACAAAGGTGGGTTCTAAGAACTTGGAAAAAACAGGTGAGCTTTGAAAATGAATTGTCTTAAGATTAAGAAATATGAAAAATAATTTGTTGATCTATTTTTCTCTATCAAAATACCTTTTATATATATTATTTTCTAAAAGTTGCTTCCCCTTTAACTGATTTTATATCTTTATTTACCAGATGATGAACATTTTACTAATTATTCTTAATTTCTCTAAACCTGAGCCGGGAATAATTATTACTCATATGTTCGTATGCGATTAGTCATGACTGTGTTATACATTGCGAGCTCGTTCTATAGTCGAACTATAGACGAACCGACATTGTCTAATTAGCGGTGCCAGCAATCACGACAGCCCCCTACAAACACAAACCCAACCCCCATACCCTCAACCCATTGACCAGCGCAACATTTTAACATTTCGTTCCCAATAACTAGCTATAATTGCATTAACATGTTCCAAATCGCTGCCACCGCTGTTAACAGAGTTGCCGGGCTCAAAATGTTGACCAACAGGTGATAACAGGTGGAAGGGAAAGGGAAGTGGCGATAACAAAACTTGGGGAGAGACAAAAAGCGAAGGCCAAAAGGGGTTAATGGATATAGTCAGTTGACAATTGGAGTGCGAAAAGAAAACTTAATTTACAAAATTTCCAGATAAAGTTACTTTTAGAGGTTAAAAACGTTTGATTTACTTTTTGAGATAGATTTATATTTGTAAAATACTTGTAACAAGTTATATATAGAGTGAAAGGCTTTGTTTACAGATCTTGTTTGTAGAACCACTGATAACATTTCGTGAGTGATGGAAAGATAAACAAGTGGCACAATGGCCTGATAAGGTGTATACAGAGAAAGGGGATTGTGTATATGACAGAGATATACCCCACCGATAGTGCTTTCTACCAACAACAAATGCAAACAAGTGTCACGCTGTGGCCAAGAGGATTACTCTTGTATGGTAAAAGCGATTTGGTCAGGGGTAAAGGGGGTTGCTGTCCGATCAATTACCAAAAACTCAATATGCAGATTAATAACACATTTTAGCACTTGACGAACACGACCACGCAAACTTTCAACGCTGCGCAAGAGTTGCCGCCGCTGCTGCACCGCCGCACTAATTGGCTCCATCATCGCGGCATCTGTGATGCCCTGAATATTTTATTTTATTTTATTGCCCGAACCAATGGCGACACTTGTCCAATTTTCGTTTCGTTTTCGGACTTTTACATAGCGCTAATTTGTGTTTGGTTTCATTTTTTTTTATTGTATTTATTTGCTCTGCTTTTGGTTTGCTCGTCGCAGCTTTTGTTTTGGTCTATATATTTCAGCGGCAGCTGGAATTCCGCTCGCGAACAGCGCTCGCCGTTGACTGAGGCCTCTTCTTTCAATGAAAAAATTGTTTACGTGCAATCAACTGGCCACTTGAGTGTATGAGTATGGGTTTGTGTATCACACACACTCAACCAGCCACACACACTCACATTGCAGAGAACAAAGAACCAAATGAGAACATTAGTCCACGCGGAGAGCTCTTTATAAAGTGCAATTTTCAGGGCACGTCGAAAAATATACATCGCTTTTTTTATTAAAGTTGCAATTTTGTCACACGAAATATTTATTTTTCAACATGAAAGGGTGTTTGATTTATTTGGATTTTTATTGAAAGTGATTTTATTTTCTGTTTTCCAGTTTAATCGAAACATTACCTTTATAGCCAAAAAATTATGAAATTTTTATGATTTTTTTTTTTTTAAATAGTTGTCTTTTTGATTTTTGTTTTATGTTTATTTATAAAGATTTTAATAATAAAGTTTTTATTGGGATAAGCTCGCAGTCTTCCAGATTTCTGAAGCATCCTAAAAGCATGCAATGCTATTCCTAACATAGTTTTGCAACAAAGTCATCTCTATTCCCCTCCTGGTAGTATGCAATCTTCTCCCTTTTCTCTTAGCAGCCCCGTAGTATGCAGCAGTTTTCCGTATTCATATGAAGCCGCAATGATTTTAGAGCTGCTCGTTGACTTGGCTTTAATCGTGCTTTTCTTTGGCTTAGCTCAGCCTCATCCTCATCCTTGTTTCCATCCCCGTAACCCCCTAACCCCTTCCACCCGCAACCCATTCCGCTGAAAGCCAAACAAGCATCAGCTGCTAGCCATTAAAATTTTAATTTTGTGCACCATTTGCCACCATCTTGGCCCACTGGGCACCGATCCCATCTCGCCAACGCCATAGCCATCGCCATAGCCATCGCCAACGCCATTGCCATAGCAATCCCGTCCAAAGCCCTTGGCTTGAGCGATTATGTTGATGGCCAAGCCAAGGCTGCTTACCTGCAAGACCACGCCCTTCATGCCGCTCGTCCGCCTCCTTGTCGATAATACGCTCAATTCAATTTGCATATTCAGTTGTCCAATGAAGCGCACACCACACAGAAGCGTTGCGATCCACCATCCTTCCAGCTTCCAATTCAATCCGGAGAAGCACCCTGCCTCACCCGGTGGCACGTCCAAGCAAATGGTCTTTTTCTGAGCCATCCAGGTTGTTGGCCACTTGAAAGCAGCCAAAATGTGCCGCTGACAGCAGCGCACGCATGAGCTGCATGAGAACTTTCTCACTGAAAGAAAATATAGAGTAGTGTTACCCATATCCTTCATATCAAAGTGAATAATCTTATAGCCTGAGAGGGTATAGGAAATGCAGTTCTTATATTTAAAAATGATTAATTTACTGATTTCCTAATGGCGTTAGTTATTCTCCTTCTTCTCAGTGTACTTTGAGCTACCAGATCCAGCTTTTGCTTCTTGAATCCCTCCAGCGTGGAGTCGTCCTCACCTGCTGTTAGTCCATTACGTTAGCAATTTAACTTGCGCCACGTAAACATGATTATCATCTTAAGTGCAGCGTGTGTGGGCGGTGCAATGTGCGTGCAGCGGGTGGGAAAAACTTTGCCACCAGCTGCGGATTGTAAGCTCGTTGGCTCGCTGTTTAACAAGTTTCAATCTGCTTAAAACTGCAATTAATTTAAACGGTTTCCCTTTTTTTGGCTTTTTGCCCCATTATTGCCGAAAAACAATGTTTGCGGACGAACGCCACCCAATCGGAATCCGGATTCCAATCCGGTTAGAGTGCTGCTGCCCTAATTGAGCTTGTCAAAATCAGCCACCAAGCAAGCAAAGTGAGCGTATTTTGTCCAGGACACCTGTGAAGGATTCAACTCCCGAGCGGTAAAGGTACAGGATTCGGATTCGGTCCTTGTCACCAGCAGCTGGTGGTGGTGTTGGTGCTTGTGGTGTCCAATGGTGATGCTGATCCTGATGAAGCAGATTGCAGCAGATTGAACCTCATGAGGAGTCGCCCACACTTCACACACATCCCTTGTTGCAGTTGCGAGAAAATTGCAACAGCCGCTTGATTAATTTGAGGGCGGGCCCAAGATAAAATTTGTGGGCGTGGCTGCAACGTAACACCATTTTATGGCCTTGATACGATGGGTGTTTCAAAGGGTATCTGGCGATAAGGGTGTACTAGGCTTGATACAAGGTGGCTATATCAATGGGTATTAAATATCTAAGATGTGAGTAGTTTTGTTTGATATTTGCAATAATAATAAATTAACAAATCTTAAAATATTTAACTATAAAACCAGGGTATTCATAAGCATCATTATTTCCATAAACTTTTTTATTACTCTCACTTGTTTTACCGCTTGACAGGGTAAATACGAACCCGAAAAACAAGGACCAACGGCACAGAGTCCATCAGACAGACACTGAAAAAACGGAGAAAGCTCACTCACGACTACAACTGCATTTATGCAAATATTAATATAGATATGCTCACACACACACACTGTCAGAAACAGAGAGACAGACAGACAGACAGAAAGAGAGGGCATCACAAAGTACCGTTGACAAACCCATTATCAGGAAAACAAACCGGAGATTAACTTGGCAAAATGTCTGCAGACGTCAAAAAAACCCAGAGTGGCCGACAAGTGCGAGCGAGAGGGCAGCAGTTGGATAACCACCAGATGCTGAATAAAATATGAGCAAACACACACACATATACAGATGCATCCAGAGGAAGCGAGACAGCGAGAGGATGCAGACACACGCATTTGGTCCTGCGAAAGTGACACATGAGCGTAATAACAGCTAAGACCTTACTAAGCATCCGGCAGTCAACAACCACTTGCTGGATGCCCATCCTCATCCATGTAGTCCTCAGCCTCATCCTCGTCCTGGCTACCATATCGTCCTGGTCGAGCATCTAGCATCCCCTCCTGGTTTTTGGGCCGTCGCTGCACTCAGCATGATTACAAATTATAACGTCTGAGCAATCGCCGCCAGTTCTGCAACTGTGTGTGTGTGCATAAAGGGGCGGTACCGGTTACCGCCCATAGGAAATATAACTCCTCAACTTTCGCCAGCCATACTGAGGGAAAAAATATAAAGAAGTTGCTGTGGAAAAAAGGTAAGGGAGCTTAGAAAAACTGAAGTCTTTGGTTATGATAAAAAAAGTCATAAAAAAATATGTTGCATTTTTGAATATAATAATATTTACCATCTTATTCAGTCTTCAAGTTTAATACTTTAGCAGCACAAACTATTTTATTGCCTACTTTTTGGTGCTTTAGATAAATTTTTCAAGTGTATCTCAATGATGCCGCCGGCTGCGTTTTTGGCTTTGGGTTTGAGTGGTGGTTGGCAAACGGTTAACGAATTTGTTGCACGCACCGCTTACTAGATACCCCTTCGTCCTCCGCTCTGATCTGTCGCCGTGTGCCTGCTGGTGGTTGGCCAGACAGGATGCCCTGGCTGCTAACCTTGCCCCTGGTTGGTCCTGCCATCCCCTGCTCCTTCAACCCCTGCAGGGGCAGCCACATCTGCACTCCCCTGGCCTCTGCTTAGATAATTCCGTTAGCTTGCAGTGTTTTCGTTGTTGTCCTAATAACTTAATTATGCATTTGCCAGTAAAGTGCTCTAAGCGTTTTTTTTTTGTGTGCAGCATTTAAAATGGCGTCTGCGCCCCCGGAAAGGCAAATCCGGAGTGGTGGACGGGGACCACATGGGTCACCCGTCTGGCGTCGGCTTTGCTCTTTAAGCCCAAGAGCCCACTACGAATTGGGGGCAGAAGTCAAGGTGAACAAGTTTTCTCAGTGTGTTTCTAAAATCTCTAGAGCTTCTAAAATAATGGTTTAATTGTGTAAAACTGTGGGGTTAACTATTTAGTGTAGGCTATACAATAGGGCAGGGTGGACTTAAAATCTGTTTTGGTTTTCCCAAATCCTCTCATTGTTTTACTCAGTAAATTTAAAAACAAAGAAATTAGTTGAAAATAGTTTAAAAGTTATGTCTTAAATAAAGATCAAAGTTCATTGCAGTAAAATATTTTAAAGCATACATTTCGACATCAAAGTTATGGTTTTTGAATCTCCAGAGAATATAGCAACCACCATAAAATGTTTTTACCTCTGACTTGGGTAGTAACTCCAAATTGTTCGGGCACTCAAATGCTTACCCCCAATTTGAATAATAATAACACGAACTATTTCGGGCAGCAATTGAGCAACCTTTTCGCTATCAGGACATGATGTCCTGGCATCTACAACTTACTTTTACTACTCCACTAGTTTTATGACCACTTTCGCTTGGAATCGCGGGCATGGATGGCTTAAAGGGGGTGGCACGTGCGGCAGAGTGCGCGATTTTTCAAGGCACAAGGTCAAGCCGAAGTAACCCATTGTGGCAGCAGAAGGGCGGCCAACGAACATCCTGCCGCCAAACACAGACCTAAATCCTTTTTGATTAAATTCAATGGTTTATATCCAATATCCCCCCCCAAACATTTTATATGTCTTTGAAACGCATTTTTCTCGGCAGAATCCCATTTTTGTGTTTCTCTTCTGGTTAAAGCACACACACACAAGCGCATTTAGAGACACAAAACACACCCACTAACACACGGAGACATAAAACAAAATGGAGACAGTCGACCGGAGGAGAAAATAGATTGAAGTGTAATCATGGTTTTGAACTGCTCCTCGGTCATACATTTAATCCGAGCCAACGTAGCAGACACAAAATGGCCAAAAACGGCCAACGAAGTGAGAGGGAAAGTAAGCGTTTAGCTTGCCTCTCCTGCTATGTTTGTTACACTTCGATATATCTATGTCTACTTCCGTATACGTCTTCAAATTGTAAATCATTTGAGTAAGCTAGCTGTGACTATTTTTGAAACTTGTTTTTCTCAGTGCTCCAAGTCCCATATATAAAACAAAAGACATTGTAATTGGAGGATATTGGAATGGGCAAAGGGACGAAGAAGAAAAGTTCGAGGGCTCGTGCGGTGATGCTTATTCCGCCTGACTGATTGGTGGCTCCTTTGTCTCTGCTCCGTGCTCCCTGCTCCGGATGTCTCTACTGTTCTGCCTCCATCTCCACTCCATCTCCGGAGCTGAGTCTCCTTATTCTTCGAGTGTTATCTAAGTTTGTTTGAATAAACTTAAGCGAATGTTTTGTAAGAAGATTTCCTTTATTGCCAGAGAGTGACTTGGATTTGGTTGACAACCACATATGGCTAACTAGCTGTATGGCAAGAGGGGGCAGGGGTTATAAGCCGAGAACTGCACTTCCCTGAAGTTTCTACCCTCTATAGAAGAGTTTTCAAGTTCGCTTTGCATTTTGTGTGTGCGGAATATCTGTCTGTTTGAGTTGACTGCCTTTCCCCCAATGTGATAGCCCCAGTATCGATTGAGTTCGATTCGTTTTGGTACTCTATAATTCCACCTTAAGCCAATTTAACAACACAGGCACTTGACCCGGCCATCAGTGTATCATAATAAAAGCTATAATTTCAGCAATCTAGAAATGCCGGACACAAACAAACAAAGGCTTACGGTTAGTCGATTCGATTTTGAAATAATACTTAATGGCCGTAAAATTATACGGTACAGTCAAGTGTCCTTTGGATGCGGATCCTTCTGCCTTTGTGGCCTCGTATGACCATAGAGAGTTTCTGCCATAATCGTTCTGCGGTTTGATGTTTGCCTTCCGAAAGATGATTACAAATAATCATACAGTGCGTTTCATTGGTGTTTGACAGTTGACAGCTTTGGTTTCAGTTAAAAGCTGAGCTAAGATTAAGAACTTAAACGGAAATCAGTTGTTGTTTGTCCAATTGACACATGGAGACAAAAACAGGAAGTCAAAATTATCTATTTTAGTTAACAAAATAATAACAAGTAGTAGTCTTTTTCTCCTGTGTGCCTTAAGTCTAGTAAAATCTCACTCGGAAAGCAATAATCTTGATTAGTTTTAACCAAAACCCTTAACAATGAACCTCTAAAGGAATGCCAGACAAAGCTCTAACCCTTATTATTTATGCAAAACGCTACATCAATTCATTAAGGATGTACAAATAATTTTCAATTTGAACAACATCTGAGAACAGCTCTTGAGCCGAAACATAAGCCCGCCCAGAATGATTGAATATTCTACACCAATTTTATATCAATTCCATCTTATTTTGTTGACCCCAAGCAGTTGGCCCCTGTCCATCCATCATTTTCACCGGTCTGTCGGTCAGCCAAAAGGGAACTTGAAGTATTTCTTGCCAGTATTTGATATGTGTCTATATCATTGTCTCAGCCTTTGTCGAGGGTGCCGATGTTTTCATGGGCGTGTGGAGAATTTTCAACTCGAGACAGGCTCTTAAAATGGCCATAAAGCAAATTGTGAAAAATTATTGTGTGTATAAAATTTAATGACATGTCAAAAAGGATATCCGGCATACGCTGCTCTGTTCCGTGTTGCTGCTTGTGGCTGCTCCTGTGTTGCCATTTGACGAGCTGGACAAATGGCCAAGGTCCTGTGGCCATCGGATCCTTGTGGGCGGACGTGTAATGTCCTGTAAGTCCTGACAATTTTAGTCTAGTTGCCGGCGTATTTGTATTTACTTCTTTGTGTCCGAGGCCAACACATAATCAAGCGCAACTTTATTATTTTGTCCAACAACTACGGTCGCTGCCTCTGCCGGGGTTATTTTTATGCCCTGCTCAGCCGGTCTCTATATATATGTTTGTACGTATAACCATATATAGCTGTCTGTTGTGCGGTCTTTATGCCCGTCATCATTATGCTCTTGCCTTGGCTTGTTCGCCGGCTCCGCTATTTGCCAGTCGCCAGTTGCCAGTTGCCATTTGCCATGTTCCATGCTCTTCCATGCTGCTCCATGTTCCGAGCTGCACATTTTATAGTTTTCAAAAGTCACAAAAATGTCAATTGCTTGTCTTGCCCGCCTCCATCTCCTCATCCTTGGCCCACCAAATGGCATTGAATAAATTATATTGTGGTCATAAAGTTGCTGCACCATGTTTACCACACAGATAGATAGAGCCATGTCCATGTTCATGTCCACGTCAATGCACAGAAAGAAAAATGGGGCATTCGAGGAGGCACAATGATTTCAGGATATGTTCTCTATCTCTACAAGAAGTATAATATGGCTAGTAGGTTGTAACGCTCTTTAGTTCTCTGTGTAGCTGATGTCATAATGGTTGGGCACTAACTGGTATCTTGACATCTTATCCTAGACTCTGGAATCGTTCTATTTGCATGTGGCTAAAAAGGGGGACCAGCCAAGCTAATCAGCGGCGGGAATTGATTTTGTCCCGACAGTTCGATCAACAAATTACACCCACTTCAATAATGAGAGGCCATTAAGTGATAAATTATGGCCGAGCATGTGACCGGGAAGTTTTTGAATTTTAATCAAGCTAAAATTTAAGGCAGTTGCCATCGGGTCAGGGTCGAAAGCCATAATTTCACTTTCATTACTCTGCTCTACGGCTCCTTGGAATGTCCTGTTAATGTGCCATGCTCGAGTGAAGCATAAATCTATTTATGCGGTCCTCCACAGCTTTCGCTCCAACTTGAACCCTTGGTAATTGAAAATATTTGAAATAATTCATAAAATTTTTATGTGATTTCTCCCCCGAAAAACGAAACTATATTCCGGGAGTGGGTCTTGTCTCGACTTATCAGATCGTATAATTTAGCGCAGATAATTGTTTTAATGATGTCATAATTTCGCCTTGATGGCGTGCTTACAAAATGGCTTCAACTGATTTATGCTCCATTCCGATTCGAATGCCCAAGTCCCTCTCCAGAGTGTAGGCGTCAGCCCGGGGCTTGTGCACTTGTAGATACCGCAGATAGTGGCATACGTAACCAGTTTGCCGCTCGACAAAAGAGTAAATAACGGCATTGCATGATTTATGTGCCCAAACAAAGCGCAACAAAACGTTGTACAGTCGAAAAAAATAGTCGCAAGTCTAGCTTAGACATTTCGATATTTTTCTAGATATAGTATTTTTTAGTATATGGTTTTTTTAATATTTCATATTACTTTCTCTTTCGTGTATATACAAATTACTGTAATGTATGTATGTATATGTATCAAAAATCTAATATAAAAAATCTCATAAAATTATTATTTATAGTGTCGTAATACTACCTGCCCCCGGGCAATGAGAGCCAGGCCACCTGAGTGCCCGGATCGCTGACTGACTGTCCCTGCTCCACATATCTGGCAGGGCGAGATTGTGTGGGCGCTAACCACTTGAAAACGTTAAATAAGTTGTCTAACCACACATTAAACCAATTTGGCACTGCGCTGGCCGCCAGTCTGGCACCTTGGATTGTGCCAGCAGGTCCTGCCAGCTCCACCTCCGCCCCACCCTAAGATCCCCGTTTCGGATCCGCCCACCGAAGTCCCTGGCTGCCATAAATCATAGGGCGACCCACGTATGTGACTACTTGGGCTAGGGGATCGATAAATTATTATTAGTTGGTCTGTCCAACGGTCCCGTCCCCGGTTCCCTCCTACTTTTCGGCCAACCTCCTTGTTGGAGGCGCGTGCAAAGGAAGTTGTTAGATCCCAGAAAGGAGCGCTGACCGAAATCCTTGGCTCGCTGCGGTTCAAATGCCTTTTAACTTAACAACTTTTTTTTCCTGCTGCTGCCAACACCAAACAACGCCCCCCACACCCCACACACACTCTCGCAAATCAATGGGTGACTTTGTTCCTGGCGGGTGGGTACACTGGAAACAAATATTTATTACTTTTTATCATTAAATTAATAACTTTAGCAAGCAGCATAGTTCAAGATATTCTTAAAGAGTGAAAATTGGTTTTCTATATTATGAGAAAGATATGCCTTGCATACATTTGTTCCTATATTTCTCCCAGTGCAGGGATAAAGGGGCTGAGAAGGACACGGCAGGCCAGGGCAAACCCTTAACGTTGTGTGTAAAGTGGACTTGACATGAGATTAACATCTTCAAAAGCATAGCTTAAAGTATTTGTTAGAGTTCGCCGAAGTTGCGCCTGGCTGCGAGTAAGGTGCCAGGACCCGGGACAGAATACAGAATACTGGGTCCTGGGTCGACTCCTGACCAACCCGCTGACCCTTCGCTTTCACCCACCTCGTTTTTGGATAATTGCGTTCTTGTGCGCTGAGCCATGAGCTTAACTGTTGCTGTCATAACTAAGCGAAAAGGTACACAATTTATGGAATCGAGTCCAAGTCCCATTCCCAAAAGGTGCCTGCCCATTGGAGTGGGCCCACCAAGCCAGGATATACACAAATACTAGCTGGTTATGGTATAACAATTTTCGTTGGATTTATTCGTTGATTTCAATAGTTAAATAATAGAAAAACTTAGGGCCTAGTAGTGGTTGGTGGGGGGTGAGTAGTTCAAGTCGCGAACGAGAAGTTCAGGTACAGGTGTAATCGCAGTCGAAAGGACTTACAGGGCACGGCGATGACGCAGCTTCAGACGGCGCACAGTCTTGTACTTGTAGCCCTCGTCGCCGAGAACGGCGGAGTCCTGGGACACTTCCTCGACGGGCGCATCAGCCACAACCTTCTCCTCGGCAGGGGGCAGGTAGTCGCTGGCGATCTCGGAGACATCGCGACGCTGACGGTACTTAAGACGACGCACAGTCTTGTATTGGTAACCATCGGCAGCAAGAACAGCGGAATCCTGAGAAGCTTCCTCAACTGGAGCCTCCTCCAAAGGAGCCTCGGTCACAACCTCCTCCGAAGGGGGCAAGTATTCGTTGGCGATCTCGGAAACATCCCGACGCTGACGGTACTTCAGGCAGCGGATAGTTTTGTACTCGCCATCGGCGGTAGGGACAGCGGGTTCATGGCTGTACTGAAGACAACGGCCGGTCTTGTACTGGTAACCATCGGCGGCCAGAACTGCGGAATCCTGGCTAGCTTCCTCTACTTGAGCTTCCTGAATGGGGCCTTCGGTGGCAGGATCCTGAGTGGGTGGCAGGTATTCGTTGGCGATCTCGGAAACATCACGACGCTGACGGTACTTCAGGCGGCGGACAGTCTTGTACTGGTAACCATCGGCAGCAAGAACGCCGGAGTCCTGGCTGGCTTCTTCAACTGGAGCTTCCTCGATAGGGGCTTCAGTGGCAGCTTCCTCAGTGGGTGGCAGGTATTCGTTGGCGATCTCGGAAACATCACGACGCTGACGGTACTTCAGGCGGCGGACGGTCTTGTACTTGTATCCATCAGCAGACAGGACAGCGGAATCTTGGCTAGCCTCCTCAACTGGAACCTCCTCAACTGGGGCATCGGCAACAACTTCCTCAGTGGGTGGCAGGTATTCGTTGGCGATCTCGGAAACATCACGACGATGACGGTACTTCAGGCGGCGGACGGTCTTGTACTTGTATCCATCAGCAGACAGGACAGCGGAATCTTGGCTAGCCTCCTCAACTGGAACCTCCTCAACTGGGGCATCGGCAACAACTTCCTCAGTGGGTGGCAGGTACTCGTTGGCGATCTCAGAAACATCACGACGCTGACGGTACTTCAGGCGGCGGACAGTCTTGTACTTGTATCCATCGGCGGACAGGACAGCGGAATCCTGGCTAGCTTCCTCAACTGGAACCTCCTCAACTGGGGCATCGGCAACAACTTCCTCAGTGGGTGGCAGGTATTCGTTGGCGATCTCGGAAACATCACGACGCTGACGGTACTTCAGGCGGCGGACGGTCTTGTACTTGTATCCATCAGCAGACAGGACAGCGGAATCTTGGCTAGCCTCCTCAACTGGAACCTCCTCAACTGGGGCATCGGCAACAACTTCCTCAGTGGGTGGCAGGTATTCGTTGGCGATCTCGGAAACATCACGACGCTGACGGTACTTCAGGCGGCGGACAGTCTTGTACTGGTAACCATCGGCAGCAAGAACGGCGGAATCCTGGCTGGCTTCCTCTACTGGAGCTTCCTCGATAGGGGCTTCAGTGGCAGCTTCCTCAGTGGGTGGCAGGTATTCGTTGGCGATCTCGGAAACATCACGACGCTGACGGTACTTCAGGCGGCGGACGGTCTTGTACTTGTATCCATCAGCAGACAGGACAGCGGAATCTTGGCTAGCTTCCTCAACTGGAACCTCCTCAACTGGGGTATCGGCAACAACTTCCTCAGTGGGTGGCAGGTATTCGTTGGCGATCTCGGAAACATCACGACGCTGACGGTACTTCAGGCGGCGGACAGTCTTGTACTGGTAACCATCTGCAGCAAGAACGGCGGAATCCTGGCTGGCTTCCTCTACTGGAGCTTCCTCGATAGGGGCTTCAGTGGCAGCTTCCTCAGTGGGTGGCAGGTATTCGTTGGCGATCTCGGAAACATCACGACGCTGACGGTACTTCAGGCGGCGGACGGTCTTGTACTTGTATCCATCAGCAGACAGGACAGCGGAATCTTGGCTAGCTTCCTCAACTGGAACCTCCTCAACTGGGGCATCGGCAACAACTTCCTCAGTGGGTGGCAGGTATTCGTTGGCGATCTCGGAAACATCACGACGCTGACGGTACTTCAGGCGGCGGACAGTCTTGTACTGGTAACCATCGGCAGCAAGAACGGCGGAGTCCTGGCTGGCTTCCTCAACTGGAGCTTCTTCGATAGGGGATTCTGTGGCAGCTTCCTCAGTGGGTGGCAGATATTCGTTGGCGATCTCGGAAACATCACGACGTTGGCGGTACTTCAGGCGGCGGACAGTCTTGTACTGGTAACCATCTGCAGCAAGAACGGCGGAATCCTGGCTGGCTTCCTCTAGTGGAGCTTCCTCGATAGGGGCTTCAGTGGCAGCTTCCTCAGTGGGTGGCAGGTATTCGTTGGCGATCTCGGAAACATCACGACGCTGACGGTACTTCAGGCGGCGGACGGTCTTGTACTTGTATCCATCGGCGGAAAGGACAGCGGAGTCCTGGCTAGCTTCCTCAACTGGAACCTCCTCAACTGGGGCATCGGCCACAACCTCCTCAGAAGGGGGCAAGTATTCGTTGGCGATCTCGGAAACATCACGACGCTGACGGTACTTCAGGCGGCGGACAGTCTTGTACTGGTAACCATCGGCAGCAAGAACGGCGGAGTCCTGGCTGGCTTCCTCAACTGGAGCTTCCTCAATAGGGGCCTCGGTGGCAGCTTCCCCAGTGGGAGGCAGGTATTCGTTGGCAATCTCGGAAACATCACGACGTTGGCGGTACTTCAGGCGGCGGACGGTCTTGTACTTGTATCCATCAGCAGAAAGGACAGCAGAATCTTGAGAGGCCTCCTCAACTGGAGCCTCTTCCACGGGGGCATCAGCCACGACCTCCTCAGCTGGAGGCAGATAATCGTTTGCCACTTCGGAGACGTCACGACGATGGCGGAGCTTCAGGCGGCGCACGGTCTTGTAGCGGTATCCATCTTCTCCCAGCGATGCAGGGTCTTGGGCCAAAAGGTCACCAACTTCCTCTGCTGGCGGGATGTACTCGTTCACGATCTCGGAGACGTCACGACGGTGCCTGGCTTGTTCGACAGGAATCACTGCAGCCGTCGCGGCGGCAATAAAGATGCACGCTAAGAAAAGTTTCTGCAAAGAGAATGCAAATTGAATGTTAGCTGTGGTAATCCTGAAGGAATATCCTTGTTTTGGGATATTCACCATTTTGCTATAGATCTCCAAGCTAATTGCTTTGACGATGGAATCTATGGGTCGAATGATTAATCGTCGCAATTTGTCCGCATATTTATACGCTCCAATGTTTGCCAGCTTCCAATCAAACAATGGCCAACGCTCTGTTTGCCGGCAAACAGCGGCGGAAACCGAAATCGAAACCGATTCCGAATCGGTAACAAAGCAATGAGTCTGGCCAAAGCTCTAGCATGCGCTACTCGAGCCCTCAAGTGCCCCCGTCTCCGTCTTCAAGATTTAACTTCACGTGGAGATAAAGCCCAGCTGGAAGCCGGTTTGGTCCATAGTACAGTGGGTGAAATTGAACATAATATAGGGCTCTATTATCCGTAATTTTTGGAATACTCCTTAACAAACAAACATTTGGCATACATAAGTTATATTAATTTTTTAACATATTGGTCACACTGAATTTATGTTCCTGTTCCTCTTGCCTCCTTATCACCGTGGAATGCACGTTTGTTGTGGTGTTGATCCAATAATAATACAAAAAAACAATTAATAGGAAACATGTTATCATAAATGGAACTAGAGAAATACTAATTAATATTATCATTTCATGAAAAGATTGCCTATAATTATATTTTGACCAAAATTGGATCAACATATCCCACAGTGCATAGGTGGAGTTGGCCGAAGATTGCCCAGTGCGGAACTAAATGCTCTGCGTTTCGCTTTCGTTTGTCGTTCGCCACTTCGATCGGATTCGATTGGTATTGCTATAGCTTAAGATATAGCTTCACGGTCAAGTGCGAGCATCGGACCCCTTAACAAGATCTAATGCAAAAAACACAATGATATTCGAACATTTTAATGGTAGCGTACGTTTACGTTTGCTCACACAGCCCGGGCATTTATTAATAGTTTCGAACGTTAATTTCTCAAGTGGCTATCGGTAATTTGCGTACTACTCGATTTTTTTGGAGTTCAACGAACCGCTCAAGATTGATGATTGCCAAAAGGTCGCACGGGCAACACGACGTATTTGTTTAATGGATTTCGCTAATAAGTTTTCGAATATGTTTAAATTTGTTCCGTTTTGTGATTCGTAAAGGATTACGTTATTGTTTATTAATGGCATTCTAGAATGTGGAATTTACTATTGCTTAATGGTATTCTTGATTTTAAATTGGAAAGTTAATAATACTTAATTAGTAAAGTATTAACCAAGTCTTGTTTTTAAGAATGAATACTAATACTAGTTGTTAACTTGTACACCACTAATGCTAATATCCCAATCGATAACCCATCGTGTTATCGTAATCGGCTAATTGAGCAATGGCGCAATTTTATGACCCGTGTAGTTGTTGTAATAATCTGTGTGTCCCGTAGCCCGCATCCCGTTAACGGCTCCTCACGACGAGGATATCAAAGATTTCGCCGAAAATATGCTCCACGCAAAAAGGACGTAGACGAGAAAACAACGGAGCAGCTTACAAGTTGGGAGCATGTTATGCGCTGCCGAAAAACTTTGGCTATGAAATTCATAAACTTGGCAAAACAAGCTTGCTGGCGGCGGGCAAAGGACAAGAAGGAGGCACCAGGAGGAGACAGAGTTGGCTGCAGGAAACTTTTCACAAATCATGCATATGATGTTGGGGCACTTTCACTTTGGCTCTCCCGAGGGTCTTACGAACATTTCCTCCCCACACCGTCGAACCCCGCCCGCCCCACGGCCTTGGACTAATTAAAGAGACAAAACTGCGTAAGTTTTTCGGTTTTTCAAGAGTCATCGTCATATAGCCATCTTGAGTTTTTGCCCCGAAATGTGTGTCAAGTGGCAGCGAGTGCAAAACAAAGCAAATGGGGTGTGCAATCTGCTGTAAACAACCATAAATTTTGCCTGCTTTTGGGTTTCTTGACTTGGTCTGGAGTTGCTAGGGGAACTATCGCACTCATAAAGGGGCCAAAAAATATATATATTCATATAACACTCCCGATCCCCGGACAGCGACGTCCTTATCGCAATCACTCACATCGCCACTTGTGAAATCGTGGCAGACCACCGAGATGAGGATGCAAATACAGTGAAGCTTCAAATATATTGCTCCTCAGTTATACTTCTATGTACTTACTATAAACTTAAATAGAGTCTTAAAAGTAAAATAATCATAAAACTTTCGGAGAGGGTTTGCAACTAAATGGATGTATATCATAAAATTCGTCCAATAATCGATTTAAAAATGTGACAGATGACTGTTCAAGTTATGCTAGCTCAACTGTATATTTTTTGGCGGTTTGGTTTCGAACCAAAAGTATGAAGTGAAGCATGAACATCCTATGACACATTATAATATGTATAAACGATGTTTTATGACAATCAATTTGTTTCAATCGAATAGACACACCCGCCGCATGTGCGTGTGTTTGTGTTGTGCTCTCATTTATGTGATTATTTGATTTGTGTTTTGACGTTGATACTCGCACACACAGAACAGATTCAGAATCAGTATCAAAATCAAAGCCCTGAAGCTCTGGCATAACGAATTTTATGAACTAGAAAGTATCATTAATTTAATACGCATTCGCATACGCAAACAAGCCGATGATATGGATTGGGTATGGGGGTATGGGGATGGTGAGGCTGGTGAGGATATGGATGAGGATGCGAATTGGTGGCCCTTAGTTATGCTCTTCTGATCATTGTAATGTAAATACGGCCCGAACTCTGGCCGCGTGCAATCATAAATAAACATTCGACACAAACACAATAAATGTCAAAAAGTTTCGCCATTATCCGCTCGCCAGTTAATGTCCTTGTCGCCGTTGTCATCGTCGTCATCGCGTCGTTGTCGTCTTGAAAGCGAACACAGCGCTTTATTATTTTAATGATTTCGCAATGGCAGTGCCCGGCCCGAGCTTCCTCTCTTTCCCTTGGCCCTTCATCCTGTCAGCACTCTGGCATGTCCTGGAACTCTCGTCCTGGTCTCCTGCACTGTCCTGTGGCATTGTGTTTACATTTGTAATTCAATTCGCGACCGCTCCTCCAGCTCCTCCTGCTTCTGCTCCTCCCCTACGAAAAAGCTCTCTACCATCACCATCGCCAGCTCCATCTCCGTCCGCTTGTTATTATTTTACATGTCGTTCGCTGGCTCACTATAATTTATTAGCAATTTGCATAATTTTCTTTTATAAAGCATTGCCTCTGTTTTCCGCTGCTTTTTGCTTTTAGTGCTGACACCGCGCCGTCAACTCTTTTTGGCCAGTGTTATGCAAATGGCCTGGTCGTAATACCCATGGGTTCACCACCCCACTTTACGGTTATGCACGATCGCTATCAATGGGCATTTTGTTGCCCCGATTATTGTCTGAATAAAATACCTCTCGAAATTTGCATTCACATCTGCTCTGAACTCAGCTCAAGGGAAGGTCTCAGATCTCTGGGTTAGTTGGCTAAAAGCAGCTGCCGTTTATGGTTCTAATACAGGGTCAGGGAACTCTCAAAGATCGGAGAAGGTTCCTTTATAAGTTTGCCAAGGTATAGTAAAAGTTTAAGGTTATTTCCTTGAGAAGTTTAGTGTTTCTAAGGGAATAATTAACAAACAAGCAATTAATCCAAGCAAGCAATTATCCATTTAAATATTAAAGATAAATCCTGAAAATAAACTTCAAGCAGCGACAGCTTTCAGATGCACTAGTTCAAGACATTTCTCTTATTGGTCTAATGAAAATTAGTTAATTTCCAGAATCAAGTCCTTCGAGAAAACAACAGAATACAAACAAGGAACAAAAGTATCTTTATTACGTCTTAGTGGTGTAGGAAATGTTTTTATTTTTCCTGTTTGTTTTTCTCCTTTAACTCGAGCTGAACTTTTGCTGCATAAACAATTAAAAATTAATTTTAAAACTTTTGGCCAAAGATAAACGGAGGATGACGATGACGGTAAGCGAGGAATCGAGAGAATCAGTTAGCTCATTAAACCCGCCACATGGTCTTGGTCTTGTGGTTCTGTTTTTCGGGCCAACTTTCGGTCGAAGGAGCGTCTGCATCATTACGCAATCTTTGCTTGGGATGCTTTGAAGTGGACTTTAAATGGGGCTAAATGAAACTAAGAGAAACTATTTAAAATACCATTTGCTGTGGAATCAATCGACAACGGATGAGTTTTGTAATTAGGCAGCTCAGTGGGCGGGCAAGGAGGCACACAAACACGCCCCGAAGTATATAGACTCAAGTCAACGTTATTTCATAAACACGCTCAAGTGATTCGGCAAACTTCTGCCGGGAGGCAGGGTAGGACTTTGACCAAGCCCGAATTGATCCACAGATCCAGTGTTTGCCCGGCTGTCTGTTTGCCCTGCCGGCAAAGGTCTCCGGGCCCACTGTTTGACTTGAAGGTATTAGAAACTAATTTGTACAGCAGCCAAAGCAGCCGCAGGAACAGCCAAAGGATGAGACTGAGTCTGAGGCTGAGGCGGAGGCACAGGCAGATCCTTGGCCAAAGCTAACCAGGATACAAACAACAATTGTTTGCCTGTCCATCCATCTATCCCGGGCTTTGGCCCTAGTTGGCCATCCACTTTGGTCTCGCTGTTTTCGGGCTTTCCGAAGACAATGAGTAAAAAATCCAAAGGCAAAGGCAAGCCAAATCCCCAACAATGGCAGCAACAACAGAATGGCTAAATCATATGGCCCGGCCAAAAGGACCACTGACAAAAAGGGACTCGTCTCGTTTTTAAGTCGCCAGCGGCTTAAATTTTCTTAAATGTTACATTGTCTCTGGCAACGACAGACATACCAACTACACTCCGGCAGACCAGGAGCCCAACCCAATCCCGGACATGCCAGTCTTTTTACGGTTTAACTAAACAATCTCCTCACGAGTAAATATTTTCGGGCATATGCAAAACTTTACAATGAACCGACACCAAAACTAAGTCCTCTGTCTCCTGGCTAAGTACATTTATCTTTAAGACTAAAAACCATAACAATTTAGTGTTGGAAATTTTGAGCTACGCATTGCAGAATTTATTCGCACACACACACATACCCACCGTGGAAAACACCCGCACATGGGCACACACATAGTTGGGCTTCATGGTTTATCCGGCAGATATTCTAACAAATATTTACCCGGGTCGAGCATTTTATCGGAGAGCGCAGAAAATGCTTAGCTAAGCAAATTGTTGTTCCAGCAGCCGCTGCCCTTAAAGTTGCTCCTCCTACGATAATTTAATTTCAAAACTAAATTTCCGTATATATTCTCATCACAAAAGGAAACGTATGGGAAAAATCTATATGCAAATGAATTTTTAACTACATTTTAAGGTTTTATCTAAATAAATTTGACACTCTGCTACCAAAAAAGCGGACAATATTGCAATTATTCAAAAATGTTTCCCAGAAAAGTTTACTTTTTTAAGGGTTTTAATTACATAGTTTTAATATTCAATAACATTATTACTAGTTTAGTTTGTAAGGTCATCTGAGTAGCTAAGGCCATCAGGTATCTATATCTCACTATCTTTGACACCGTTGCGGTTTCCACTTCGGTTCACATTTTTTCCCTCCATCAGATGCCACTCGATCGAAATTGATGCGACGGTTCGAGGATAAATCAGGAATGACTGGCTATATTTGCAGTGAATTTGCATTGATGATTGTTGACATTTAAAACAAATATGAATATACAGTAGTGGGCAGATTTCAGTAGCCAATCGTTATTATTATTATTAATATTTTTTTTAGCAATGAGTGAGTGAGATGAGTGATGCTGAAAGGTGGTCCAAAATGAGTTGCAAATTGTTATGATTAATGCGAATGTGAGATGCGACGACTTTTCATTATGGGCATTAAATTTTTGCACATTTTATAATTTAATTGAATTTCGCTATATTTTTTTATTATCGCACTTCTGCAAAGCTAATTTATGATTGCTCAATGCGGCATGTAATTGCATACAAAAGCCTTTAATGATGGCCCGGTCGCAGTATCTCTATATCTGTATCTGCATCCGTATATAGCGATTGTATTTCACCCGTTTGTGTTTCTCCTTTTTTTTTTTTTGCTGTACGTTTTACCCACTTTGACATTCCATAATTATATTCATTATTAATGATAACATAAAGCGCTGGGAGAAGAAATATTAGCGATAAAAATTGATTAAAATTTAAGCGAATACCGATAATTAACCAAACATAAATATAGCCGTGATTTAAGCTGGCTTTAACCCGCAGCAGGTATTTCATTTCATATGCCGCCAATCGCTTCACTTCCGAGCTTGATCATCCCACCGGTGCGTGTCCTTCTTCATCTTGGAACCAATTAGCGACCGGGAATTAAGTGCTCATCAGACGTCTGTCCAGGCTTAAGTCGCCGGTCCACCTTTTACCTTCGCCACCATTGCCAAAACCCGTTTCCGTTCCCATTCCCAGCCATGCATAATAGAGTCCACACAAATTAGTCAAACGCAGGGCAAACTTGGTCGTAAACAGAGCTGCAAATGCGCCGCAACATGCACGGTTCCGTCGGTGGAACGACGATCCCAGACAGTTGGATCCTTCGATGCAGGAGGAGGAGTTGGAGAAGCTGCCAAAGGACCACTGGCAATTGTAACTCGCAGCTTGGTCGCACGATTAATCGTCGTTGCAAATTGTTGGCACGTTTTCAATTGACAACAGAGTGCGTCGCCTGCACGGTAGCATCAACCCTTAATTTGCACTATGACCCCCGACCCCACTCCCTGCTGCCAAACACATAACCAACCCAAGCCCCACCCCCCGTGGGTTGCGTGTAAATCACACGGTGTTTGCTCTCGCTCCTGTTGCATCTTTTACGTGCGTCAGGATGAATTTTGCTGCCCGATATGCGACACTGGCCTCCTTATCCTTCGCCACCCATCGCCCACCTCACGCCCTTTGACCTCCCGGCTCACGTGTGACAGGCCGTTTTAAAACGCCGACCACGACGCCTCTGTCGTTTATTTTGAATGTAATTTTTCAAGTCGCGACGTCTTCCAGCTCTGCCCATTAATCACGTGGACAAAATGCGATTCGCCATGGCAGCAAACGGAAAAAATACAGAATCGAGGCAAATAAACAATGGGGAATGGAGCAGGAAAGACAGGGATACTGGGCAGGAAAAGCGAGGAAAACTTTGCCTTGACGAGGCAGTTCTTTAATTATACTCTATCTAAAAAGATATTGTTAAATATTCATGAAGTTCATGACAAGTTCAAAGTTCAAAGTAAAGTTATATTAAATTTATATACTAAGAAAGCGACACCATACATTGTAAAAGTAATCAGAGCACCTTTTCAAAATATATTTGAACAAAAAAAAATATAAATATTTTAAAACAGAAAGCTTTAGGTTCCAGAAAAGCCTAAAATTCATTCCTTCTCTTAAAGTTCCAATGCAAAGTTTTCATAAATTTTGCACTTACTTTACTATCAGTGATTTATTTCCTGCTCCTCCACCAAGATTTATTTCGTCTTTTGTGTTGGAGCAAACGCATATCCAATTTCATACTTCCCCACACCCGAAAACCGAAGCACCACATCCTCTGGAAGTTAAGCTTCTTAGGGTATGATTGGATTCGACTTATTTCCGTTCTGGTGAAAAGTGTTGCATACTCACAGGCTGTAGAAGCGATGCTGCTCCTCCGGACTTTCGTGCTGCTCGTTGACTTTGTTAATAATGATGTAGACCATCCCTCCCCTTTGTGTATTTTCAGCAATGAGGTCACGTGACTGACAGCCGTCGCATTACGGCCCTTTGTTTGCCAAAGCCCAAAACCCCTCCGCCACCCATCCCCTTCGAAAAAGTCAACCCACCCAAAAAGGCCAATGACAAACTAAATGCAATTTGATGCGTGTCATGCTCGCAGAATGGAGTCGAAAATGCGTGGTAATCATTATTTGTGACAATTGACGAAGTCGGAATCAATTTTTTATTAGCTCTCTGAGCCAAGACATCAAAGCCTCTAAGCTGATGCCCGCTGTTATGGCAGTTAATAAATATTTGTCACGCATGGCTTTGGATGCACTGCAGCTGAAAGCGCGGCTCCCTGGGCATCCCGAAGGACCTGTCGGTGCCACCTGCATTGCGTTGGCCAGGGCGCTTAGGCACGTGACAGGCGGATGACCTGGATCCTGTATCCTGGCTACTGGTTTTCCCGGCCTCCAATGATGGTTTCGCATGCCCAGCTATTCCCACGACTTGTCACCTCCAATACAAGCACAAACGCACACATGATAGCTCTATAACTGGCGTGTGTGGCAACCGCATTTACTGCGCCCTCAAAGTTGGTCAAAGTTGAATGCCTTCGTCGGCAAAGGACCACAAAGGTAAGGCAACCGCAATTGCCCATTAATCAAATTTCCAATTAATTTGCCACAATTAATTGTTGCGCTAATTGCAGACTCGGAGGACCAAAACCAAGACCAATGCCAAACCTATGCGAATGATTTCTATGTTAAAGCCCATTCCGTCGGTGGCTAGAATGCAATGTGATCTACTCACAAAATCGGCTCATGATTATGCTGCCTCGCAGCGGCATTATAGATGGGATTCCCCTGTTGAGCTGCAACCCTATTAGGGAGCTCTGAACATGCCGAGTCCTGGACGAGTATTATTATTTTCCATCATTGTCAACATATCATCAGGTTCAATGACGAGTAGGTACTGTGCTCCAGCTCTAGCTGCTCCTTTTGCCAGACAGATGGGATAATAAATACACAGAATGCCAGGAGCGGCAGCAGCACTAGGACCAGCTTTCCTGCAGTTGCAGCGCTTTATTGAAAAATGTGTGCACAATTCGAGAAAAGCTGCCGCGTTACCTGCCTGCTCCATCTGCTTTGGTCTGCAGTTTGAGAAAATATTTGAAAATCAAAAGGGATTGGAACTTAAAAGCATTTTAGTCTCTAAAAGGTACTTCAAATAATATAAATTGCACGTATATTAAATACAATTTCTATCTTAAACCAATTATTTACCTTAATAAAAGTAATATACTACCACATCCATGATTTCCCTCTGTGTAACTGTGACTGCAGTTGGAGCAATGGGAAGCCATCCCGGAGCCAGACACAAATATCAAATATTATCGAGCAGTGCGGAGCACGTTGAAAGGCGAGCATTGACGGAGTGTCGGGGTGTCTCCAGCTCCAGTAGCGGCTTTTACAGCCGGTCCTGGTTGCCAGGGTTACACGTACGCCCCCCTCCGATGCCTGGGTTCCTGGCCCCGGATCCTCTGTTGCCATGGCCATGCCCATTGCCTGGGCCTCGACTTTGTTTGTAAACATTTCACGTTCATCGCTGGCCCGCAAATATTTCGCTGTTACTGCTGGTGCTGGGGCTGTGCAAACTTTTGCCATCCGAGCTAGAGTTTTGTTTTCCAATTTTTCTCGACGTAGAAAAGTATGCCCCGCACCGAGTGAAACAAATGAAAACAGACTAGAAATCGTGTTTCGTTGTGTTGGCTTTGAATACGATTCGTTAGCAATCCGACAACGACGGAGGAATCACGGACACATCGCCCTTGAAGTTCCCCTGACCAGATCCACTCCATGTCATTAGAATGCAAAAGAAGGTAGCACCCGAGCGACGTCCCTTCTGCGATCCTCGGCTGCAGGATGATAAGGTAAGGAGAAAGAGGACTCTCCATCTTCCCCGAGTTTCGCAGGCTCAAAAGAAGGGTGATAAGCGCCAGCTGAACGACTGCCCCTTTTTCAACCTTACCTATGGCTTTGACCAGCTGCCCCTGGATCCTGTCAAGGAGTTTCTGGAGGAGAAGATATGTGAGTTTCCTTTGTATGGTTTTAAGCTCTTGTATTTATAATAAAATTAACCCACAGCTCACATGCAGACTGACAAAATAGTGGGACGCTGCAATCGGGAGTTTGACTTCCATCGATATGATTTGGATAATGTTAAGGAGGAGTATGACGAGTGCGATGATGACAGTCTACAGGAATTGCAATTGGAGGATATTATCATGCCCGAGCAGTTCGAGATGCTGCGCGATGCCAAGGATCATAAGTACAACTTTGATTCGGAGGGTAAGTGAGAAAGTTTTGAAGGAAAAACCACAGCCAAGGCTGACAATTAAGTTGAACAACATTTGCGCATTATCCCAGGTGCCGGGAATGGGGAAAATGCCCCAAACAAATTGCCACACATTTCGTGTTATTCAATGAGTGAGAACTTTACCGCAAAAACATAACACTTAATACTTTATTAAATGCGAAAACATGCCCCGACTGGAGCTCCTGCTTTGCCCCAACTCCCAATTTTCCTTCTTGGCAGCTCTCCCATTTTGCCGTGCTTACCAGTTTTCCGGCTCCCACAGCGCAGCTCGCTGGAAAATTGTTCACCTGTAAACATAAAAATTCCAAACATTATCCTTTTAACATAAAATTTTATAACCGAAATGAGAAAAAAAGGTAAAACCGAAAAACAAATGCGTATGACATTTATTTGAATATCCTTTGGGAGTGCAGGGCACTCAGGAGGTAGCTGGTAGCAGGGGGAGCTGAGGAGGGTAGTGTAGGGTAAGGACGAAGGACGGGTCGAGTGACTCTACAACATGTTTATCATAGTGTTTTATTTAGCATTTACATGGAACATTTTTATGTTGGCGTTTTTTTCTGTTTCATACTCTTTGGGAATGTCGGTGAAATTGGTTTGTTACCTTGAAGGAGTCCTTAATTTATGAATATTTTATAAATATTTATAACTCTTGAATGTTTTTCTTAGTTATACTTCCTACTTTTTATGTAAAGCCCTATGTAGGATTAAGTCTTCGATGGTTGTTGTATCAATCTTATTCCCAATTAGTATTTTTCTTTCAACTTTATCTTTATATTTATTAGAGTTTTTAATTTTTATTATTTCTATGACTTATGAACATACTTTTCCATAATATAGAGAATCATTCGACCGCATACTCTCTTCCAAAAAAAACTATATCTCTCTGCAGTCTCGACTTCTGTCGCTAGTTCGTAATAAAAATGTTTCATTTCTGTGTCTAGTTTTTTAATATTTAATGCCAGAAAGGCAGAACCATCCCAGTGGGCGGGCGTGGCGTGGTCTAATAAGGGATCCGGTTACACAATAGCATAAAAGCGTGTTTCCAATAGACATTAGCATGCAAATGCGACAAACAAACCCATGGAATTCGGTGGTCACAGATAGCTAGCCAGAGATGCCCGGTCTGCCCGCAGGGAATTTCGTTTGTAAAGGTCCCAAATGGAAATTAATTCCAGTTTAATCAGTTAAAAATCGAACTCTGCCGCCGTGACTTTTATTTAAAACAATTTCATGTTGCACAAACAAACCTATTTGCCCTGCCTTTCAGGCATGTTAAAAGTCACGAAAAAAATCCATGAAAAATCAAATTTGAAAAGTGCAGACAGACCCATGTCATATTCGTGGGCAAATATTAAATGCGATTTTCAATTTCATTTTTTCGCTTTATTTTTTACCTTTGGTTTTTTTTTTTGTGCTTGCAGCTTGTAATCAATTTCCCTGGATTGACAAATGGATGACTGGCGGTAATAAATAAGCGTTCATATTTATTCAGTGTGCATTATTAAAAATTTGACACCCCCTTCTTAACGTGTTTGCCAGTGCGTCCCAGTGAGCAGGAAATCTATGAAATGACCAACCAGCTTCTGGAAATCTACTGCAATCGGAGAGTTCGGATCTTCTATCCGGGCTGTGGTACCAGTTCATCATTGTGGACAAACCAGCTAAGGAGACAGCATGGAGCCCCTTCGGAACTAATAGGAGCCTATCGAACGCCATCAGCTCGTCACATGCGGGTCAACAACATGAGGGGTCCTCCCAAGAAGGAGAAGTTCACGGCCGGCGATCATTATGCATTCCGAACGCCACAGGGTGAGCGATAATCTAAAGCATAATTCTTTTTATGAAACTTAAATTCTCTTTATAGAATGTCGAAATGAGCTTATGAGAGTAGGCAAAATAATTGACGATCTCATCGAACCCATATTAAAAGCCGCCGAGCACAAGGTTGGCCACGGACTCACTAAGTATCCTGATGAGCCGACGTGTAAGGATAGAAGGACGAAAGTTCTTCAATCAGTTGGACTTCTAGTGGTGCGTGTCCATAGTTCTCTAAACTGGTGTTATTATTTGTAAGTAAAACAAGTTTATATTTAGGGAAAGAAAAAGACCTGCTATGTGGGAAAGAATCGCATACATCGTAAGGAATTCTCCACAAATGAGGAGTTTCTGCGTTGTCTCAAGAAAATGGAAGCCACGTGAGTAAAATCTGATTCGGTTAAGGAATTTTGGAAAGTGCAGATGAAATATGACTTGATAGTTAATTATTTTAATAATATTTCTCTACCCAAACAGCCACTTTCCGTACATGCAACCCCTCCAACCGGTGGATCCTGATGAACAGAAAAAGATAATGATGGCCAAATACCAAAAAATGCTGACAGCCGCCGAGAAGATTTTCCCTCTGAAGATGCAAAAGCGATACAAGTGCCTGCTGAAGAGTGTAAGTTTCGATGAGGGATAGTTGTGGGGTCCACGTGTCACTGCGTAACTCTGAATTATGCAACTGAACAAACATATGCTAAGCGAAAAAGAAAGGCGGTATGAAAAATGAAAGCCAAACCAAATACCCGGCCGCAATGACTCCCTGACCGAGACCATAAAAAACCCATCAAAAGTGAGCACCAGCGACGGGCGTAAATAAATTTTATCGTTGACTCCGACTTCTGCTCGGTGGCCATGTCCGTGTCGGTGTCCTGCTCCATAGCCTTCTCCTCCGCCGTGTCCATATCCGTGTCCGTATCTCTGTGTCTCTGTCCATAAAAAATGATAATAATAAACTCCATACAAAGTAAACATGTGTGCGTGAGCGTGCGAGTAAATTAAGCTGCGTTGGCTTCGGGGAACGTGCTTATAAAAATTATATAATTCATACCTCGTAAATATTATGGTCCGGCGGGGGCGTGGTCAGGGTTATGAATAACGTGATTAGTTGTTAAAAAGAAAAACCGCTTGTGTGGCGTTGGCGTGAATCCCACATATAGTACACTCGATTTAATGGGTGGCTTCATCTCTACCTCCTCTTAATCCTTGTTTTTATTCCCATGCAGATGTCCATAGTGCAACTGGAGACATATCCTTCACACCTCATACGAAGGGCCTTCAGGCGCATCAATCCGCGGAGCGCCCTGCTCACAGATGCTTACAGATTCATCCTCAAGGAGGAGGTGAGTGCTTGGTTATGGAGTTAACTATTAAATCATAGCCTAGGGGAAGTTAAAGTTATTTATTTTTCTTTACCAAAATAACTTCAAATTTATATCCAATTTCTAATTTGCCTTAAATAATCTTTTAATTAATTGTTTATTTTAACATTTGATGTCAATAGATTTATTTACCGTCGAGTAATTAAAACGGCATACACAAATTCTAAGCAATTATTTTGTTTAACCACATTTGACTTTATTTCAATCAACCACAACCTTCCATTTCAATCCTCGTGTCAATTATTATTGTTAAAGCAAACAAAACTAAGTCCATTAGAGGTTTGAGGTTGAAAATAGTGATGCACCCTTTAAGTAGATTATAATAGAATATATTATCCAGAAAATAAGTTAAATAAAAGCGGAGTTGGGTGGGCATAGCACAGATTAATATTAAAGGAGTTCCAGGACTCAGCACAGCGTAGACATTATTAGTAAACTTAACTGGCTCAGAATTTGGCGGAAGTTTTCGTCGAAAAAGTTTGCCGGCAGTGCGAGCATATTAAACATGCTCCTAGGATCAGGAATGGGCTGGGATGGGTGAAAAGGGATGATATATATGGGGGCCAACTGGGATGACAAGTGACGGGGCGCGTGTTGATGTTTTGACGTGAGCGCCAAACAAACTTTGGCAGGGATTTAAGCCAAGCACTTGCCATCAGCACCGGCAAATCAGTGCCGGCAAAGGCGGCTTAATGAGCAGCTGAAGATGCTCCGAAGACAATCCAGTGCCCCTCCTTGTCCCCTTTTCATCTTAGTTCCGACATAGTTCCAAAATCGCCCCGCAGCGCCAGTAAAGTTTATGCCACCACCTGTCGTCCCCTTTTCAACCCCGCCCACCGTGTCTAATCAACTCATTACAGAAAGATTGGCCCAAACTGCCGCCAGAAGTTATATTAATGGATTATCTGTTCGTGGGCAACCACGGTGTGCGCCAGGACTTGGCCATCCTTATTATCGTCTGCCTCATCGATCTGCAGGAGGACTTCCGCCACTATGTCAAGCGCGCCTTCTTGAACTACCTCCTCTCGTAGGTCATCTTTGGCTACTTTACTAAGCCCTATCTCTACTCATTTTGATTATCTTGATTTGGCAGTTCAAATATGGAGAGAAGGCGACTTCAGCTGGAGAAGGAGCCCCCGGATTTTCCCATCTTCACTATCTCTCCGCCAGTTCCTTGGCGTTCTAATCTCTTAAGAGCCAAAGCTCGTATTGGAGAGGTGCTCATGATTACACATCCTACAGTTCAGGCGTTGAATAGATTGTGGCATGATCTATATGAGGACCTGGTGGTGGTGGATCTGGGTCAGTTACTTCTGGCTCAGCGGCCATTGGATGCGGATACTGTCCAGGTTTTTATTGAGAAGAGCTGTGCCGATGTTCGGGATGTGAGTATCATTTTATTATATTTATTTTAAGTTTATAATGGATTTTTTTCAGTTGCTTCTCAATGACTGGCTGCCACGATGTGCTGACTTGATGAACGAGATGCGTGGTACTTGGAAGGATCTGGTACCTATGTCAGGCAAATATGGAGGACGGGCAGCAATGCTCTTCCGCTGCATCCACTCCGCGATGTCCCGCCACCTCAACAGTCTCATTAGCAAAAGCATCAACTATCTTTTCAAGGTCCTGTGTGCCTTTAAGGGTGGCAACCGCATCGAAAAGTACTCCATGTTCGATGCCAAGCTGAAGAGGATACCACTAATGACCCTGATTGCCTCTGTGGTCGGTGCCCATTTCGATCACGATCCTATAGACATGGGTCCTGGTGTCAGACCACCCTCTAATATATACATCTATGATGACGACGATGCCGATCCTTTCCAGCAGCCGCAAGCTAATCAGTTTGTGGAAACTGTAAATATTTTTAAAATTTTGTTATTAGAATAAATTTTATATTTTGCCTTTGCAGTTTCCTGACATTGATGATGTGGCGCAGTTTGAACTGGATCATTCGAATAAGCTCTATATATATCCTTATATGCAGGAGCTGCCTCGTATCTTCACAGATCACTTTAAGAGCATATTGGCTGTGGGCTATGACATTCCTTGTCTGGAGTTTATCATGTCCGGCGGAGGTAAGAAATAACTCGTAGTTCCTAAGTTATGTGATTTTTTTTAAAGTTCTAAAATATAACCTTAACTAGAACCGGAAACCCAGGGATATTTACATTACATAGACGAAAACCATGTGGATTTCCTGGAACTCTGTGAGAAAGTCGAGCAAATTGTCAAGGTCAACTGGCTGGGAGTTCATGTCTACCTGAGGCCCATCTACAAGTACTACTTCGGCCTCTTCCAGAAGTTGATCATGCCCATGGTGCAGAAGGTCTGGACCGAGAATATACTACCGGAACTTGGGGTGAGTCTAGGGCTCCTGGTGGCAATCAGCGGACTGTGCCCGGGGCTCATCTTGAAATGGATTTAATTATTTATTTCGATTTGATTACACGCAATGATGCGTAGAATTAACATAAAATTTCATTATGGAATATTAATAGACTGCCGACAGACAGACAAGTCGGCTGACAGGAGTTGGGAAGTGGCTGGCAATTTGTGTAATTTGACAAGTTCCACCTCCTCGGATTCCGGATTATAACGCTTCTCGTACTCATTGCTGATTTCTGACATTTTGTTAGCTATGTGCAATGTTTAATTAGTCACTGTTTGGCTTCCTAGCCTGTTGACTTTACAAAGTTTGGCATGTCGTTATACTAAGAGAGAGAGAGAGAGTACTGTGAATTACCAAACGTATATCATACGCTCAATTTACTTCACCGAAACTCCTCCGACCAATGCAATTGCAGTTCGCATTCATTAAGTTTTATGAAACGACCAGCAATTTCCTCTCCACTCGATTCGTTTGGTTTTTTGCACAATTTATATGAAATAAAAATTACTTCCGACTGCGTATGCTGCCCGCTGCCTGTTGATGCATGAAATGCGAGTGCGTCTCGGTCTGCACCACCATCGATGCACCACTGGTGGATCAGAGGTGGAGTTCTGTGACTGGAAGGGTTTGCATCCTTATTCCTGGTTTAAACTGATATATTTTTAAATCAAAATTAACAAGGTTCTGTATCGCAATTGCACTTCTTAAATATATATAAAATGTTTCGGATAATTAATACTCGTAATTTGGTTAACTAAAGCACAAATGTCTGCTTTATTTTGTATTCCAACGTTTCATTCCATAGTTCATTTATTTAATTGAATATTTCAAAAGTAATTACTTTACAAATGCAGGCAGTTAAATTAAAGAGTTCATAACATTTTGTATACATGTTTGAAATGTAATTGGCAATTGCTCTCTCAAAGAGAAGTATTTCAAAAATGATAAATATTTTAAATGAGCTTATCAAATGAGCTGATTTAATCAGTTTAATATTGCCATATCACTGTTAGAATTATTGATATGATAAAGTTTCTCCAAAATGACTTTTAATAAATCCTCTTTTAATATTTCCCCTTTTCGATGTGACACCTCTGTCCCTTAGGCTGTCCAGGAGCTGCTGAAAAAACTGCAGGCCGTGAGCGATACGACCTATTATCTGCGCGATTTCATTCCACTCAACCTGTTCATGCTGGATAATCGGCACGTGAAGCTATCGCTGCGGATGTATGTGCGCGAAATCTACGATTTCATAATTGATTTTTACAAAGCCCTCAATTGGAACGAGAACCGGGCGTAAGTAGCCAAGTAACCAAGCTGCGGGAACAGATTGCATCAGCATCAGCATCAGCTAAATGAAGTGCGAGTGCTCTTTCACTTAACTTTTATGCTGACTGCCCCCCAATGCCACTTAATAGATAACTTTTCGCTCCATATATATAGTACATACTCCATGTGCATGCACGTTGCCTGATTTTTTTTTTTCTTTCTACCGGATTTTTTCTGCCACTTCAGCATCTGCGAAGAGCTAGAGGAGATGTCGATGAAGGCCGGCGAGCGACCAGAGGAGACGCCCGAGGTGGTGGCCCTGCAGAACTACATCAACGATTGCCGGGAGATGCGCATATTTGCCATCAAGGATGAAATCAAGAACGTGTTGAAGCGCGTCGTCTTCCTGCTGACACACACCTACCTGTCCAGTGAGTGATGCAATTGGTTTGGTCAGAACTTCCCCATCTTCTTCCCTTCCGCCTTCCGCTGTTTGTGCAGCTGCAGCTGGACGCCCAGCTCTTTCTCCACCGATCCTGCCCAAAACCAAGGCACTGGGGGAAAACTTTGATATAAAATCAGGGATGTAAATCTTAAATAAGGAACAGTTACTTCTTGGCAAGGTCCATATGAATGTTCGTCTCTAGCTTATCTGTAATTTATCTCTTTATTTTAAAAACTTCTTGGTACCACACAATTTTTCCCAGTGCATCTAGTGTGTTTGCTTTGCACTGTGTTTGGCTTTTCGGAGGAGAGGTGATGCGGAAGGGAATGGGCTGATAGGAAAGGCAGGAAGTGCAGCTTCGCTTAACATAATTAACCTCAACTAACAAGCTGAGTCTACTAATTGGTTTTATAATTACTTGCGGTGAGACACCAAACATTGAGCTCCGCTAAAACCCCGAAAATGCAACTTAATGAGCTTAACAAATTCATGAATGTGTGAAAGTTGCTTTGACAACCGGCAAATGCAGATGGGCTCACACCCACAGAAATCCAACGCAGACAATTGCCAGTTATCGTCAAGTGTCGTGTGTATCTTTCGGATAGCTACAATGTGTACTTCAGTCCCTCTGCATTTGTGGCTCCATCTGTCTGTCTGTCTGCCTGTTTGTCTGCCACTCTGTCCGTCCGTCCGAATGTGTGGCTTTGTCGCACCAAATACTCACGGATATAGCTTGTCAGGGCCAAAGATACTTGTACCTACTCGAATAATTAATTAGTATGTCCCCGAAAAAGAAAGACTCGCGCAGCCAATTAATTAGGAGTTAAGCGTAGTTAATTAGCAGCGAGAGTACAATCGAGAGTCATCCAGTCTGGTCGTGGTCTCACTACCATCCGCAGGCGATGAACTCCATCTCAACTCGCGCACATTCATCTTGCCCGGCGAACTGGAGGAGGTCCTGGATCTAAGTGCCGCCCGGCTGGCGGTGGTGCGTGATAATCTGGAGCTGGCCTTGCGGTGAGTGAAATGCCGATTAGACTCTGATCCCGAACAGATCCCAGATACTAAGCCGACATACTTGCAGGGAACGACGACTGGAGTTCGAGAAGCTGCTAGCCCAGGAGAAGCGAACGATGGACGGCTTTCGAATCAGGGAAATCCGGGATGTGCTCACGCTGGAGGAGCTCAAGGAGCGGGTGGATACGGTCGATATGCTCTTCACCACCATCGAGGTGAGGGATTAGCTTTACTTTACTGGTATTTATTTAGTAGATTGTGTTTGATTCCCTGTGGTTGAAGCTTAGTGTTTAAAAAGCATTTAGTGGTTTAAGATATTGATGAAAATCTTGAAAGAACTTAACACTTGAAATCTCTCCAGATAATATTATATCTAACTTAGCTAATATGTATCTAAAAGTTGTCATATCTTCTTAAACAACGATTTGAAAAGTAGTCATGATTAACCTTTACCCACTTTTACTAAATAGAACCTCAGCAGAGAGGCAAAGGCGATTAATACAGAGGAGACCCTACTCCAAATTGACGTCTCCGCCTTTCCACTTCTGGCCGAGATCATCGAGAAAATGGAGCCCATCGAAAAGCTGTGGAAGACCTCGTACGAATTCGAGAAGGATTATCTCATTTGGTAAGCAGGGACAACGTTTAAGCCCATTGCAATTATACTTCTGTCAGCCGGAGGGGGCTGTGTCACACTTCCTGGGGCTCCGTAATATTCCGAATTGAAATGGCCCCAGTCCGGCAGTCATTTCCATTGACATTGCTGCACGCAAATCCCAATACCAATCGTAGTGGCCCTCACTCAATTCCCACATCCCGAGGCAAATTCCAGCAGAAAGCTGGCGCTTATGATGAGGACACTCATTCCTCCTCCTGCTCCTTTTTTCGTGTATTTCTATTTACATCTCTTCTGGTGCTTTCAGGATGTTCGAGCGCTTCGAATGCCTTAATGCGGATGGCGTGCGGGAGCAAGTGGAGAATATGCACAAGGTAAGTAGTTGCAAAGTCGGAAGTTGTCATTCCAGGGGGCTATAGTGGCTTCAGTAGCTCCAGTGGCTCCCGTAGCTGGCGGAAATAAAAACGAGCAACGACCGACAAAGTTTGAGCTGTTGTCGGATTTCTCCTGCTCAACTGCCCATGCATGGGTTCCGTCCTACCGTCCTCGTCCTTTGGCCCCTCCTTTGTGTCGTCCCTCTGTATCTGGCGTGTCTGTCTGTAAGCCAATGTAGCAACTAAAATGCAACTAAAAACCTCAAGCCACCTAGGGCAGCAATAGTAGCCATCCATCCAGTCGGCAAGGGACAAACCCAACCAACGACTGCCTGTAAAAAGAAAGTTCCACTTGGCAGCCGAAAAGTATGCATGGAAAAAATGCCCAACATATTTGGCGGCTGGCTGGCATAAGATGAGTAGTTGGGGGTGCAGGCATAGGGGGTTCTACCGGATCGGAGGGATGCGACCCCTCCGGGGTCAGCTGGGAAGCCGTTCGTAGCCACGCAAAAAAGCTGCACAAAGGCGCAAAAGGAAAGTCAGTTGAATTGAATTTTTCGGCACAGCTGAAGCGGCAAAGTGGGACCCCAAAAAAAGAATACAAGAGAAACAATCTACCGACGAAGCCTCGAATACCCTAGTGAAATCGAATTACTTTAAGCTTTACAACTGGGCCATATATATATTTTCTTATTGATTTTAATTGGGGAGTTTCTTCAGGATGGTTTAATTTATTTAAGGGTTAACTCTTTAAATTTGTAAGGAACCAAGAAGCAAGCAAATTTTGGATGCACTTTTTCTTACCATTTGAACTAGGTTCTAGGAGTTCATTTTCACACTTTTCAGAAAGAGGTATCAAAGCTGGTCGACCTAATTAATTGAATCTTCGGTAATTGGCTAGAAACTTGCAATTTTTTCGTAGGAGGCTCAAGAGATTGCATTTGCTTCTTCTCCTTCTAACCCAAAAAAATTGAATTTTCTTTTCCCCCAGATAATGTACAAGTTGTCCCGTCAGTTGGCCTACAATCCAGTGGCCAAACGAGCCGCCGAGCAGATGCGCACCAAGATCGAGAAGTTCCGTGTGTATCTGCCCGTTTTGGACTCGATATGCCGTCATGGCTTAGAGAAGCGGCATTGGGATCAAATTTCTAAGATACTGGGTCGAAAAGTCAACCCGAAACTGTTTCCTACTCTTAAGGACATGATCGATGTGGATATCATGAGCATCCTGCCGCAGCTGGAGGAGATTGCAAATGCCGCAGGCAAGGAGTATGACCTGAATAATGGACTGAGGATCATGCAGGCAGACTGGACGGACGTGATGTTCGAGGTGCTGCAATATCGCGACTCGGACACTCACATTCTGGCCAGCCTGGATGATATTCAGACACTGCTGGACGATCACATAATGCGAACGCAGGCCATGAAGCGGTCGCCTTTCATTACGGCATTAGGATCAAAGGCAGATGACTGGGAGGCAAGACTACTCCTTATCCAGAATATCATAGATGCCTGGACACAGGTGCAGATAACCTGGATGTACCTGGAGCCCATCTTCAGCAGCGAGGATATCATGAGACAGATGCCTCTAGAGGGAAGGAACTTCAAGGCGGTGGACAAGCTTTGGCGAAAGATCATGAAGCACACCCTGAAGGATCGACATGTGATGGCTGCCACTGAATACCCGGAAATGCTGGAGGTATTCACAAAGGCCATAGAGGATCTGGAAACAGTCACCAAGGGTTTGAACACATATCTGGAACAGAAGCGCCTGTTCTTCGCCCGATTCTTCTTCTTGTCTAATGATGAATTGTTGGAGATTCTCTCAGAGACCAAGGATCCGATGCGTGTGCAGCCACATTTAAGGAAGTGCTTCGAGGGGGTGAGTTAATTTGATTTTCATTTAAGCATTGTTACCTTTAAACATAACCTATTTAAATATCCGTACAGATTGGCAGTCTTACCTTTGACGACAACATGGAGATCATCGAGATGGTTAGTGACGAGGAGGAGCGTGTCGCCCTGGTCCGCAAGATAAATCCGCAATTAGCCAATGTGAGAAGTGACCTTAAAGGCAAATAATTCCCTAAACGACTAACCTTTACCTAATAGGGATTAGTGGAGATGTGGCTTAAGGAGGTGGAGATGGTGATGTTGGACAGCGTGAAGGAGCAAATGCACGAAGCCTGGGAAGACTATGCCATGGTGGAACGCATCTCATGGGTGGTCAGTTGGCCCGGACAGGTGGTGCAGGGCATCTCCTGCATGGCCTGGACCTATGAGGTAAGCACTGAGTCCTGAACTGAAGTTGGCAACAAAACCGCGAAAACCGCAAGGACGTCGTCCGTGGGACAACAAATGTCCATCAGTTGGCTGACAGAGGAGAGCTCTCTGTGCCGCTGACAGTAAGATTAGTCGGAGTTCAGGACCCCTGGACCCACCATTTTTCCCCCTTGGGGTCACTTCTTTTGTGAACATTTCCCTTTTGGGCTTTGACTTTGAGAGTAGTTTTTCCGTGTTCGGTAGAGCTGCGAAATTGAAAACCATATTTCGCTCTTTATTTGCTTTCGCTTCGCTGCAGTTTCTCAGACACTTTATGCTTTTCCTTGCCATTTTTTCCGCCAGGTGGAGGAGGCCATCGAGACGAAGGAGCTGCCGGCTTATTTGGAGAAGTCCAATCTGCAGATTGCCGACCTGGTCCAATTGGTGCGCACGGATCTGCAAGCAGGAGTCCGGATTGCCGTCGAGGCGCTGATTGTCCTGGATGTACACGGTGAGTGGGAAAGAGCAAAGAACAATAAGCGGAATTTTAAATGTTGATTTTCCTTCAATGTGAAACCAACTTGACCGTAGTTCAACGCTCTTTAACCTAACCACAAACCCAACACGTTTACATAATTAAATAATTTTCAAACCAAAAACAAAAACCGCAAGAGATCCGGTTTGGCATATAAACATTTTATATTATATTATTTAAGGTTTAAATCATTCAAGTTTTTTTGCTCTGAATTTTGTAATTACATCTATGATAATAAGCTCTATAGCTTCTATGAAAAGTCGTAGCCAAATTGGAATATGAAACTATAAGATATCTTCTTGTACTTCCCCCAGATCGTGATGTGGTTAAATACCTAACAGATTGCAAGATCACCAATATACAGGACTTTGATTGGATCTCCCAGCTGCGTTACTACTGGAAGGTCAACGAGAGTAAGTTTACTTTCAGGCTCAATATACGAGTATTTGCAAAAGACCACAACTATAAATCCTTGAATATTCGCCAGAAAACGAGGAATGGGTTTGCGTCAGCATGGTGGTCACAGATGTCCAATATGGCATGGAATACCTGGGCAATCTGCCCCGTTTGGTGGTAACTCCCCTCACCGATCGCTGTTACCGGTGGGTATATATGTATATATATAAAATACTATATATCTTACACAAATCCCACAACCCCAAACCCCCCTGTCATTCCACACCTGTATTCCCCTGTATGAATATGGAAAATATTAATTGACAAACCGTTGCCAAAGCCCTCCCTCCTTTCCACAAACTGCATCTAAAAGTCAGACGAGAAGCCAGCCACGTTTATTGGGAAAATATTTATTTTATTTCGGTGCATTTTAAATTTATTTTCATTTTTCAAACAAAATACGCAAAAAGAGCTGAAAACCTTTTTGATGTTTAAGCTGCCTACGACAAACACACAATAACAACAACAACAACAGTGGCAGTAGCAAAAACAGGAGCAACGGGGGCATATTCAGGACTAAAGGAAGGACACACAGAAACTGGCAGCAGGCTGGCAGGCAGGCAGGCCGTCGTTGGCAAGCCGGCAGAAAGGACATTTTAATGGGGTTTCCGATAAAACTTTTATATTAAACAAATAAATCAATGTTGGACAGTTTTTCACACACACACACATACATACAGCACACTAACACTCACACCCATGCTTGGATAGTTAAAAAAGGAAGCACAAACAGACAAACAAAAAATGTAACCGAGTGTATATAGATATTTGTACGTTTATGCCGGAAAAGCTAAAAAATATATGCACAAGCAACCGAAGTGGGGGACACTGCCAATATGATAAAAATATGAACTTGCAAAACAAGCGGCAAAAAGTGAGCAATATATGAAATAATATTCGGAGGGTGTTAGTCGACTGAAAAAATATCCTCAAAAAGGAAACAAAAATATTTAAAATAAGAAATTTTATGAAAATGTTTTCATTTTGTTGAGAGTTTTAAAAGTCTTACAGAAAATACAGCATTATAACCTACACTTCGAGTCCAATCCCAAACCTTTTAGCCTTGTCCATATACCCATCCTTCTAGTGGCTTCTATTTGGGTCAGAAAAAACAGCCATAAATGACAATTTTTTTAAGCTGCTGCCGTGAGAAATGTGAAAAAATTCAAAATAGATATTAAAAGCGTGCCCACTCCATTTGCCCGCCCCATCCATCAACTCTTTGTTGCCACTCCGTATTAAAAAGAACCCCATTTTTTTCTATCTAATTCTTGATCCGATCCGAGTGCAGTACTCTGATGGGAGCCCTGAAGCTGTGTTTGGGTGGTGCACCCGAAGGACCTGCTGGAACGGGTAAGACTGAGACCTGCAAGGATCTGGCCAAGGCGGTGGCCAAGAAGTGTGTCGTCTTCAATTGTTCTGATGGACTGGACTACAAGGCACTTGGCAAGTTCTTCAAGGTGAGCTCCCCCGTAAATCGGGGATATATATATAGAGTTAAGTTAGATAAAGAGATACCGAGAGATTCTGAGCGTCGTGCTGTCTGCGATTTGCTGCCCGACTGCTTTCTAATTGATGGCCCCGAAAACAGAGTCGAGTGGAGCACATTAATCAGATAAAGAACTCGTCTTGATGCGGCGGCACACGCAACAATCGTGACTTTCAATACCGCACGAGCATAGTTAATTGGACTCATGTCAGACACACTGGAGCCGACTTTCGATGCGCCCTTCCAAATCTCCCATTCTCTCGTTAAATGTTTATTGAAATTTATGCAGCTCTCACGGGATAATCGTATTTTCCCCTGGCTGTTGACTAATTAGCCAGTTTGCGAAAGTAATGGCCACCCTTCCGATGCCGATGCCGTAGCCGCTGTCGATGCCCAACTGACTTTCGTGCGGCTCCACTTAAGTTTATGCAAATTTTTATTTGCAGGTCGTTAACCGTAGCCTCCTGGACATTCATACCCCAATACCCCAAAAAGCACACGCACATCTTAAGTGGGTGCTGAAATCTTGTAGTAAAATTTATGCTGCCATAGGCTCTAATCGCTTAATACGCTCACACGGCTAATTGCATAATAGTTCCTAAGCCCCTAAAACAGAGTGAGTGAGAGAGAGGTGAGGCCATAAACACGGGAGCCATTCGATGGTAACATAATGTGGAAGATGAGGTTTACGGGTAGGTAGGTATGGTAGGAGTAAAGTGATCACCTAGAGTTCTTGTTCATTTGCATGGGATTTGTATTAATAACGTCGACAACTCTGACCCGACCAGGCAACTTAGTTTAGTTGCGTCGATAGGAGAGCCCATAAATTGCCATCGCGCGCTGCTCAATTTAAATTAATGAATTTATGCGATTGGGATCCACTTGAGCTTGGACATTTGTTTATTCTTTTTATTGCTTAATTTGGGTCTCTGCCTGGTTGTCTGGTTTTCAAATAGAACCGAGTCTGGTTTTAGAAAGTCGTTCTTAGCTTTGTCACCAACTGGATTGACATTTGTTCTAATAATCTCTAGGAAGTCGTAAATCTCCAGCACACGACGCTCACCCACTCCGCCAATTTGCGGTGCGGTTTGATTTCTAGTTGCCGGGCTGGGAATGTCTGGGAAACAATGTTGCGACAATAAAATAATTTGCAATTGACAAAATATGCGAAATATGCGAGAGCAATTTCTGTGTACCAGCCAAAGAAGAAGTAATCGTAAATAAATTAAATGCAAATAAAATGGCCACAACAATGGTTGTCGCACTGAACAAAGGGAGCATCCAATGGATGCTAAAAAGTTATCGCAGCAGCAGGATGGCTTCTTTTCTGGGTTAGCTACAGTGATGGGTAGGGTACTGGGGTTTTATAGTTAGTTAAAGTACAAAAAAACTAGATTAAAATAATTAAAAAAATTTAAGAACATATATTAAGATGTTTTAAAAATTCATAAAGTTACCAATATTAAGAACTAAAATAAACACTATATTCAAAGTGCTGGGATGTATCGTGGGTACTCTTAAACCTTACCATACCTATCTAGATACTTCCCATCACTGTTGCCATCGGCGCCAAACCACTCTCAATGGAGTTCAAAGTGTGCAAAGGCAACAGCCACCTTTTTTCCGTGCCCTGTCCAAACAAGCTCCTAACACAACAGCTCCACCTCCAGGACAACCAGCACCACCTACCACCTGCACCCCAAGAGGAGTGGCACATGGGGCGCTAATTGTACAATGGGCAGGCCAAGCGAAACGGCAGCAAGCAACAACCGCATCGGGTATAGGGACAACAGTGACTGCAAAAAGCGTGCGAACGCGCAACAGAATGTAAACTCTTTGTATGGTGTATAGAGTTGGGTTGGGTGAAGTCCTTGCGGCAGGACCAACAGAAGCCACTTGCCATGCAGGCACCTCTGAGGTGGTCAAGTGGATGCCCCATGCCCGGTCAGGAGCAACAGCTGTCCAATGCCTCCTCCATTGATAGGTGACTGTGCTTATTTTAGCCTGGGTGTTCCAAAGCTTGCAGTTTGTGAATAGAATATCTTGTTTGATCAAGAATTTCAAGAGGTTTTTCTATTAAGCAAACTAGTTTTAGTGGCAGAAAAGAGTATAACTATCTCATCATTATCTCTTCATATATGATTGCTTAGTAACATTTTGAGATCATGAGAAATTCGTTGTAATTATTTTGTGAAAAATATTTATGTTCTGAATATTACTTTCATTCTATTTCTAGGAATTGCATTCATAGCTCTTTGAATATTTTTAGCTTCATGCCATAATTGAAAACGTAAAAGATGCCAAAAAAAAATCAGTTCGTTATTTGCTGCAGCAGTGGTATACAAAGGATTTCCCTAATTAGGAGAAACTCGAACCTTTCCTTTAGCCAACTATTGAAAACTCCGGTGCATGGCCAACGGGCAGCTCACTGAGACATATAACTGATAGATTTCGACCTGCCACGCCCACTCCGGCATCGATATGGCATATGGTATGGAATAGCGCATGCAGCCAGGTCAGTTCGCTGCTTTGGCGTTCTATTTGTGCTGCTCCGGGTGCAGGGGGCGATGTGCGATGTGGGATGTGCAGGCTTCCAGCTGGGATAAAACAGCATATTTATTGCAACATGCAAAAGGAAGCATATCAAAGGGTCGTAGTCGGACCACCCATATCGACCCTGCTGTCCAGCTCTCCTGGCCCCCAGGAACCTGAAAACAGAAACCGAGCCATGAGAAAGAGAAAATAATGTTTATGCTGCTGTTTGCTTTTTCCACTTTTCCCCATCGAACTGGCGTGTATATATGTGTGTGGATATTTCCCTTGCACTCTTGTCCAGGAATTTCTGTTTCTGTTTCTATTTGTGTGCTATTTTCTTTTTTTTTCTGCAGTCCTATTCGGGATTGTTACCCATAGTGTGTGCCTGGCCGTGCTGTGCTGTGCTATGCTGTTTTGACTGCTTCCTCAACCACTCATGCCCATTTCTACGGATTCTTTGCAGGGCTTGGCACAATCGGGCGCTTGGGCCTGCTTCGACGAGTTCAATCGCATCGAGCTGGAGGTGCTCTCCGTGGTGGCGCAACAGATCCTGACCATACAGCGGGCCATTGGACGCAAGGTTGTGAAATTCTTTTTCGAGGATACAATGCTCAAACTGGATCCGACTTGTTCCATATTCATAACCATGAATCCCGGGTGAGTGGCGGGGTTTTTTGGGATGCCTTGATGCCAGGATTCTGGGATGCCTGGTTGCCAGGATGCCTGAATACTGGGAACAGCAGCTGCGGTTTCACGCATCGCATTTTTTCCGCACTTCCTTTTTGTTTATGGTACTTTTTTTTTGCCTTTTGTGGGCTTGGGCATTTGAAAATACATTTAGTTACTTTGTAAGCCTACCATACGGCAGATACGGCTGATATAGGCGACACGGCGGAGAGGGCTATTAGCCACCCACTCGGAGGTGGACGCACTGCGTTCCGATATTGGTAGTTATTGCGTTATTGGAGATTTTCCCATCGGGATATTTATTGCTTTGGCATGCATGTGGAACAGCTGCGACAAACATGCATATTAGCCAGGCTCTGGGAATCTCCTCCTGCTCCTACTCCTGCTTCTAGTCCTAGTACTAGTACTGGTCCTCTCCGGCCGTAACTGATTGCACCATTCAGCGAAGGTCTTAATTTCGATTGGACGTCGCTTTTGCTTTGCCATTCCTGCCGGCTAGAAGTTTGCTTTTATTTTTTTTTTTGCAGCTCCACTCTGCTTTTTCCTGCCTGCCTGCCAATTTGTCACGCAACCAGACGTTCTTAAGAGCAGTCACTCATATTGGTTATTGGCCATTGGCCCTGGGAATGGGAAAATGGCAGAGCTGTGAGGACCCTGTGTTTAGTATTTATGCCATTAGCACTTGCACTTTGATGAATTTGATTGCCCTACGGGCTTTAATCCGGTGTCTTTCCTTCTCTCTCTCTCTCTTCCATTTTCCCCTCAGCTATGCCGGCCGAACAGAGCTGCCAGACAATCTGAAAGTCCTGTTCCGTACGGTGGCCATGATGGTGCCGGACTATGCCATGATTGGCGAGATCACCCTATACTCCAACGGATTCGATATGGCCAGGAATCTATCACAGAAAATTGTCCAAGCTTACAAGTTGTGTTCCGAGCAGCTGTCCTCGCAGTCTCATTATGATTACGGTAAGTTAAGGGAAAGAAATCCTTTTTAGATTTGTTTTTCAATAGAAAAAGTTGTAAAATTCTAAAATATATTAAATAATTTGTTAAAAACATGTCATTAGGTTAAATTTTAGCTACTAACTAAAAGAGCATCAGTGGCCACTTTATTTCCACCGACGTCGAAAACTTGAATGCACTGAAGCACAAAAACTCCAAAGCATAAAGCTGGTATTAGACATGACCTGGTCAGGGGGCGAGACTGTCGCTCCACCTGGCTAATAAGGCGCAAAAGTAGTCAACAACACGTGTTTTTTTCTCCATCTGTGCAGCAGAACTTTGAGGGAGTTCTCGGTATGGTTTTCAAGCGTGGGGGAGTTTTCAACGGGGGCTACAACTTTCCGGATGTCTCATACGCTGTGTGCGTGTCGCCTTCTCTCGCTTCTCGGGCATCCTTCTGCTTGTTTCAAGGCAAAGATATTGCTCCTTTTACGACGTAACATGTCATATGACATTACAACATGTCTGTGTTTGCCACTCCGTCCGGGCTTTCTTTCCTTGGGTGTGTGCGTGTGCATCTTTGTCCGGCCGCTGCCTGCAATTGCAGGAAGGCAGCTGTGTGCAAGTTTATGTGCAAAGTACATTTGATCAGTATCTTATTTTGAGTTTAAATTGAAAAACTTTCTTGCAAGTTTGCTGCGCTTTTGTGTTGCGTGTGTGAGAGACAAATGGCACATAGACACACACATTGTATTTGCCGCTCTGCCAAGTAATAATAAAAACTATTTGTACATTTAGTTGCCCTCTCACTCTCACTCGCCTCCCTTGCATCCGCACCGCACGACTCCTGTCCAGCTGTTTTTGCAACGTTGCGAAAGTTTAGCATTTCCCTGGCGCTATAATGAAGCTAGGTTGGGAGGGAAATGGGTTTCGGATGGTGCAGAACACCAGGTATTACGATATCCCGCCTCCTCGACGCCATCGGCGACGGCATCGCCAAATACCAGATCCTGCTGACTCCACGTTGAAATATGCGCTCGCATAACTGTCAAGCTAATGCCCCAAAACCTCCAATTTCCCACGCTCCCGACTTTCCGCAGATCTCACCTTACAATTATACAGTAGAACATCTCTATACATCGATTAATCATTCAATGAATCGAATTAATCTGTTTAAATAAGAGAAACATGGCCATAATAATTATCTTATAAATGAAAATTTCTTACATTTTATTTTTAATTCACTTCATCGATGTCTGACTGTACCTTTTTATTTGCCAGGAATGCGCGCTGTAAAGTCCGTTCTGCTGGCCTCCGCCTCGCTGCGACGGCTTTATACTGACCTGCCGGAGCCGGAGATTGTTCTGCGTGCCATTGTCGATGTCAATTTGCCAAAATTCCTCGAACAGGACATCTCCCTCTTCATCGGCATCTACATGGATCTATTCCCTGGCGTTGAGTTGCCCATGGTAAGCAATATTATCTGTCATCTATTGAAATCAATTAACATTCTTCAGGTGTAATGACCTGAAAGCGCCGCCAATTAATTTGATAATGGTTTAATGATAAGTAAACAAAAATATATATTACGGGGCGAGGTTATTAATGATTCGCAGTCATTTGCATTCTCCTCAATTTGCTATATCCATAACTTTATTCGTTTAATGAGACTACTTTTTTGAAACAACAAGAAATACACCTTCTTCTACACTACCTCGATTCACACAATAATATTTCTTTGATCCTTTGTCGCAGACTAACGGCATTTAAAACACGCATATACAACATTTATTAACTGCCTGCATACCATTTCCTACTTTTCATATTTTATTTACGCCGGATAGCCGCAACGTGGTGACATACTCAAGTGGCTGCACATCAACCTGGCGGATCGGAATCTGCAGGCGACGCCGTGGTATTTGGAGAAAATTCTGCAGATATACGAGATGCTGCTAGTGCGACACGGCCTGATGATAGTGGGTGGCTCAATGGGGGGAAAGACCACTGCCTACCAGGTGAGTATCAAAAAACTCAGTAACGCTCCAACCGCACGCTTATTAATTTCACCGGCCAGCCAATTAAATGGGCTGGAATTAATGAGTTAACAAACAACTTAATCTGCACAAGAAGAAATTAATTACATGATTAAAGAGTATACTTTTGAGGTAGGGCCTTTATGGCCCACTGTACTACATAAAGCACAAGATATACTTAAGGAACCCATTGTACAATAAAACAAAATAGAATAACTCAAGTTAACTGTAAGCTGTATATTGTTATCCCTTTCTACCATATGAATTAGCATAAGAGATCGATGAAATGTACATATATCTATTTCGCTGACGGATGAGCGAGGATAAGAAAAAGAGAAATGCCAACATTCGAATTTGGGCGTTGAGCGAAAGCGGTTATATTAATAAAGCATTAATGTATTTAACCTATTACCCCTTTTTTTTATAGATATTGGCCCAGACATTACGAAACGTTTCCAATGATGAGGAGGCGACTCTCAAGGAGTTCCCGGTCACGTTCCGCATCATCAACCCGAAGGCCATCACCATGGGTCAGCTTTACGGCCGCTTCGATGCGGTTTCTCATGAATGGTACGATGGAGTGCTGGCAAAAACCTTCCGAGAGCAGGTTCAAGGACCGAAAGGTGAAAGGGCATGGGTGATGTTCGACGGACCTGTGGATGCAGTGTGGATTGAGAATCTGAACACCGTGCTGGACGACAACAAGAAACTCTGCCTAATGTCCGGTGAGATTATGCAGATGACCAAGATGATGAACATGATGTTTGAGCCGGCAGACTTGGAACAGGCCTCTCCAGCCACCGTTTCGCGTTGTGGAATGATATACATGGAGCCATCGCAACTGGGATGGCGGGCCCTACACAAGAGCTTCACCAATGTTCTGGTAAATAAGGTGGGGCTAAGCGAAATCTACATGACGCTATTTGAGGACATGACGGAGTGGCTGGTGCCGGCTGCCTTGGATTTCCTGCCGCAGTGCAAGCAAATGCTGGAACTTTCTCCAATCTATCAATACCAGACCTTCTCACGATTCTTCCTGCACTTCCTCGAAAAGCACAAGATGTTTAATCAGGCTTGGTTCCAACAAATGTTCCTCTTCTGCTTTGCATGGGCCTACTGCTCGGCACTCACGGGTCAGGGTCAGAAGACTTTTGACACCTTGCTCCGAAAGGTCATCTATGGTTCCAATGAAAACTATCCGAAACCCAAGTACTTCTCCCTGAATCGCGGTCAAATGTTCCCCGAGAAGTTGCTGTTTCTGGACTACCGATTCGATGAGGCGGAGAACTGGTGGACCTGGCAGAAGAGTGATGACAGCTCGGGGACCATAGCCAGCTTCCCCGAGAATGCCCAAATCAGTGAGCTCATCGTGCCCACAAAGGAAACAGGTTACATATCCTATTGGCAGGAATTTTGCATTTCGAAATCATATGCCATGTTGGTCGTTGGGCCTACGGGAACGGGAAAGAGTGCCATCATCACTAGTAACCTTCTGGCGATGCCTAAGTTTGCCAATCTGGTCAATGTAATCAACTTTTCGGCTCGTACCTCGGCTCAAATGGTACAGGACACCATCATGAGCAAGTTGGACAGGCGACGGAAAGGAGTTTTTGGACCCTCGCTCGGGAAAAAGGTATCATTATCTATCTATAATAATGATTAATAATATTTTCAGTTAATACTTTTATTTAAAGTGCACGGTTTTCTGTGATGATGTGGCCATGCCATCGAAAGATACTTATGGTTCTCAGGCTCCTTTGGAGCTACTTCGCACTTGGCTGGATCATGGTTATTGGTCGGACCTTGTGGACACTACCAAAATCGAACTGGTGGACATGGTAGGTGGAGTTGCCAGTTGACAACTTATTCCGTCCATAAACTGGCCATAAGTTATCTGTAAAGTTTTCATCTTTGCCCTCTTGTTTTCCCACTCCATCTATGAACCGCAATCGTTGGACAGACTCTGATGTGCGCCATGGGCACTTTGGGTGGCAGTAACTTCATTTTTCCGCGTCTCTATCGCCACATGTTCGTGGTGGCCGTCGATTCCTTTGAGGACTCCACCATCGTTCGAATATTCACAACGATTGGTGAATGGCATTTTTCCAAGGGTTATCCGGAAAAGGTGGCTCTCCTATCCCGCGTACGTATCTTTTTTCTCGTAGCCCAAAACAACATTATGCAGAGAAAGAAAAAGTTATTGGCTTAAAATTTAATTTTAACTTAAAGCAAAAATTCAAATTTTAAGGAAGAATCGAAAGGATATTGGCCATTTTTAATTTCTTTATGTTACTTAACGAACTTTATATTAATAGAGAATTTTATGTTTTATAACTTATATCCATGTCCAATTTTGTATTCGTGTAAAGTCCTTACGCAGAATCCGAGCGGAGGATGATTGTCTGGTCAGCGGAGTCAATGGTTCATCCATGTGTCGTCTGCCGTGCTTGGCTCGCATCCAGGCGTTGGGTACATAATAAAATTAAAATGGCGTATTTTATAGCTTCATTTCCCAAAAACTTCTACTGACTCTGCCCTTAAACTCTTTGTGTTTGGGGTTTTTATTGTACCTTCTCGTGAATATGTGTTATTCGTTCGCAGGGTTTATCGGAGGCTATGGTCAGTGTGTACCGCGATGCAATTCGCAGCTTCCTGCCCACGCCGGCCAAGTCGCACTACTCCTTCTCCCTGCGGGACATTACCCGTGTCTTCCAGGGCATCGTTATGGTGCCGCCCAAGCGAATGCCCGACCCCGAGAAGCTGGGTCGCCTGTGGGCCCACGAAACCTATCGCGTGTTTTATGACCGGTTAGTAGATGTCTCCTTTAGATAGCTAATTTTATATATAACTTGGTTAAATGCATTTTTTTTTTCCAGTTTGGTGGACCAGGTGGATCGAGATCGTCTGCTACTGATGGCGGTGGATGCCTGCAAAACCAATCTGAGATTCCCCCTTGAGCAGGCCTTTGGCGAACGCATTGAACCGGGAGAAAAACTTACGGACAATGATATCCGCAATCTCTTCTACGGAAATTACATGGAGCCGGATGCCGAACCAAAGTATTATGACGAGGGCGATACCTATGAGAAGTTGGAGAAACTGATGAAGTACTATCTCAGGGAGTACAATTCCTTCTCGAGTACGCCCATGGATTTGGTAATGTTCCGATTTGCCATAGAACATGTGAGCAGGTAAGTGTAGCATCAAAAATTTTTAAGGTCTTACCTATCTGATTTTTTTTACAGAGTTTCTCGAGTACTACAGATGCCTCGTGGCAACATTCTGATGGTGGGCATGGGTGGATCAGGACGCCGAAGTTCCTGTCGCCTGGCTGCCTACATAGCCGACTGTCGTTTGATGACAGTGCAGGTATCCAAGAGCTACACCATCACGGATTGGCGCGATGACTTGAAGAAGATATTGATGTCGGCCAGTTTCAATCTAAACCACACCGTGTTCCTCTTCTCCGACGCACAGGTGAGTTAACTGAAGACCAATTCTCGTAAAAAGACCGATTGAGTGTCGGTTGGTGTGGATATGCTAATCCATCAGAATGGCGTTTTAATAAGGTTGTAAATCGGATCGACATCAAAACTCAGCCCAGACTGGGAACAATAAACCCATAAAGTCTTGACTACGACCCTCTGACTTCTCAGTAATCTGAGTATGTAAATTGATAAATTAAATTGAAATTAATTTGAATATACTTGGAAATAAAGCAGAGTTTAGAGGCAGGGATCCGATGTCTGGCCAACATTTTGTCGCACGAGCGTCGGGACAATTAAATTTGGCTCGAATCCGTTTTCAATACGGAAGCTTGACAGCAGAAGCAACAGCAGCAGCACTCATTGTTTTGCCAGAATTTGCATTTATAATTAGGTTAATTGTTGAACTAACTTGATTATTGCTCAGTAATTTGCATAGGCAGCGGTTCAAATTATGGCAAATCAAGAGCACATGAGTGGGCTTCGTAAAACTGCCAATGAAACAAAGACATCGTGTGGTGTCGCACCTCAGCCCATAATGAATGTCGGTCAATAAATTAGCATGGCCAAAATCCGATCGATACGCATGCCGAACAATATGCAGGTGTTTACACATTGTTGCTAAACATAATAATGCCCCGCATTCGTCTAATGCTCCCTTTGTCCACCGAATCCATTTGACCATGAAGCGTGACCAAAAGTAGAAATCCATACACGGGCGTAAGAAGCCATTTGACCGGATTAAAACTGCTTTAATTCTGTTTGCCGAAACTTTGCAATGTCGAAGCCCAATCGGATTGGAGCCTCATTCCCATTCCCTCCTTGTTTGCATTCGATGAAAACTTTTCGATGCATTAGAATGTTTTCGAAATCCTCGGGCCGTCCAATCAATGATTTATCTCCCTCTGTAGTCGTCTGTCTGGGCCAACAAAGCCCCATGCAGATATTAATTAACAATTACACCGAAATGACCAACGGGGAGCTGGCTCCTCCGGCTCTGGGCTACCTGCATGAGTCGGAGTTCTGAGTCCTGAGCTTTGAGTCCTGGATCCTGGGACAAGGCCACTTAGGCGAATGCAAAATGCATGTCCCAGGATCTCTGGGCAGAAGGGCTTCCCGGCAACATAAAAATGCATTTGGCCAGCAGCATAGCTCAGCTTCAGCTCTAACTCCTCTGCTTCACTACCACCCACTCCCTGCCAAGCTGCCATGCCAATTTCCACTTCAACTGCAACTCGAACTGCACTCCGATTTGCATTGCACAATTGTGAATTTTCAGTTTTTGTTTCTCTGTTTCTCCCTGTGGTCGATTGCAGGCAACGGATGAGGGCTACGTGGAGGATATCAATGGCATACTTAATACCGGTGATTTGCCCAATCTCTATCAGCTGGAGGACAAGGCAACCATCATGGAGAATATGGCAAATGTAGCCAAACAGTTGGTGAGTGTGAAAGGGAACAGTAAGTGTTGTCAAGCCAAGTGGCAAAAAGTAACTAAATCGAGCATTAGAAGTAGTTATAAAAATAAAGATTTTTATTTGTATTGAGTGAAAACCTATATATCAGTTATATTTTCAAAATATTTTTGATTTATAGAAAATTTTTAAATATTTTAAATAGATACGAGTTAAGATAGCCAGGTTTGGCAGCACTGAACCAATGTAAGGTAAAAGTAATTTTGCCATAAATCAGAATGCAACTCCCTTGGCTAAATCTGTTCCACAAACAGAAATGAGTGTTAACCTACCCCATTTGTATCCATGTAGGGCAAGATTCTGGATACACTGCCCAGTGAGGTTTACGCCTACTATATTGATCGCATTCGGGAGCAGTTGCATGTCGCACTGGCCTTCTCACCTATCGGTGATTCTTTCAAGGAACGCATCCGCGTGTACCCTTCGTTGATCAACTGTTGCACCATCGATTGGTACATGCCCTGGCCGGAGGAGGCGTTGTCCCGCGTGGGCGTATACTTTGTCACCTCGATGAACTTAAATCGACCTCATGGAGAGGAGCAGCCAGAACAGGCACCAGCCAAGGACCCCGCAGATCCGGAACAGGAGGAAGGGGCGCATCGTGGAACGGTGGACGGAGAACGGGAGTTGACCCAATTGGAGGCAGACCTGGTCGACTGCGTCATGTACTTCCATCAATCCGTAGTAGATGCAAGTGAAAAATGTTACCTGGAGTTGAATCGCCGGAATTACGTTACACCCTCTGCTTACTTGGAGTTACTTAAGGCATTCCGCACTTTCTACACCCGCAAGCTAGACGAGATTACCAGGCTGAGGGATCGTTATACCACTGGTCTGGAGAAGCTCGATTTTGCCGCTGGACAAGTGGGTGAAATGCAGACGAACCTTTATGATTTACAACCCAAGCTGAAAATCCTCTCCGAGGAAACGGATCGTATCATGGTGAACATTGAACGTGAAACGGCGGAGGCAGAGAAAAAGAAGGAAGTGGTGGGTGCAGATGAGGCGGCGGCAAATGAAGCCGCTGCTGCGGCTCAGGCCATCAAGGATGATTGCGAAACTGACTTGGCTGAGGCCATCCCTGCCATGGAGGCAGCCCTGGAAGCTTTGAACACTTTGAAACCCGCTGATATTTTCATAGTGAAATCAATGAAGAACCCGCCCTATGGCGTCAAGTTGACCATGGAGGCTGTGTGCGTGATCAGGGGCATTAAACCAGATCGAAAGCCAGATCCAAGTGGACATATGGTGGAGGACTATTGGGGACCCTCGATGCGTATGCTTAGCGACATGAAATTCCTGGATTCCTTGAAAACCTTCGACAAGGACAACATCCCGCCGGCCATTATAAAGAGGATTCGGGAGAAGTACATTGCGGATCGTGACTTTGTGCCAGAGAAGATCAAGGCAGCTTCGATGGCCTGCGAAGGAATCTGTCGGTGGGTGCGGGCTATGGATGTATACGACAAGGTAGCCCGGATAGTGATGCCCAAGAAGGCGGCCTTGGCAGAAGCTGAGGGAGAACTTTCCCAGCAGATGGAAAAATTGAATGCCAAGAGGGCCGAGCTACAGGTAATTTTGGACAAGTTGCAGAAACTCAACGACTTCTTTGCGGAAAAGTCACGAGAAAAGAAGAGACTAGAGGATGAAATCGACAACTGCGAGAAGAAATTGAACAGGTTTGTCCTTGCATGGCATTAACATAAACCTCTAATCTGCAACATTCACTTCCAGAGCTGAAAAACTGCTGGGCGGACTTGGTGGCGAGAAGACTCGTTGGTCGGAGGCGGCTAAGAATCTTCACGAATCCATTAGCAACATTGTTGGCGATGTCCTGCTTGCTGGCGGGTGCACCGCTTACCTCGGTTATTTTACTACGGAGGTGAGTTGGCCAGCATTTTTGGTTTGTACGAGGTGTGTTCAAAAAGTAAGGTGACTCTTCAAATTTCGCGAATTTCAAATTTTTCGATTATCGAAACCTTTTAGAAGTTATACGAGGTGTGTTCAAAAAGTAAGGTGACTTTTCAAATTTCAAATTTTTCAAATTTTTCGATTATCTTCAGTTTTGGGAACAAGAAAAAGTCACATGGGGCCAAATCCGGTGAATATGGTGGCTGAGGCATTATTGTGGTGTTGTTTTTGGCCAAAAAATCCAAATCCTTTGATCCATATTTTTCGATAGCAAAAAAACGCCGAGCTCGCAAAACAACTTGTAACTTTACGCCTCTCACAACCAAACATAAGAGGATGTTCCATTGAAACTTGGTACAGATGTTAGGGAAGAGTGTACCAATATAACAAAACAAAAAAATCGATAATCGAAAAATTTGAAATTCGCGAAATTTGAAGAGTCACCTTACTTTTTGAACACACCTCGTACATGCATATGTCCCTGTCCAGCGATGACAGCTAATGGTCCTGTCCACGTCCTCGGTTCTCAGGAAGCTTTTCCATAAAGGTTTTTAATATGCATGAGCACGTGACATTGATTTTTCTTTCCGTTATTTTTTTCCACTCCTTTTGTGATGGTCCTTTTCAATTTGCTCGCGCTTAGACGGCTGACAGGGCATTTTCCTGGCTCTTTATATATGTAGATGCTTAAACTAACATTTAGCATATTTAGTTGAAATCTCTCTACTTTGTTTCTAGTACCGTGTAAATATTCTGAATGATTGGAACGCCCTGTGCCTGCGCAAACACATTCCCAGTAGTGAAACTTTTTCGCTGGCCACCACTTTGGGCCATCCAATGACCATTCGAGCTTGGTCGTTGGCTGGTTTGCCCGCAGATAACTTTTCGGTGGAGAATGGGATTATAGTGACCAACTCCAGTCGCTACTCGCTGCTCATTGATCCGCAAGGTAAGTAGTTGTAGGATTATTTAACCCTTCTATATCTTGATAATTATCTCATCCAGTGCAAGCCAACAAATGGATCAAGAACATGGAGAAGAACAACAACCTGAAGGTGATCAAGCAAAGCGATGCCAACTACATGCAAGTGCTGGAGGTGGCCATCACTTTTGGCCAGCCTGTGCTCATCGAGAATGTGGGTGAGTTCTGGTTGAGATCATAGCTAGTTCGAGATTTTAGAATCCTGAATGCCTTGAAACAGGTGAAAAGCTCGACTCGAATCTGACTCCTATTCTGGAGAAGAACATCATAAAGCACAAGGGCGGTCTGTTTATCAAGAGCGGCGACCAAATGATAGAATACAATCCAAACTTTCGTCTTTACATAACGACCTGTCTCCGCAATCCGCGTTATCCGCCGGAAGTGATGGTTATGGTAAGTTGTCTTAAAAAAAAGGATAATAGGAGTTCCCGTTTCAGCTCTAGTCTGCAGTCTTCAGTCTGCGGCAATGATGACGTTAGTTGTGTAATAAAACGACCAACTTAAATTGATATTTGGAGGATGCGATGCAGCGCAGCAGGCGCTGGGAATATGCAAATTTTCGTTGGCATTGACGATGATGTGGATGCGGATGTGGGGTAGAAGAATAGTGATGTACGTGCGAGGTGGCTGCATAACTAGCACTGCCAAAGCCCCAGCATCGAGGACATCTATCCCAATGCCTCACCCATCCATGGCCACAGCTCCTGCTCATCCAGCAACTCCTCGTCGACGTGTTTATAAAATTTTTCCAGCTTTTCGCTCCGGCTGCCGTTTGCCATCGCTTTTTATACTGCAACTGTTGTCAGCAGTTTTCCTTTTAACCATCTCTATTTTAGCCATTCCCCTCCTCAAACGCCCACACAATTTTTCTTTTTTTTGTGGCACATTGTGTGTTTATTTTGAGTTTTCCTTCCATTTTACGTGCCACTCTCGGTGGCAAAACTGGCGACGCCACCACTACCATTACTGATCCTTTCCTGCCTTCTCCATTTTGTCTTCTCTGTTTAGGTAACAGTATTAAATTTCATGATAACGGAACAGGGATTACGCGAACAATTGCTGGCGATTGTGGTGGCTCACGAGCGTCCCGATTTGCAAGAGAAGAAGGAACAATTGATTATTGAGTCCGCAAGGAATCGTGATGCATTGTACACCATCGAATCGAAGATATTAGAGGTAAGGCTCTTTGGCTATTCCCGTCCTGCTGATTCTGCTCCTTCTCTGATACTTCTGCTGCTGTTGGCATAATAAATGTTTTTATTCCCTCACATGCTCTTTGAGCGCTCCGGCAGTTTCCATTCCATTCCGTTGGCCATGCTCCGCAGATTCAATTAGAGCCCGGCTAGCAATTTATGCTTTTGTGCCTGGCCAATGACAATTCAATTAACTGGAAGCAGGACGCTTAAATCGAAAATATAGCGATATTTTCTACAGAAAGTGTAGATCATAACCTATGCCGAGATTTCTTATTAAATGCTTAAAAAAATATTAAAAAGAGGAAACTTTAACGAGTTTCAATTAGAAAGCCCTAAAATATTTATATTCGCCAAAGCAGTAATACAAAAATCAGCTATTTCTATTACCATCTTAATCTCCATATCCTACCATTATTTCTCAGGTTCTGTCCACCTCAGAGGGCAATGTACTGGAGGACGAGAACGCCATCAACATTCTTTCATCCAGTAAGATTCTTTCCGAGGACATTCAGGAAAAGCAAGTAATAGCGGTGGCTACTGAAATCGAGATCGATGCAGCCCGGCAGCAATATATTCCCGTGTCCAAGCACTCGGCCATCCTGTTCTTCTGCATTAGTGAACTGGCGAATGTTGATCCAATGTACCAGTACTCGCTCTCCTGGTTCCTCAATCTCTTCGTCAACACGATCCTGAAGGCCCCCAAATCCGATCAATTGTCTGAACGTCTGAAGAACCTCAATGACTACTTCACCAAGTCCATCTACACGAACGTGTGTCGGTCGCTGTTTGAAAAGGATAAACTGGTCATCTCCTTGGTCATGTGTCTGGGCATTCTGGTTTCACAGGGTCGTGTGGAGAAGGCTGCCCTGCTCTTCTTCCTCACGGGAGGTATCGGATACAAGTCCATTCCGCCGAACCCTTTGGCTTCTTGGTTGCCTGATAAATCTTGGGCGGCTATCTACAGAGCTGCCGATCTAGAAGGGTAAGTTGGCTATAGTTTAAGGTAGTTTGTTTCAGTGAAGATTAATACCTTTTCTTGTACTTACTCCTGTTTTCCAAAAGCATCAAGAACCTGCCCCAGATGATGGAAGCCCATGCGGATGCCTGGCACGACTTCTACGATGCAAGCAATCCTGACCAGCTGCCGTTACCGGCGCCACACAACACAGTGAACGACATGTACTACCTGATCGTCATCAAGGCACTCCGACCGGACAAGTTGGTGCCCGCCGTGCGGGTAAGTTAAGCCAGAGCCGGGGCCAAAACCCCGAAACCACGCTTCCCCGGGGGTGGAGTTCACATTTAATATCCAACGGTTTTGTCAGTCTTTCATTACGCGCAACCTGGACCGCTCGTTTGTGGAGCCGCCACCCTTCGATTTGGCTGCCTCGTTCGCGGACAGCTCGCCGAAAATTCCGCTGGTGTTCCTGCTCTCGGCCGGATCGGATCCCATGGCCAGTCTCTTCATGTTCGCCAAACAACGCAACATGTACGACAAGTAAGTTAATTAACGAGAGTGGCTCATATTTCCGTGTCCGTGTCCGTGGGTGGGTGATGGTGCCTATGGTGATGCTGCCGGTGGTGGTGGTGGCTTGTTTTCGATTAAGCGCGACATGTGCGCCTTGTCGATATGTGTTCCCTCCGCCTCTGTTTCCGCCACCACGGTATCCGAATCCCTGACTCCGCCTCTTTAAAGAAATTTATGCTAAGCACATCTCGTCCCGAACAGATTGAAAACCATCTCGCTGGGTCAGGGCCAGGGTCCACGGGCGGAGAAGATGATTATGGAGGCTGCCCGACATGGCCAGTGGGTGGTGCTGCAGAACTGTCACGTCGCCATCAGCTGGATGGGCGACCTGGAGAGGATTTGCAACGACACAACCTTGACGGATGGCGCCCACCACGACTACCGGCTGTGGTGCACCTCATATCCCAGCGCCGTCTTCCCCGTTTCTGTGCTCCAGAACTCCGTGAAGATGACGAACGAACCGCCCAAGGGGCTGAGAGCCAACATGCATCGCTCTTTCACCTCGGATCCCCTGATGCGGGACAAGTTCTTCACCAATGCCTTCTTGTTCTCAGACAGCGCCAACAAGTGTTGGCTAAGGGGAGTTTTCGCCTTGGTCTTCTTCCATGCTGTCGTCCAGGAAAGGCGAGAGTTTGGACCCTTGGGCTGGAATATTCCCTACGAGTTTAATGAGTCGGATTTGAAGTAAGAGAATGCTATATTGGTTGTCTTGAAAACCGGTTTAGATATGATTTAAATTTAAACATTGTTAATTGATTTTTGGGCAAAGGTTTTTCGACTTTATAATTACCTTTACTTCCAAGCTTTATTGCTTATATTTAAATTTAGTTTTTTATAGCTAAGTTTTACGGTTTAATTTAATTAGTTAAGAATACGTCCATCAGTGAAATGTAAACTGAATACTAATAGAAAAAACTTAACGAGACAGGCTTTACTTAAGAAACTTGCTAATGAGAGACTTTATTGGAGATGAAACTGGATGTTTTGACACAGATATTTTATTGTATATATATACCATATATTTTCTAATATTATATTCCCTTTCCAGAATTTCCTTGTTGCAGCTGAAGATGTTCATCACCCAGAGTCAGAGTATTCCCTTCCGAGGTCATGTTTATTTGACCGGCGAGTGTAACTATGGAGGTCGAGTCACCGATGACAAGGATCGTCGTTTAATATTATCCTTGCTAAACATGATATATAATGCTAATACAATTGAACAGGATAAGTGCGTTGAGTTTTTATGATTACTGAACAATGTTAACCCTTCTATTTTTTCAGTTATGCTCTCTCTCAGTCTGGAAATTATCTAGTGCCCATCAGTCCTACTCGTTTGAACTCCATAGAGTATGTTTCCAGTTTCCCACTGAGTCCACATCCCGAGGTCTATGGGTTGCATGAAAATGCGGATATAAATCGTAATGTTAAGGAAACCAATGCGGTATGTCCGTGAAATCTTTTGCCTAAATAACTCTAAATGTATTTCCAATTTTTCAGCTCATCGGTGGTGTTTTGCTGACCCAGACAGATTTGATGGCTTCGGTGAAGGCCAGTTCCTCGGGCGGAGCCAAGGAGGACCCGGCTATAGCTATCTGCAAGCAGGTTCTTAGTCAGCTTCCCCAAGAATTCGACATCGATGAGGTCTCCAAGACATATCCCGTGATCTACACCAATTCGATGAACACTGTGCTGCGCCAGGAGTTGATTCGTTTCAACCGGCTGCTCTCCTACATCCGGAAAAGTCTGGTCAACGTGGGCAAGGCGGTGGTGGGTCAGATTGCCATGATACCCGAACTAGAGCGAACACACGCCTCGATGGTCATTGGCAGGCTTCCGGCAGACTGGCTGAAGAAAAGCTATCCGTCGCTTAAGCCATTGGGCAGCTACGTGAGCGACCTTCTGGCCCGGTGAGTTCCCCGAGTTTCCTATCGCTTTGATACAGTAATGTTCATTATGCACTGAAAGAATTTTAAACCTTTAATACAAATTTGTAATATATATTTCTCTACAAGCATGAAACATTTTTCCCGAAGTGTGCTAGTCGTATTCCTAGACATTCGGGCAGCCATCAATGGCATTATATTGAGCTGAGTTGCTAGTAATGCGCCGCGTGCGCCCTGCTTCGAGTTCTTTTCGTTCCTTTCGTTCTTTGCCTCAATTGTGCAAATATAATAAATGTATACGGCACACACATCCGATGCTCTTCCTCCTGTGGTTGCCACTGCCACTGCCACTGCCATTCATGGCAAAAATCTTATTTGCTTTTGACATCAAAGGACGATGCTGTTGTGCTCTTGCTCCAGCTCCTGCCAAATGCTTTGTGTGCAGTCCCATACCCATGCCCCATTTTGGCATTCGCCCATTCCCATTGTTGTCGCATGTTTAATATTTATTAATAAATTAAAAAATAAGATAACTCGTCGCCATTCGCAGGTTGGCCTTCTTCCAGGATTGGATAGACAACGGCGAACCGATGGTTTATTGGATATCCGGTTTCTACTTCACCCAGTCCTTCATTACGGGCGTCCTGCAGAATTACTCGCGTAAGAATCGCTTCCAAATCGACATGATCTTGATTGAGTTTGCGGTGACCAAGTTCGAGGTAACAGTCCCTGGAACTCCCGATTTGGGGGCCTACATCCGGGTAAGTCTATTAGCCAACTTATTATTCTGACAAAAACACGAATAGAACTCTACTAAAACGAGTTTTTAATTTAAAACATTCCCATACACGCGACAGGAACAAAAAGAGGTCAATGATGAGACCAAGTTTATCCAAGTAAGACTATTTTTAATACTCAAACATTTCCTGCACTGACTGCTAATTAGGCATTAGCAATAAATAATTTATTTTGTTAAAGTATAACCCACTTTCAGAGTTGCTAAGTATAAAATCGTTATATTTAAACGTGTTTTTGCTGTATATTTTTCTTTCATTTTGCTTTCGAATTTGATTTAAATAACATATATATTTTTTATTTAAGTTTTACTTTAGAGTTTTTCATAATTTTGCACTTTAACTTTTGTGACTTTCAGCTGACTAATAAATTCCTTTCCTCTAGGGCATTTTCATTGAGGGAGCTCGTTGGAATCGCAAGACCAAGGAGGTGGACGAGTCCTTTTCTAAGATCCTGTTTGATACCCTGCCTGTTATATACCTTCGTCCCGTGTTGAAAGCCCTAGAGGATCTACCCCGTAACACCGGCGGCGCTGAGCCCGAGACCGTATACGATTGTCCCGTTTACAAGACCAGCGAACGGAGAGGCGTCCTCTCCACCACGGGCCATTCAACGAATTTCGTGATGTACCTGCAGCTGAGATGCTCCCGGAAACCCATGCATTGGATTAATCGGGGCACGGCCTGCCTGTGCCAACTGGACGACTGATTGGGACTGCGAGTGGCCATGGGCCAGGTGGCGATCCTGATACTGTGCCTATATTATGTTTTTTTCGCCGGCACAAAGGGTCGCCTGTCGTGTCCCATCTATATGCAGATATACATATATATTTTGATTTTGTTCCGTTTGATTCTGCATCCCAGGAAGCCCCAAAAGCGAACTGTCTTGTTTGTTTTGTTGGCCCCTGTTTTCCCGTATTCACCGGGGGCAATGTGGCAAGATGGTGGGGGCAGCACGCAGTGGCATTTTGATGATGATGATGCTGATTGCCAGATATAAATTAAATATGCACAGTACTATACGGCGTGGCTGGAAATATATTTTTTATGTGCTCCATTTACAAATGAATAAACGAAAGAATAAACCCCCCAACGCTGTGTGAATATATTTGAAATTGAGACCGCTTTTTCCCCCGAGTGTTACACTGACCAGGAAATAAAGTTAATGAAAGAAAGATTTCGGTGTTTCGTGCGCAGTTTAAATCTGAATTACAAGAACGTTTTGTACACTCACTTACACACACAACACTGGGCTCAACAGGATGTAATACACGAATGAGTTAAGGGTAACCAATTGAACACGACTCAGAATTATAAAAAGCACATTCCGTTCTATTCTTATAACCAATATACATATCAAACGCTTTTGGGCAGACAGACCACTCGACGTTCCCGCCAAGCCATTGCCATTGCGATTGGTATCGTCGAGAGGTGCTACATCATCCATTCTCATCGCCAGAATCGATTCCTCCAAGCAACGACCGCTGTGAGTGGGAGATTGCTAAGCCATTTCGGCTTATCCGTGAGATTTATGGCTTGCCTGCCGCTCAATTGGAGCATCTACGCCATTTAAATTTAAAATTATAAATTGAAAAATGGAAAAGTCGTGGCAATCTCTTAAATCATGCCTCTATTAATAGCCGTCTAATGGAGCGTGGCAAGCGAAAAACCAAAAATAGCAACTCTCGAGTCCATCAAGCGAGTATCAATAGAAGTGGCGTATATGCTTTTGGCCGATCTTGCCCTTAAGCTCCGATCGAGAGCCGAGAGCCTCCAAAAATACATACATCGCCTCCAATGAGAAGCGGCGACTTCCGCTTGCAATTACCAATGGTAATGGATTGTCACAAATATATCCGATCTATTCAGATGGCAGACATAAACCGATGCAAATAATCGAGACAATCGAAGAGCCCTCGACTATTGTTCCATCTGCCTACGAATATACAAATCTTCAGATCTACGAATCTACGGATTCACTGGCTCCGCCGGCTCGTCTTTGTTTACTTTCGTTTTGTCTTCTGGCAGCTGGCCGCGCTAATCATCTTTTATGGCTAGAGCTAGAGTTCAATTGGTGCTTGAGACACTTTTTGACAATAGCAACTAGACAATCCAAGCACGGCCCCAGAAGAAGAAGCCATCGATCGATGCGGTAGTCCGCCGTCTGTTAACCGGTTTCCTCCACGATCATCGTAGCTCATCTCATCTCATCTGATCGCAAAGTGAATGGACATCGGCCAGCCGAGAACTTTTCGCGCAGTTTGTGTATAAATAGTGTCGTTGGGTCTGGTTTGGAAACAGAATCAACTTTGGATTAATCTAGCAGACATCGTCTTGGATCTTCTGGAAAAATGGTTAGTTCTCTGGCAGTCATCCTGCGACCAGGACTAACCCATCTCTCTATTCTTTACCTTGTAGAAATTCTTTGTCATTGCTTTTGCTGTGATCGCAGCTGCCTCGGCGGCCTCCATTGCCACGGATTACCTGCCGCCAGTGGACAACAACATCGAAGCCGCCTCCGACATTGTCGAGCTGCCCGCCGAGCAGGGAGTTCTGGCCGATGATGGATACCGCTACAAGACCGTGCGTCGCCTTAAGCTGCGCCACCGTCGTGATGTGAACGAGCTGCCCTCTGGAGAGTACCTGCCCCCAGCTGAGGAGGCCGCTTCCGCTGCCATTGCTGTTGAGACTCCCTTGGCTGATGATGGCTACCGTTACAAGACCGTCCGCCGTGTGATCCGTCGCCGTCGTGATGTGAACGAGCTGCCCTCCGCCGAGTACCTGCCCCCAGCTGAGGAGGCCGGTTCCGAAGCCGTTGCTGTTGAGACTCCCCTGGCTGCTGATGGATACCGCTACAAGACTGTCCGCCGTGTGATCCGTCGCCGTCGTGATGTGAACGAGCTGCCCTCTGGAGAGTACCTGCCCCCAGCTGAGGAGGCCGCTTCCGCCGCCATTGCTGTTGAGACTCCCTTGGCTGATGATGGCTACCGTTACAAGACCGTCCGCCGTGTGATCCGTCGCCGTCGTGATGTGAACGAGCTACCCTCCGCCGAGTACCTGCCCCCAGCTGAGGAGGCCGGTTCCGAAGCCGTTGCTGTTGAGACTCCCCTGGCTGCTGATGGATACCGCTACAAGACCGTCCGCCGTGTGATCCGTCGCCGTCGTGATGTGAACGAGCTGCCCTCCGCCGAGTACCTGCCCCCAGCTGAGGAGGCCGGTTCCGAAGCCGTTGCTGTTGAGACTCCCCTGGCTGCTGATGGATACCGCTACAAGACTGTCCGCCGTGTGATCCGTCGCCGTCGTGATGTGAACGAGCTGCCCTCTGGAGAGTACCTGCCCCCAGCTGAGGAGGCCGCTTCCGAAGCCGTTGCTATTGAGACTCCCCTGGCTGCTGATGGATACCGCTACAAGACTGTCCGCCGTGTGATCCGTCGCCGTCGTGATGTGAACGAGCTGCCCTCTGAGAGTACCTGCCCCCAGCTGAGGAGGCCGCTTCCGAAGCCGTTGCTATTGAGACTCCCCTGGCTGCTGATGGATACCGCTACAAGACTGTCCGCCGTGTGATCCGTCGCCGTCGTGATGTGAACGAGCTGCCCTCCGGAGAGTACCTGCCCCCAGCTGAGGAGGCCGGCTCCGAAGCCATTGCTGTTGAGACCCCTCTTGCTGATGATGGCTACCGTTACAAGACTGTTCGCCGTGTGATCCGTCGCCGTCGTGATGTGAACGAGCTGCCCTCTGCCGAGTACCTGCCCCCAGCTGAGGAGGCCGCCGCCTCTGCCATCATCGATGTGCCCGCCGAGCAGACCGTTCTGGCTGCTGATGGCTACCGTTACAAGACCGTCCGTCGTCTGAAGCTCCGTCGTCACTAAGCCATCGATTGTGCCAACTCCCACCGCAGCGTTTGAGATTGTCGAGGATGCTTTTCCAGAAGAAGTTCTGCCTTTGAAAGTCTCACGATGACACTAACCATAAGTCGAGCGTATTAGTCAAATTGAATCCGTTATGAACAACCCGAGTACAAACCCGAATTAACAATAATAAACATTTTTAAAACAAAAACCTGCAACTTTTTTCTCTTAACAAAACCAAAAAACCTCATAAAATGCGATATAAAGTCATATAATCCTGGACCATGAAACTAGTATATATGTTTTAAGCCAATAGTTTAATACATATGTCAAGGTTAAAATAGAGCTTAGAACAAAAGCGGTTTGATTTGTTTTATAAAAACAATGAAATGAACAAACTCGTGTTCTATTCATCGGGAACAGCACAAACAAAAGAGTTCTATAAGAATGAACCACTTTGATATTAAAATACTTTCAAGTGAATTATAGAATAGAATATGCATATTATAGATTCGATCCCCTCGTAGGTATAAACAATAGTTCAGATTTGATATTTTTGTAAAGTCCGGAAATATATTTGTAAGCCTTTTTTTGAGTGTTGCTGACCTCAGACTTTATAAACCGAGAGAAAAAGAGAGCTCTGTTATCATATCTCTAAAAGATAAGGTGAGCTGCGATAAGATACGAGCACCTGCCGACGAATGCAATCACGCACAGGTTTTTAGTTCCACTTGGGAGTTGACGACGTGCGCGTTACAAACTTGGCTAACAGCTGAAAGCGAACAGAAGTTTTTCGAACGAACCAACGAAAACGACGGAAATGAAGTTGGCTAAGAAGTGCTCCACATACTTGGTGATATGCCTGGGTAAAGTTCTGCATGCTCGTTTGAATCTGCTGAGTTTTGAGTGCCAGCCAGAGATACTTTTCCTGTGTGTGTTTGTATGGACGTGGACCGAGTATTGTGTATCTGTGAAACTAAGCTGCATTATAATGTGCTAGTGCATCCAGAGAATCTCAAAGGTGTGGGTCTTAATGACCCAACTTCAGCAATTGGAGACTTTAACGATGAGTAACTGGGCCAAGTGTGCGTCACACAATCGCTAGCAAGAGAACTCTACAAAAATGTGTGCTTATCAGTGCGATTCAGATAAGCACTGTTTACTCATTGTTGCCCCATCACTTTGGAGTGTTTAGCTAAGGGCGTGGTGAATCAGTTGGGCTTAGAAGGAAAATCAAAGAAAATCCTCAGTACGCAATTAAATATTTCCCCCAAAAATTAAACTTATTTTCAATGATTTCATGCAAGTTTTATTAGGCCAAAAGTACAATACCCTAAAACCGGAAGTGGCATAAGCTCGGTAATTATTTCGCATATAAATTATGAAATATGTTTAACAAAAAATGGATGAAAACAATTAATTTCGGTTAGCGGCTGGCCAACGAATCTCGGTCGCACTCTTAGCCACATCCATTTGGCGGATTGGTTTTTGTCAAAGCCCAAAGCCCGTCTCCATGAATCACCACCGCCTAATCGAATCGCAACGAGGGGAAATCAATACTGCGTTTTCCATATCGACAACTAAATCCATTTAATATTTTATGCGCAAAATATGTCGAATGAGCTGAACCAAAACAAACAGATGAACACACACACATACAGCAAATATTATTAATTAAAAATACATTTTGATAATTTTACGTGAAATCGAGTCTGACATCCGCAATGGAACAATGGGGAAGAATATGCCAGCTCACATTTATCATCGAAGTTGGCGCGCGCGCGCCGAGATTTTGGCTCAATCAGAATCAACGTTTTTTTCATCTGCTTATTTTTTGTTGATTTTGGCTTGGCTCTGTTGTTAAACATTTTCTTAATAATTAATTGTTAATATCTTAACAAGTCTTCATGGAGCTGAAGATCTATATGATGAATGGTCATGCTGTTATTTCAATGAGTTCCGTTCCGAGTGGTTTGGTTCGCTTTATGGCTTGGGGTTGGATGGATGCTTCAAAGCCAATGCCGCAATCGCAGCGGGCCACCTTCGACCACACGCGGCGTCTTCGTGAAAAAAAAAATTATATGTCTTCTACGCCTCGGACAAATCACTCTCCAACATGCTCGAGTGCCCCATGTCTAATATAAATTTTATTTCGATATTTTTTTTGCAGTTCTGCTGGCCTGCTGTCTGCAGGAATCGGAGGCCACGCGCCGTGTGAACCGCGGTCGACGCACCCTCACCCGCAGATACTTCAGTGAGTGATTGCGTATACTTGATCGATTCTTAAGACATTTGCTAATCCGCCTTCTTATATTTGCAGCTGGCCTTGCCATCCCCGGATGGGCTCTGATCGTTTGTGTTGCCCTGGCTGAACTGCTGGTTGGCGGAGCTCTCTACTTCATCCTTAAGAAGGTTATCCTTGATAAGGAGCAAGATCAGACGGCTACCACTTACACTCCTGCCCAGACCCACGAGCCAGCCACTACCTACACTCCCGCCCAGACTCATGAGACGGCCAATGTGACTCCCACGCCTACTCATGCCACAGCAATCGCCTGAGAAGTAGCCACCAATTAAGTTCAAATTCCACCATAAACTAGCTCTATTGTCATTTTAATCCAGACACATAGAACATGTGAGTTCTGTGCCCTTTGTTTGCCTTCATTTTCGAATAAAATCATTTGTCACTTATCTGGCGCCAAACTAGTTAACTTTTGTATACTTAAACGATTGTTAAAACGATCAATTCGCTGGCTTTTAACATTTTATTGCACCGGCTATACCGCCCAATATCCGCCCAATTTCGATCCAGTTTGTCTACTGATTGTCTGCATCACACGCAGCTCTAACTTATTTCTAATTAAATTAAACAGGTTTTTAAAGTTGGAGTTTTCTGTAGTCTACGATATGGATGGAGATCAAAGATCAGTAGAAATTACGAAAAAAATAAAGCATAGTTTTGGGGATAGATAGAAAAACTATCATAGCTTTTTTCAAGCTAGAATAAGAAATACTATTAAAGCTTACTGTTATCTCTCAAATGATCCAGATTTTTAGACAGCCAAGAATGCACTTGATTATCCCGCTCTCAACTGCAACATTTTACTCCAGATTCGGGAATTGAGCTGTCCTCGCTTTGTATTCCTATCTAAGGCTATATCGCTGACTGATTTCGTTGCCACTTGGGATGCGGCGGCCACTTGATGCCGCTCCCTCGTTTTGCCGCTGACAAATCGAAATTTATTATAAACGCAATTGAAAAATCCCCAGTGCGCCACTTGAGCTGGTTCTCTAAGCTGCAACACAGAGGAGATCCCGGGGTATTGGAATCCCGGCCAAGTCAAGGGCCCGGCACAGCCAAGTAGCTGTAAATGCCAACAATTGGCGCAACCGAAAGCTTTCCGAAGTAACGCGCCGGGGGGTGAGGGGGCCGTTGGCCAAAAGCGGATTCCAAAATTGACACAAAACAGACAAAAAGCGAATCGCTTAGGCGCAACCACCCGCAACCGAGGAGCCACCAGGCCCACCACGGCACTCATCCCGATCCCCACTTTCAGACACGAGTGCAGTGGCTGCCAAAAATTGTGCAACTGGAGCGACACTGGAATGCTGCACTTGAAGAAATAAATGTGTAATAAAGAAGAAATTGTCATCTTAAGTTTAAAATACAGTTTGACCTTACAAAAAAACTAAAAAACATAAAAAATATATTACAGATATAGTTTCTGAATGTCAACCCATAAATCTTGTAATATTTTATATTAGTGGAGACGAGCCAGCAAGGATTCCTCGCTAGATACTTGGGCTTTCGCAGAAAGCCACACAAAATAGTCCTGCATAGTGGCTATGTTCCCGAAAGGACTTTCGCCCGGAATGGGAATGCAAACACGGTGCATATGGCCAGAGATAGAGAGAGAGTGAGCGGCACTCCAGCGATTGTTATGGGTCAGCTGGAGTAGCAGTAGGAACAGCCGTGGCCGGAGGAGCCGGAATCCTGGCGATTGCACTACTCTGGGCACTTGGCCGAGTTTATGCCAGTGTTTGTGGGGTGTTAAAGTTTATCAACATATCGTCAACGTTGTTGTGCCGTTGTCTGACAACAGTGGCTCATATTTATTTATGGCTCAGCTGCCACTCGGGCCAAATATGTACGTTCCACATGACCCACAACTGGCCGCAACTTGAATGGAGGAATGGAATAGCACTTGTGGTCGGAACTCGGACGCAATCCTGACAGTTTGGCAGCAGCTTCGCAATGTTATCGCCCGTCTTTTTTTTCTGCCGCTTTGTAGCTCCGCTTTTCTGGGATTTAGACATGTACACTTGTTGTAAACAACAACATTAACAAGGGTTTGCCAGGACACTCATAAGCATTCATTGGAAATCCTTTTCGATTTATTTGCGTATTCAAACGGAAACATTTAAAGTGATTGCGGATGCAAATTTCCCTCCCAAGTAGGCAGCACGAAATCGCTCTGATGTGCCACCTTTCCTTTCGACCCCTGGATGCTTTTCCTTTCTTTCGGTTCCTTGCTTTCAATGTGCTTTCACTCAGCTTTCTTTCTTTCTTTGTCGGATTGAGTGTGTGTGTGGGTGTGTGTGGATTTCCAAGATCTGAGCGCGTGCCTGGCAACATTTGTGGTTTTTGCGCAAACTTCACACATTTTCTTATGTGGGGCCTGCTTTGCCTTACCTTTTTATTGTTGCCAGCGCCATGAGAATTTCAATTTTCACACAGGTGCGCTTGTGTTTGTTGAAAAAATAAATATCAATCATACGCCCCAGTGGCCTCTGTGAGTTCTGGCCCCCCACTAACCGCTTTTATGAGTTTCGTTTAATTTGATATGGATATTTGCTTTAACAATTAGTACTATGCTCTCCAGATTTTTAACTTTAACTGCGGCTGCCTGTCAGAAGATGAGTTTAAGTACTTTATATGAGATTCAGATGTTAGGCTTCGTTTGCCGATAAAAATGCTTATCTGCTACAGATAGTAATTTATAAGATATAAACGTTTATCAAAGTATAAAGTGCAAGTATAAAATTAATCTTTTTCCTTAGCTTTCCATCCATTTATTTTGAAATAGGCATCTGATCTAAAGCCATTTCAAACATTTCGAACTGTAAGCTTTTGGCACTACTGTGCGACTTGGAGTGCTTTTATATGCCCATTAAGTTCGCACAAAACCACTAAAAAAGGCTGTTAATCAGTTGAAATTGCTTGAACAAACCGAAAAAAAGCCGAATGAAGGGGCTCATCAATGAGCGGCGATCTGAGATCGAGTCAGCTGCTCTACTTGAGCCGCAGTTTATTTAACGACCCGTTCATTTCGGCTGTCAGCATGTTAATTATTTTGAGACACTCGCTGGTTATGTGTGATTAATTGGTATATAGACAATCGCTACTGTTTACAATGCCCTACCACACATCACGACAAAATGCCACTTGACCAGCACTGAGATTGCGGCTTATCAGTCAACAAGAAAACCCCTCTAAGTGGTCTAACCGATTGGCCCAGAGTCAATAACAACACTCTGAATGGAAGAGAATTCGTTAAAGTTTAAGCCACTTTCACCTAGCAATCGTTTATGCAAATCGTCCGGCTGCAACTCTGCTCTAAAATGCAGTCTGAGGATAAATTTGTAACGAATTACCAATCAATTGACCAACGAAACAAACAAACCAAACCGAACCGAACCGAAGCCAGACTTTTGGGTGGAGAGACCACAAAAGAGGTCTGGGTTGCCTTGTAAAACGATTTGGAATTGGAATTGAAATTGCAATGCAACTAAAACAAAAACAATTTAAATATAATGGAACCACAACGACTCGGTCTCCAGAGGGGGCTCTGTGAATAATTCAGCAAGAGCAATACCAGCGGCAGCAGCAGCAGCAGCAGCTACGGCAACCGAATGGCGAACGGCGACTGCAAATTAAATCAAATAGTTATATCATGCGAGTAAATCGCTGTGGATATCGCACATACGCCCCGTTGACCGCAGACTCGAGTCGCAGCTACTTACACGCTGCGCTCATCGTTCCGGGCATCAGTACGCGCCCAGTGCTCAGCCGCAGCAGATCGTGAATGTGAACGAATATATATATCTAGTTTATAGATAGTGTGCATCCCGATGCCTGGGAGATAGAGCAGAAAAGCCCACAAATATTTGCACATCCCAAGTGGAGGGGGAGAAAGACTTCCTGTCCGGACTAAAATTCCTCGTACACGTGCTGCATCGTCTGCGGCCGGGATCTGAAAAGCAAAAACTTCGACTCCGATTCCGTCTACGTTTTTTTACCCGAACTCCAATCAGGAGCCGTTCCGTCTAGTTTTTTTTAGTATTTTTTGCTCTACTACCCCTCTGCCGCTATGCATTCGCCAGCTGCCAAAGTGTCGGGCTACGTCGTCCTGATGATTGTGCAAATAATCTTCCTGGTTCTATTCTGGCTGTTCGTGCGTTACGAAAAGACGGCACTGCCCCGGGCAATCGACGCCGAAGACGCTGGATCAGCAAACGAACACGTTTCCAAATATCCGCGTGAGTAACTGGGATTTCTACCCCCATCCTTTCAATTTCCACTTTTCAGAGGGTAGTTTTCATTTTTTGAACTTCTAAAATTGGCCAATTAATCATTCTTACGTCAATTTTAGAGGGTCAAGACATTATAGAAATGACTAATCTCAGAATAGTTTTTATCATTGCAAAATTCTGAGGAAACGCCCAACTTTTTTCATTCAAATTAACCACAAATGTGTGAAAACATTTGTTGGCCAGAATGTTTTTACTGTTTTTTATTCTTCTTTTGTTTAATTAGCCAGCTTTGTCTAATATGATACTAGATTTAAACATACCTGCTCAAACCTCAAACGCTCTTGCTAATCAAATTATAATTTATTTCCAACCTTTGTCAAGCTATCATTTTATTATTTGTATTTTTAAAAAACTTTTTATTTATTAATTAGCCCGCTTGGTCTAATAAAAGTCACCAAAACAAAATTTGCCTGGCAACTGCAGAAATATTTCATATGGACAAATCAAATAAAGAGTTTTGTATTTGTTGGGGAATTAATTTACATGGAACCCCCACAAAGTCCACCTTTCGTGTGCGGAAACTTGTTGTATATTTAGGATCACCCCTCTAAAATAATAGCGAACGTGCAAAAATATTATTTTCAGTATTTGTGTACATTATTTCTATATTATTGCAGCTTTGTTTATTTGCAGTTTTTGTGCAATTAAAGTCATTGCATTTAAAGGCTTGTGGCAAGTGCACATCTTAAAATACTTAAACTGAACTGTGAATCTATATAAATACGAGTAAATACCATTTATTTTGTTTATTTTTGGACTTGCTCTTTCAAATTAACCGAAAATGTGCGAAATGTGCTTCTATTTTGGGATTTCTTTATTATTTGTTTATTTTTTTAGGCGGTTTCTTTTTGGGGTTAATTAACCACCGAGGTCTAATAGAAGGCAATTAATATGAGAGGGCTTGGTAACAGCTGAGTGCCATTGTATGGGCCAACATTTTGATCTGATTCAAGTTGGTTGGTTAGGAATTAAAATACAAACTCAACGAGGTATAAACTTTCATATTGCGACCGCTTTTGGCTTTGTTATGAAGAAAATACTGATATTTTGGGCGGAAATCGGCCCAATCCGATTTTCGCATTTTCTGTAACATCATAAAATTTTACGAAAAAACTCAATAAATGTACTTTTTGAGTGTGGTTTATAATTCGAAAGAGAATTTAAATACAAACTCAACGAGGTATTACATTCCATGGTATGATTATTTTTGGCTTTGTAATGAGGAAAATACTGATAATTTGGGCGGAACATCAAAATTACGGTTTATTAGTAAAATTCGCGATATTTTCCCCCAGTGTTATGCTTATAACTTTGTCAAATTGAGAGGCACAACTAAAAGGAAGACTGTTTTATGAAGCTAACGACCAAGACAAACTTTCTGTATCATTATGATGATGATTATCGAAAGATAATTTTTTCTCGAATTTTGCATTTTCTGTAAGGGGTACGTACCATCATCATTTTTTCAAAAAATCGAAAAAATATTTTTTTTTTTAGATTTAAATGACAGTTATATATTTTGAAAAGGGATAAAAATCCAAGCTCAACGAAGTATGACACTACGTATTCCGACCATTTTTGGCTCTGTAATGAAGAAAATACTGATATTTTGAGTCACAAATCGGGACAGAACAATTTTCGCATTTTTTAAACATTGTAAAATTTTACGAAAAGACTAAAACAATGTACTTTTTGAGTGTGGTATACAATTCGAAAGAGAATTTAAATACGAACGCAACGAGGTATAAAATTCCATGTTATGATCATTTTTGGCTTTGTAATGAGGAAAATACTGATATTTTGGGCGGAACATCAAAATTATGGCTTTTTAGTAAAATTCCCGATATTTTTTTCCCAGTGTTATGCTTATAACTTTGTCAAATTGAGAGGCACGACGAAAAGGAAGACTGTTATATGAAGCTAACAACCCGTACAAACTGTCTGTGTCATTGATATGCTGATTATCAAGAAAATAATTTTTCTTAAATTTTGCATTTTTTGTAAGGGGTACCATCATCATTTTTTCGAAAAATCGAAAAAATATTTTTTTCTTCAGATTTAAATGACAGTTAAATATTTTGAAAAGGGTTAAAAATCCAAGCTCAACGAAGTATGACACTATGTATTCCGACCATTTTTGGCTTTGCTATGAAGAAAACACTGATATTTTGAGACACAAATCGGGAAAGATCGATTTTCGCATTTTTCGAACATTGTAAAATTTTACGAAAAAAAACACAAAAATTCACTTTTTAAGTGTGGTACACAGTTCGACGGGGAATTTAATTACGAGCTCAACGAGGTATTACATTTCATGTCTGACAGTCACCCACAAAAAATGTATCAAACGATGATCAATTGAGAATTTATTAATTCATTGAAGGAGTGTTTGATCTTGTGCGGTTTCAAAGCTTACAAATTAATTTTGAATAGATGGATCCAAAAATAAAAATGAACAAGCTATGAGAAATGAATTAATTACTTAAAAACAGTTAACTGGAGACTATTTTAGAATTGGAATTTCTATATATAATATCATAACCAATTAATTGGAAAAGTAAAATCCGCATAAGGGGAAATTCGATGCATAATGGTGAAAAACAATTAAAAGGACTCCAAGTTGAAGCCCTAAATCAAAGCTCACATAAAGCTATTACCCATGCTACCCAAACATAGAGATATAAACTCTAGTCCTGTTCTAGTTTCGGGGGGAGAATGGGAAGATGTTAGGACGAGGAGCAGGACCCGCATTGTTTGCCAAGTGTTGGCGGGTCATAAATAAATGAAGTTCTTTTTCGCACAGTCTCCGCAGTCTTTTGGGTCCCGTGGCACCAATTCCATTAATTACTTCTGCCACAGTACTACAGGGTACATTGTGCCGAACCGAACTGAAACGAACCGAAACGAAACGAACAATGGGACACACACACACACATGCGCACAAATGAATAATTAAAGTCATTAATTTCAATTTATGCAAATGCGTCTGTAAACAACTTGTTGCAATTCATAATAAATAAATTAAACCGTATTTCACACTAATTGCACCCGCGCGGGCACACATACGCATGGGATGTTTGTGACTTGGGGGTGGTGATGGTGTAAGTGTGGCTGGTTTGGGTTGTCCACCCAGCATCAGCAGCAGCAGCAGCAGCCATTGCGTCTTGGTGCCCTGGTGACATCAATCTCAATGCAATTGACTTTTGGCAGCAGACAATTGGGCGGTTAATTGAAACGACTTGACTCTATTAATTGCCATCCCAGCTGGCCAAGACAACCGCCTTTCCTCCTTTGCCGGACTAACCCTCTTGATTCCCCACAGAGTTCCAGGACATCCAGGTGATGATCTTCATTGGCTTCGGCTTCCTAATGACCTTCCTGCGGAAATACGGTTACAGTGCCACTGGATTCACCCTGTTCATGGCTGCCTTGGTGGTACAGTGGTCTGTCCTTATGAAGGGATTCCTGCACATGGAGGATGGCAAGATCAGGTAAGTTTCTTGGCCCGTTTTCAATTCATTAATTGCTTGGCTTGGAGTCTTGGGCCAAACTGACAGCCGACATAGCAAATAAGTTTGCGATGTCAAATGAATAAAAATAGCCCGAAGCTGAAAATAAATTCAAGCAATTACTTTAAATGAAGAAGTCAACCGGAGGAGGCTTAGGTGGTCTCCTCTACTTATGCTAAGTGAAATGGCCAACAATCCCAAGTTAAATGCCAAACAAAAGGACAGGTAGCTATAAAAAGAGCCAATGGAGCTGACGCTGGGATGTACTGAAAAAATAAGATACGTTTACTAAGAGAAACTAAAGAATATTAAGAAGTTTACAAATTTGTAGAAATATTATTTCCCCTTTTTAGATTTCACTTTTTAATTTTAGTAAAATTAAATTTAGATATTTCCTCTTGAAATGATTTTATTTTATCTTTTTCTGTGTAGAAAGGACATTTTTCTCCTGTAATACTTTAAAATGTATTCCATTTCATTTGTTGACCATTTCCTAGTAAAGACGTCGCAATTTTTTATGTGGCAGAGGGCGTGTCACCTGTCGCACTTCCTGTTCAGCCTTTTATTTTCCTTTTTGCCACCACAGCCTCTCCCTGGAGAACATCATTGATGCGGATATTGCCGCCGCCGTGCCTCTAATTAGCATGGGTGCCCTGCTCGGAAGGACCACGCCCATCCAACTCCTCTGCATGTCCATCTTTGAGGTGGCTCTCTTCGCAGCCAACGAGTACGTGGCCCTGCATGTTTTCAGTGTAAGTAGAAGTAATTAACTTAAAAGTGCCAGAAATGTATATATAGAAGCCATTATTTGGCAAACATTTTATGAAATTGTAAAATAATATTTACTATTTGCCAAAAACTTAGTTATAAAAACATTTTTAAGCTGCTTGTGCCAAATAGGTTATAGGTCATATCATATGCAAAATAAATTAACTACTAATTTGGTGGTAATTTTATGCAGTGCAGGATGTTATTAAACGTACAAATGATTTCCATAAGCCAAATAAAAGCAATGTGCATAATATTATGAGAAGGAATGACATATTGCTAATACCAAGAATGGCGTCGTTTTAAGCCTGAATTATTTTACATTTTCTGATTTTAAATATTGACATTTTACTAATATATATATAGATTTTCATTATTAAATGAATTAAATTAATTCCTGACAGATCTGCGACTGTGGAGGCTCCATCACTGTCCACGCCTTTGGAGCCTACTTTGGCTTGGCGGTGGCCCTGATGCTGAGACCAGCCAGCGACCAGAATGAAGCGGGAAAGCTAGAGGGCGCCAGTTACACTTCGGACATCTTTGCCATGATCGGCACCACCTTCCTGTGGGTGTACTGGCCATCCTTTAACTCTGTCCTGGCCAATGGAACCGGCGGCGAGCGGGCCATTTTGAACACGTTCCTGTCATTAGCCGCGGCAACAGGTGAGTCACGTGCCCCGGCAATTAGCCGGCTCAAGTGGAGGGCAACTGGAGGACATTCCATTGTCCGTTGTCTAACGTCCATCTACCCAACATATCTTCCGGCCATCTTTCGCCCACTCGCACATATCTTCACGCTTCGCTGGGTCATTCCTAGGGCTCCTCAGGCCTTGTTAATTATAATGTTGGCGGGCCTATTAGCACGGCTCCCGATGAAATTGAAAAGGCTAGAAGGCATCTCCCTGCCCCAGCCCAACGTCCCTTCTGGGTTCTTGTGCATGCGACTCACAAACTAATTAAATGTCAAATAGTTTCGTTAACACATTTGAAAATTTATTTTGAGCACGTAGCGCACATAAAAACGAACCAGCCTGTCCGGCATTTGCTTAGCCTGATGGGTGGGTCAGTAGTCAGCCTACGGTAGTCGGTACTCACTGGCAAATCCCCATCCAAGTCCAGTCCAGTTCAGTCCGGGCACATATATAGAAAATGTGCTAAAAGCAGCAGCCCGGAGTCGGTCTTTGCCTTGCTTGACTCGGTCGGTTAATGTAAATAACAAAACACAAATTAAATGTATACAAAGGATGCCCGGCAGCAACAAGAGGAGCAGTAATAATAGGAGAGGGGCCAGCAGCTGAGATAAGCCAACTGGGTATGGGCGACACTTGGCTAACTGTGGCCTCAGACTCGACCGGTTTCTGCTCCGGTTCTTCTGGCCATGGTATTAAAGCCCTCACATTACAGCGGCGGAGGTAACACCTAACATGGCACATGAGTTAGCCAGAGATGGGTGAAGTTTAGGGATGTGTAGCCGTTAAAGTACATACCCTACAAATATTATTTGAAAAAGGGAATAATAGAGAATTAATTTAACTTTAATTAAATGTTTTCTCCAATTTATGTTTCATTTCATACTTTTTAATTATAAATATTTAAAATTTTTCCTTGCTCATTAACAAAAATGATTTTATTTTTCTTCCTCAAACAACAAACCATCAATGGATCTACTTTTGTTAAATTTTCAAATGAAATATTTCTTTTGTTGAAAAAAGCGAATAAAATATTTCAATTAAATACTGAATTCGCATATTGGTCATTAAACATTTTGCAAAAACTTAAATATTCTTCTGCCAGAGTTCATTAACTTTCATATGCTGGAACAAAAAACTCTTCATTCGAATTTTTCGTATTTATAATTGGCCGAATGGAATGCATACGAATAAAGTATAAATGAATCAGATTGTATGTTTTCAAGAGTACCACTTGTTAGTATTTCATTTTGCTTTTCGGTCTGAAATTTCTTGGCTCTTTGTGGAAGTGCTTTCCTAGAGCACATCTTAATTTGAGTTAAAAATTCTCGTCTCAATAAAGTGCATATTCAAATTTGGTTGCAATTCATATCTGGCCAGAGGAAACTTAATCAATGAATTCCAATCTGGCCAGCTGAATGGGATGGCCCATACCATAAATACAGATTCTAGAGTATCCATGGAGAGAGGTGGGAAAATGGCAGTCGGGGTGGGGCATTTTATGCGGAAGGATGTGCGATTAGTTGAGTCAACGTGCGGCTCCGTCCGTTGCAGTGGCCTAAAACCCCTCTCCCACTCGTACACCCCGAATGTCCTCCACAACGTGTCCTTGTCCATTCAGTGGCCGGTTGCTTGGCTCACTAGTTGTTGCCTTAATTAAACTAAAGCTGGGGTTCAGTTCAATGCTGAAATTAGAGGCGGTCTGGTGGGTGTGGCCCACGGTCCATGTCGGCCATGCGGGCGGACATGCATGGCCTGTTCAGCAGGATTGGTTTTGGGCAGGAGTAGGAGTACGACCAGAAGGGTATCGGATCAGACGACGCCATTTGGTGTCCGAATGCGGCGCCAACAGCAAAAATACGCCCCAGTTGTTGTTTTCACACCAGGCACAAAATGAGCCAGAGCCTCGTCTGGACCTTCTTCTATAAAAGTACTGAGAAAAATTAAAGGTTAGGGTTTTTTAATTAGAAGAAATTCTATGAATAATATGTAGGTCTGAGTAAAATTGTATTTACTTTGAAAACCGAAGAGTTTAAGCTATTAAATTCAGAAATTATTGCTATTAAGCCAGGAATCATAGTTTGCAAATCAAGATTAAATTCATTTTTAATGAGAAAAATAAAAGAGTATAAATTCACACATTAATATTAGCTAAAAATATTAAAAACAAATCGAAATTTGATACTTTCAACAAAGTAATTATCACACATTTTAATCTTCATCTAAAATCAGAATTAATTTATTTTCCGCCGTGTGCTTTGGGTTTAGACCTGGCTGGGACTTCAGTCTGGTCCAGGGGATGGCTACTTTTGGGGGCAATGGAGGGATTCTGCCCGCATTGGCCAACAACGCTAAGCACAAAACACATTTTACAGTCGCAAGTGACACCATCGGCGTTAATTTAAATTGTTTAATGTTCGAGCAGGAGAAAACAAAAACAAAAACAAAAACAAAGACAGCAACAACAATGACGGCAGCTGATGTCCTGAATCTCGGATGGCGTTAGCTTGGCTTTGGCTTTGGTTTAGTCCTGGAGTATGGACGGGAAGGACGACAAGGACGACGGCTGTAAAAAAGCTGTTTAATTGATTTTTAAGCCAGAATTTGCTGTTCTCGTTGTTTTGCGTAGCCCGGACAACGTCAAAAGCTGTTTTGAAATTGTTGTGGTTAAAGTCCTCCCAACCGAATGTCCCCTGTTTAGCCGTCGGTTGAGATTTGCCTTACTTATTTGCCAGTGGCCAACCGACGCCTGGCCCCAACTAATTTATGCAAATTATTATGGCTGCAACATATGCTCCGCCATAAAATGGAGATTTTTAAGTATTTAGTGTTATTCAGCCGAGATTTATGCTGGCTGTTGGTCATAAACTGAAGCGTTGTTGTTTGCTGTGGCCAGCGGAAAAGCACTATGGGGGTCAGTTGGAAAACCCTGGGAAAACCAGAAGGGATCTTGCCACTGTCGTGTTTACATTTTTATTAGTTTTCTGTGTGTTTATTGCAAAAGTGCGGTTCAGTTCTTCTCGTGCTGGGTGTGTCATTTCTGCTGGTCGAGTGATTAGCGATAGCTGCTTGTTGGTCTTAGGGAAACTTAAAAGGAGGGTTTATGAATGCAAAGGATTTTATCCGGCAACATAGTTTGGCTTACGGTACAGAGCATTGGGTAAATAAAGTAGAGATTTTCCTGTTCAACAGGTCGTATACGTGATTTTTGTCTTTTATGTGATATTAGTTACGTATTCGCCCTGTTTATGTACTCAACTCAGGTTGAAAGACCTTTTTCTTACTAAAAACATGATAAAGCAGCTCATTAAAATGATTTTACATTTGTAACTAATAAGTAGTACTCCTAAGTAGTCCCTTAACAAACCTCTTTTCATCCCGCAATTTTAACAGAAATTTCATGCTCTTTCCTGCTCCCTAATGAACTAACCAGAGACTCATTCAAAAATGCATTAAAATCACGTAATTAAGCCAAGTCATTTGAAGTCCGCTCGGTGCATTCAATCTGCCCGCCAACCATAAATGCAAGCCGCAGCCTCCCAGTGTGTTTTCTTTTTTTTTTTTGGTCCTTTTCCTTTTCTGGGCCATGTTGCTAACTCCATGCCGTTGGTATTTTTCAGTGACCACCTTCGTTGTATCCGCGCTTGTCAGCCACGAGAATAAATTGGACATGGTGCACGTGCAGAACTCGACCCTAGCCGGCGGAGTGGCCGTGGGCACGGTGTGCAACTTGCTGCTCGGCGCCCACGGAGCTGTCTTAATTGGCATTATCGCCGGCACGGTCTCGGTGCTCGGCTATCGCTATTTAACCGTAAGTTTGGAAAGCTGAAACTGCACACGGCCCACTCACAAAAAATCATAGAACCCAAAAAGGGGCACTCTGTGTCCTATATAGATACCCTCCATACAAGCATAAACCCGCTATTCAAATCGCAAAACCTGGAACTGGAACTAGCTAGCGGTGGCTTCGCTTTAATTAGTGCGCCTAGGAAAAATGCGACGCTAATGAGTAAAGTTTGTTGCCCGCCGGTCAGCCACAGCCGCGGCCGGACTTCATCCGGGATTCCGCCGGACTTCCATTTGCATTACGACCACGCGCAGTCCCAAAAACCGTGGGGTTGGTTCCCGCTCGCTGGAGCAGCAAATAAATTTGCACTTTTCAAATGACACACTGACTCCCTGCCATGTTTCAATTTTATTTAATTTAATTCTGGTACTGGTTCTGGCCATTAATTATGGTACGTTCTGGAAATGCATCTTGAAATCAAACCTGTTGAAAGTTTAAGGAAAATTTATAGCTTCTGTCTTGATAGTGTTCTACCTGCAAGAGGTTTTTAATCAATAAATCATTTGAGTAGTTTAAAAATTGATAATAATTCTTAAAAGTTATTTAAGAGATTTAAAGTGTATGCTTTAATGGTCATTTTTTTACATCAACGAAACCTTTCCAGTACATTTCTTTGTCTTTGTTTTCAGCCCTGGATGACGGCCAATCTGAGGTTGCATGATACCTGTGGCGTGCACAACCTCCATGGAATGCCGGCCCTGATTTCGGCCATCGCCTCTGCCATTTACGCCTCGATGGCCACCGTTGGCGAATACCAATCTGAGCTGCAGGACATTTTCCCGGCAATGGTGGGCACCAACGGAACCGAGACCAAAATCATGGGCGTGAGTATCCATGTCCGGCGTATGCAACGGCGGGTGTTAATCCTTTTTGGACTTGTTTCCCGCAGGGTCTTGGCCGGAACGCAACTTCACAGGCAGGCTACCAATTGTTTGGCATTGCTGTTACACTGCTCATAGCCATTGGCGGTGGAATTTTGACCGGTAAGAGATGGGATTTTAAATTTTAGAAGCTTTCTTTAAATTGGTTTTTCTAATCTCAGGAGCCGTTTTGAAGTACACCAACTTCCGGAACCTGAAGAAGGACGAACACCACCAGGACGAGCACTACTGGGAGGTGCCAGCTGCCGAGAACAAGGAGGAATAGTTAAGTGTTGTGCCTGACAGATTGATAACACTACAAGCGTTTGCCTAATGTGCCTTGTTTAAATACTTACGACTATTTTATTATTATTTGTATTTACATTATTTTTACTGTACGAAATGCACGCGTTGCCATTGTGCCTGCCCTCATCCGAAAGCAAAAGTTTGCCAAATTGTTTGCCATTTCCGTTTGCCTCGCTTTGCATTCGCATTTCGCTGATTTGATTTGCCGCCTTTTTTGCAGTGAACTAGAAAAAGTTGACGAGCTTTTGCTGTAAGCCAATATAAGCCAAAATAACGCCAAGCCAAAACACCCAGAAACAAAATGCAACGAGGCGGCAGCGAGGAGCGTGTGCCCAGGACAATGGAGTCCGGCCAATCCTTTTGTTGTCCTTGCCTGCTTCGCTTAATTTTTGTAGACATTTGTCGCATTTAATTAAAAACTCCAACAATTTACACATTTAATTAGCGTTGAGCACAGAAAAACAGTTAAAAAAAAAAAAAAAAAAAGTATTAGCAATAAAAATATTTTAAATGTGACACTCTGCCCTCCGCCCTCTCTCTCCCCAACACTTTGTATATTTCGCATGCCGGGCGCAATTTTTAATGGAATTAAAATCATACACATAAAATCCAACAACGAACGCTGGCGCAAAAAGTTTAAATATGCTCGCCAAACTTTTGGATGACGACGCCGTCGCTGCCGCCAACTCGAATTCCCAGTCTGCCGCCAACTTTAATTGGCGCCCATTTCTGTTGCGCAACTGGAATGCAATTGTCCCCGCCAACAATTTGTATGTGCGCGGAGCTCTGCACTAGGACCTGCTAATTAAGTGGCCCAGAACAAAGTGCCGGCTAATTAGCCGACTTTTGGCCAAGACACCGCCATCGCCATCGCCACCGTCTCAGTCTCAGTCTCAGCGATCCAATCCGATCCGGTTCGGTCAGCTTGGTTTCCACAGCTTTCTTGACTTTGCCAGCTTTTCTTTGGTCAGCTCAACCGGCGATTAGCGCACCTGGCGCCGAAGGCCAGTAATCGCCGGACAAAGGCGAAACCAGGAATAATGTCTTTGAAAAGACTTTCAGTCTCTCAAGACCGGCGATAAGCTGGCGGCCAACTACTTAAGTTGGCTTTGTCACCCCAAAGACGCACAAACAAAGCCCAAAAGGCAAACAATTACCGGCGAAAGTTCAACAAGTTTCAATAAAAATTGTCAGCTAACGTCTTGGGTTTCCTCGGCTTTGGTTTTAACTCATTTACAGCAGTGAAGATAAGCCATTAAGATTGTACAGCTAGCCGGGTGGTTCTTGGTTTTGAATTCACAAATAAAAACATTTTTTGGCAAGAAATGAAAAGTGATTTTCTTTTCTGGATTAAGAATGGTCTAAAATCTGACAGAAGAAGTAAGTAAGTAATAAGTTTAATAAGTAATAAAATAATAAACAGCTTGGGAAGGACTACGAATTGATAGAATTACTTAGTGAATCTGTAAATCAGAACATTCCTTTAGTTTACCAAAAACCATTGAGATTTTCTGACTGTCAATAAAAGTTGTCTATTGCAATAAGGAAAGAAAGAAAGAACGACCAGTGCCAAATTGTCAATATAAAATCCCATAATTGGCTTTCTCGTCGAATTGCCGAAAGTATCTTCCCTTCAGATCTGAGATGGCCAAATCATACCAATCAGGCCTACTGTTTTACGGACTAAGCGGACTATGGTTCCACGACGACAAGGCCGAGTAGTCAAATGAGTGGCCAGAGCTACGACTTCTGTCTGGTTGCCAGACCAGTCTGGCAGGACCTGGGGAGGAACTCGGACTGGGGTCAGGGAAGAGGAGACTGAGTAGATTGTGCAATTTGGCAAAGTATTCCCCGGTGCACCGTTCCACTCTTTGGGCGGGCCAACGTTGACGTCTCTGTCTAACCATTTGTGGTTGTGTTTGTGACTGCACTGAGAGATGTGTACTATTTTCTTTGGTGTGTTGAATAAAGTCATAGTAAAAGGACTGACCGTGTTAGAAATTAGCATATGACTTTCTCTCAGTGCACGTCTCGTGCCTTTGTCCATGTCTAAGTGCTGTTTTATTGCATGTGGTTGGCTGGTCGCCCGGCTTCCCGTCATCCTTCTTTGCCTTCGATGGCCGTGTGCCGTTTGCCGATTGCCAGTCCAGACGGGCGGACACTCACACGTCTATAATAATAATTAACAGCCTGAAACTGAAAGGAAAATATGTCGTCAGTCCCAATTTCGTCCCTTATTCATCGTCCCGAATCCCCGTGGCAGCCTTTGAGTTCTTATGTTCGTTGCTGCGCCACGAAGTATGCAGCATATTTTATGCATGCCCGCCGCTAAAGGACAACTGTCGACTGTGGACTGTCGCCTGTGACACGGCTGCCATAAAAAGTGCAGGAGCAGGAGCAGGAGCATGAGCTGGAACTAGAACTGGAGCTGGAGAAGGAGCACTGCAGGAACAACAACAAGGACTGCAATTAAGGCAACTTTAAGCGCGTTGACAACTCTGCCGGCATCCCGACATTGACTTTGTACTTCCTTTGCCCCCCCTTTGCCAACCCGTTTGCTGCAACAAATTGTTGGCCATAGTTCTTTCCATTGTAGCTGCCGTTTGCTCCGGAATGTTGGACGAGCTGAGCAGCTGGGGATTTGTTGGCGTTAGTGTTAGTTTTAGTGCTCCTTGTTCTCGTTGTTGCAGGAAGCCTCGGACTCGGATTCAGACTCGTAGACGGAGACGGAGACGGAAGCTTGTACAGCATTTTGCAACAGTAATTTTTTGGGTGTTGTTTCCGCCGGCGCTGACAGTTTCCCCTTTCCCCTCTCTCCCCTCACTCTCTTCACCGACAGTCGCAGCTCCTTTTATAGCCCGACAAATGGTCTGGTCTTGGCCCGATTTGAAAGGGTCGCCATTTGGTTAATGTTTCATCGAGGATCGGTGCTCTGGCTGCCCCTGTGGGCCGCTTGCAAAATTCATGATTTACGTTTAAGTGTCATTGGTATTTAATTATTTAACCAGCCACGGGTCGTTTAAGCCGCCTGTCAACCGGGGAATCGACTCCGTTGCAGGTGCCCCAAGAAATCCACGATGCGAGCACACACGTGCGAGTTGTATTTGCTTGCCGGGGTCGTGGATTCGAGGACTCTGGCTGGGCTGCTGCTTCTGGTCGCGCTTTCCATTTCGTTGCGAGAAAGGCACTCAGAGAAAAACCAATTAAAAAACTATTTAATTTTAAAAGAAAACGTTTTTTTCTGTGTAGAAAACTGCATTAGTCTAAAATTTGCGACAACCGGAAGTCAAAAACATTAAACAAAAGCTGATGATTTTTTCCGAGTGCAGGACCTGGTGACTACCGAAAATTCGAGCGTGTTCCTTTGGCTTGCTTACATAAATATGCGCACTGGGCACGCAACGTTGGAAAAGTGGATGGGCGGTCCAAAGAGAGGGGGACCAAGGGTTTGAGAAAAAGGCGACCCTGCACAATTTGCAATACTCCAGGGACTTTTCACTCCGCTGCCAGTTGATATGGATATGTCTGTGTTCGCTTTGCCAGAGAGTTTTGGGTATTTTTTGTGTTTGCCTGTTGAAGAGGGAGGGAGGAGGACAAGTACATATGGGAGTGCTGAGTGCGTCAGGTGGATGAAAATTCGGGGCGGTGGCAAATTCTCCCTTTTGCATGCCCTGAGCACATTCCGTGGGGCCAGTGTCAGGGCAACAAAACGTTCAGAAAAGTGAAATTAAATAAATTTTATAACATAATTTACGCTATCAAAACATGCACTCCCCTGGCGGCCCGGACCACTGCACTTGTCTGGCTTAAATATATACATGATTGTACCAATACATATATACAAGTTTTTGTATCCAGGGACATGCAGTAACCTCCTTTCACCCCAACACCACCAAATTTTTGGCACTGCCGAAAGCACTGAATTGTAGGCTTCAATTAAATGTTAATTTTACAGAGCTTAAGCATGAAATTCGGTTTTATCCGGATGGGGAAGGATGGGTTTGGGCATGGGTTTGGGTTTGGCTTGGTATTCGGGGATGGAGCTTCCACTGCTTGCCGGCAGCTTTTCATTAAGGCAATGTGTATAAAATTGTGTACTTTATGGCTGCATTTTAATCTTTTTTATTGGCAGCTCACTTTTCAGGCACACGAGCTCATTTCTTTGCTGCCAGCTCACCTGGCGGAAAGGTGGCTTAAACATGGCGAAGGCGGAATGAAAAAATCATTTTTAATGCGCAGATGCTTTTATTGGAAAATATGAAAATTCACAGACTCTGCGTTATTTATTGTTAATTTTTAGATCACTGCAGGAGATATCAGACAGGGGTTTACTTCTTATAAAAACGTTTTATGGAAACACTCAAAGAATGCTGAATAAAAAGCTCTTTTTTTCTAAATTTGAAGTCCATCCTGCGAATACATTTTTATTTTCTAGCTGGCAAACGAGTTTTGGCGACCCACTCGAAGACGGTCGAGAGCATCGCTTTGCACTTGACTTCACCTTTTAGCCTGGCAATTTTTGCGCATAAAACATGTTGCGAATAAAATGCATTTGCCACTTGTCCATGTCGTTTGTTTGCTGCCTCTGAATGTGGACTTGGCCCGCCCCAAAACACATTCAAAACACGCTGCGAACTTGAATACGGTCGAGTGTTCATAAAAAAGCAGACCCATAAAATCCATATTGACGAAGTGGCATGGGGTTCGGTTGGTTTCAGTTTTTTCTTCTGCAAAAAAAAAAAAAGGGAACCATTGTAATAATGTCCAAAAATATGTTACCAACACGTGTAGCCTGGGCATGCGAAAAAATATGGAAAATAAACGAAATGTAAAACATTCTGACGTTGTGGATGCAGCAAAGGGATTTTCTGCCACTGAAAACCCCCCTTTAATCGATGCAGCCTCTGTGTTTTATATAGAATGATATTTTATTTAACGCCAGCAGCTAGACAGACGGGCTCCAAGCCACCCTTTTACCACCTCCGCATATACCAAACATCCAAACATCCAGCCATCCAGACAGACAATGTCAATGCACAGGCCGCGTTCATCATCGCCCAGGGGACTTTAGACGGGCATGGGGACTCTGAGCCGGCATAAAAATATAAAAAATATGCTGACAATAAAAATTTGTTGAGCGGCTCAGCAGCATGCAACATGCTGTTGCACGCCGCCGCCAGCAGGTCAGACGGAAGTCACCCACACGGTTCACCTACATATGAGGAAAAAAACGGATGAATGAGTTCTCGGGTGGAGAAAACGAGCATTGGATGCCCTTTCTCCTCTACAGTGGCAGTAAAAGTAAACATTAATCCTTAAGAAAAACATTTTTTATTTATATAATTGCGTTTTAATGATGTTAAATATTTAAAAGGAAACCTTTTTAATAGCTATAACTTACAACTATCTATAAAATGGAAGCCGTCTTTTACGTGCCAAATAACTCTTTAGTCCCAAACACCATTAGTTCAGTCAGAAGAGTAATCTGCGCCATCCTGTCCTCACAAGATCATTGGAAAGAGTCTCACAGTTCAATGGCTGGCGGACTTCAATGGAGTTGCAATAAAAAGCGCGGAATTCGCCAGTGCAATAAAATAGAAACAGCCGTGCCTAAAAACCACTCAAGCATACTCTCGTTCTTGGGCAGTGCTGGGTTAGGGTTTGGGGGTTGGGGGTTGTTGGTTCTGGGGACTTGGGATTCTAAGGAGGGGGTAGGGGAAATCAAAATATCCATCTGGCGTAGTCAAAAGTTACGAAATCGGGCCGTGAGTGAATGCCAGAAAAAACAGACATTGACTAGGTAGCGAAAATAAAGTCGTAAACCTGAAATAAGCCATCAATGGCATTAAAACCCCGGCACTGGCGACACAGCCCTTTTACAGCGCTCATCATGTTCAACGTGCCAGGGCCCGTATCCATGCCACGCCCTCAATCCCGTCCGGATATACGCCGCCTTAGTCAGTTCGGTTGGCGTTGTATTTTTTTTTTCGGGAAGGGCGACGCCGTGTTTCATTTGTCAAAGTGCTTGGCGGCTCACGGAGTTCTCAGCGGCATGACTGCCGCTTTTTGTGGCTTTTACGTATGGGTAATCTTATAGGCGGGCATTACTCATACGCTCAAATCACGCTGACTTTCACCCCTCCCGCTGGCGCACATTTAAAGTTTCCTGATTACATTGCAAATTATATAATTTCGTTGTTGATTTTTGGCCAAAGAAAGTTTTGACATCCGTTTTGGCGATGGTGGTGGTGGAGAACGGTGGATGTGGCGATGGTGGTGGTGGATATGGAGTGGGCTTGGCCCACTTTTGTGGCGTCATCTTATTTAA